AATTGTTACTTTTATATAGAAAATAATTTTTTAAATTTAAATTTAAGCTTTTTAGGTGCAGTCTTTAAAGGTCTTTGGGAACGTTCAGATGGGCGTACTTTATCTGTTGCAATGAAAAAAGTATTTATGCTTGAAAAAGAAGTAAAATAAATTAAATAAATTTAAATATTTATTTTTAAGGTCGAAATACTTTCACAAATTAGACATAGAAATATTATTCAACTTTATGGTGTTAGTCAAGCAAATCCAGATTTTTATATTGTTACAGAATATGCTGAGTGAGTAAATAAATTTTAATTTAAAAATATTTACATACACATTTACTAAAAACCAATTAATATTTGAACCCCCACCTTGCACTTAAGGGGAGACTCAGGTTCGATGCCTGATGGCAGTTGGTAGACTGCTTTAGTGCAGAAGTGTTTTTAACATTAAATTTGAAACATTAAAAGTTAAAACCTTTAGTTAATACTAATTTATGTATATTGGATGATCCCTGAAAAGAAAATAAAAAAAGGAGAGATTAGGACTACTGATTTATAATTTAATAATAATTATTAAAGAATGGGAAGTTTATATGAACATTTGCACAACACAAATGAATATTTAAGTGTTGAGAGAAGAATTAAATGGGCAAAACAGATAGCACGTGGAGTAGCTTATTTACATTATGATGCCCCAATAACGGTTATTCATCGTGATTTAAAATCAAAAAATGTGGTTATTGGCTGTTTGGGAAATAAAAATTCTCCTCAATGTAAAATTTGTGATTTTGGGACATCAAAAGATTTAACAAGTTCGTGGACAGCGCCGAGTTGGGGTGGAACAGCTGCTTGGATGTCCCCAGAAATTATATCACAAAGAGAGGGAATTACTACAGCAACAGATGTTTGGTCTTTTGCTGTTGTTTTGTGGGAACTTTTTTCTAGACAAGTTCCATATAATGGATTGACTGAATTTAAGTAAATAAAAATTAATTAAAAATAAAAATATATTTTCTAAAATAAATAAAGAATCTATTCAATAATTTCTCAACACGGTGTTAGACTTTGTATTCCTGATACTTGTCCAGAACCTTTAGCGGATTTACTTGAAAGATGTTGGAGACAATCACCCAAAGATAGACCTGAAATGCGCTATGGTTTGTTTTAAAAAATAAAAGAAATAAAAGGTAACCAAAATTATATATTTTAGCTTGATTTTATTAAAATGTGTATTGTTTATTCTCTTTAACAAAAAAACCTAAAAGAAACTAAAAATATTTGGTTATATGATGTTAAAAAATAAAGATTATATTTAGTTCCACATTATGATTATACATAAATATAATCTCAATAATTCATCTTTATCCAAGAACAATTAAATAAAAAAAAATCAAAATTCCGGAAACATTCGCTTAAATTTGGGAGAGAATTTTTTAAGAGGAGGATTGTTTATGTATTTACACAAATATGTATTTTTTTAAGTTCTTGCTGTTTTGGAAAGATTAAGTCAAGATAAAGATTTACGTGCAGAATGTGCTCAATTAATAGATCAAGGAAATGGAGAATGGAATGAAAGAATACAAGAACAATTAAATGAATTGGATAAATTAAAATTGGATTTAGCTAGACAAATGGAAGATTTGAAAAGAAGAGAACAGGCATTACGTAAAAGGGAAAATAGCCATAGAAACTTTTTACATATGGTTGATATTTTGGTATCTATTTTTTATATTTTTAGAGAAAAGTATTTGGGAGGGGGGGGGAGGGATGGGGGTATTTTTGGGGGAGGGGGTATATGAGGGGGGAGAGGACATTTTGGAGTATATGTACTATGAGGGTTAGAATTAAAAATTAAATTAATTAGAATGTAGAAAATGTTTGTGAATGGAATGAAGATTGTGTATGTGAATGGGTACAGAATATTGCTGCAGCAGCTTCTTCCGATTTTCCGGAATCTACAGTTGATAAAATAATTTCATCTGTTCTCCAATATGGAATTAATGGACCTAGATTGATGGAAATTACTGAAAAAGTTTATTTAAAAATAAATTTTATTTAATTCAAAATTCTTTTTAATAATTAATTATTAGTAGTAATTTAACAAAAATATACCTTTAATCTTTAAATTTTTATTTCAAAGGATTTGGAAAGTCTTGGTGTTGAACCTGTAGCCGTTAGACGTTATATTATATTAAAATTAGATGAATTAAGAGCAATGAATGTTCAATTATGTAATTATCCTTGTTCAATAGAATCCACACAATTAAATTTAAATAATTCTGAAAATTGTTGTCAATGTAGTCCACAATCTTCATTAAAAAATATTGAATGGAAAAATAAAAATGAGGAAATAGAATGTTCTATACTTTTACATGTTGGTATGTATAGTAGAACATTAGAAATGGCAAAAACAAATAAAAACAGTACAATTAATGGGAAAGGAAATAATAATGAAATTTATAGATTTAAGGTAATTTAAGTTTAAAAATATTTAAAATTAAAATTAATTTTTTTTAAATTGGTATAGTTTGTGGGGCCTAAAGATTGAAAAACCATATTGGGCAGTAATCTCAATTTTGGGGTGAAGAATTCGATTTTTTGAATGATAGCGCACTCGAAAGAGCTTAGTAACACGAGCAGTGCATTCAACTCAGCTCGAGAAGCTCTTTCGAATGAGCTAACATTTGTATAAACTTTTTTACCCAAGAAAATCGCACCTGATTGATATTTTGGGGCCGATTGGTATAAATTTCGAATTTGGTCTCGGGTCCAAAATTTAGAAAATTTGATTAAAATTAAAATCTTTAATTTTTAATTTTTAACTACCTATGTTAAAAATTAAAATTAATTTTGAAATTAATTTACATACATATATTTTTTTTATTTTTTTCTAATTTTATTTTTTATTAAAGATTTTTTTGGATAGTGATTGGGAAATACAGCCACCTACGACAACAAATAATTTATTAAATAATCAAGAATCAGCTACATTTATTAAAGAAGTTAAAATTTTAATGTATTCTGCCGACCGTTCCATATTTCTTGGTCCAATTCAATGCATTTGCCCGCCTTTTGGTTATTTAGAATGGGCACAAATTAGCCGTGATCAACAATATAAAAAATTGCCAATAACACTTACTTTGACTGTTAGCTATACAGACCAAGTAATTTTTTAAAAGGCTACTAAATAATTTCTGGATATAACAAACCTACTTAATGAATTTTGATAAATAAGAAGATTTTTCAGAAATTTAGGTCCAGGGCGGAGGGAATCCAAATTTAAATGAGTGATGCTTGGGGAAATGAGAAGAAATAAAAGATAAAAGAAACCGACACCGGATTAATCCATTTTAATCTGTCTTGTTTATATCTTGTTTAGATTCGATTCTTTTCTAACAAAAAATCTCAGAAAATAACTATATATTCTAATTTTTTTTCAAAATATTCTCTCTAATTTCTGCAGGTTATCAGACCTAAAAACACACAAATCCAAATTCGTCTGTCAGATTTAAGTGGAGGACCACGTACTTTATGTTCAAAAAAAGTTAAATTATTTTTACTACCCCAACAAACAAATACTTCCTTGTATAGAATAAGTTATTCTTTATTAAAGAAAAATAAAGAAAAATTTAGAAGAAATTCTGTTGAAGGTTTTGAAGGAATTAATAATAAGGAGGATGATGAATCTAGCAGTATTTCTCCAATAAGAAGAAGAAGAATAAAAAATAATAATAATTGTTTTAGTACTTCAAGTTTATTATTAAATCGTAAGAAATCTAAATATCTATTTTTAAATATTTTTCTTTTAAAGATTCACCAATCTGGGCAGATTTATCAGCAAATATAAGAAATTCTAATAATTCTTTAACATTCCCTAATTTATTTAAAAAACCAACAGAACAACAAATAAATACTAATAACCGTTCTATATCCAATGATGAAAATAAAAATGCTAATCCTTGTTGTTGTTATAAAGAAAAGACAGCAACAACAATTAAAAACAATAATGATGTTAAAATAAATAGTAGTGAAAGAGGAAAAGAATTATTAATTAATTTAAGAAATAGATGCTTATCCGAGGTAATTTAAAATATAATATTTTGTCTAGAATAGGGATCGGATTTATAAGTTACAATCATTACAACCTACAAATTCGATCCCTATTATCATATAATCTCTAAAAAACATTTGAATAGTTCAAATAAAATAAGGTGTATTTAATTCTAACTTAAAATATTAATTTCAGACAGATACAATTAATTGTGATAATCAACAACAACCGCAACAAAACCCACAAATATCCAAAATTTTAATTAATAAAAATCCAAATTTTTTTATATCAACACCTCCATTAATACAATCTGGACTTTTAATAAATTCCTCTTCTTCTTCTTCCTCCTCCTCTTCCTCATCATTTTCTAATCAACCAACTTCTCCAGATATTTCACCATTGCCAACAGATTTGTATTTAAATTAAAATAATTTTTAATATTAATTTTATATTACCAAAAAAATTTTCAACTAAATAGTACATATGTATAAATTATTATAAATTTTTTTAATTTTATTTATTCTAAATTTAATTATGTTGTTTACTTAAAACTAGGGGGTGCTTATAATTTTCTGACAGAGTGTACATAATTTGTATATTACATGCCTAATTATATTTTAATTTTTAAAAATAATTTTTTATTTAAAAATTCAAAACCCATTTTCATATAAACTTCAATTGTGGATAAACCTAAGGATTAAATATTCGAATATTTACAAAAATTATTTATAAATAATGTATAAAAATTCTTATAAGCTTGTCATGATACCATTTAGAAAGTCCAAAAATGTCGAGTTTGTTTGTATTTTCAAAATGCCGATTTTTTTGAAAATAATTTTTAATTATTAAAATATTTTTATCTAAAATTATATTTTAAAAAATATACAATCTACACATTTACAATTCACGGGGAAAAATTAAAAATTTTAAATTATTTACAAAGATTTAAAAAAATTTGAAAGATTTTAAAATAAAAAGAAAGGCTTCATTTGTGCAAAAACATCCAAAATTCTTTCCAAATCGGTAATATATTTTTCTTTTTCATTATTATATCCATTAATTAATTTATTATTTTCTTCTATATTTTTAATTAAATTAATTAATTTATCAAGTTGACTAGAACATAATGGTAATTTATTTTTTGAAAGTTTAACATCAATATAAGTAAAATTCAATGGTAAAAGTACCTAAATTTAAAAAATATTTTTAATTTAATAAATAATTTTTGTGAAATTCTGGAAATAAATCTCCAAAAATGCTTGATAAAAGGGGGAATATGTAGGAGAATGTTCTATATAAATTTAATCCGCCTCCCTCCCCCAAATTTAATTTCCCCCCAAAACAATTAAAAATAATTATTTAATTTCCCTTACATAAAAATATAAAAGCAAAAATTGCTGACAATTATTAAATTGAAGTAATTCTTTAAAATTATTATTTGCCCCATTTTGTTTAACAATTCCATTAGGTAATATTAATAAAAGTTTTCCATTAATATCTAATTCAAAATCAAGAACGGCTCTCTTTAAAAAAAAATAATTTTTTAAATAAAAATAAATTTAATTTTAAATTAAACTTCATATTGTGTATTTAATGAATACTGCTCAATTAATTGTTTTAAACGGAGAGAAAATTGTTTTTCAATTGCAGGAACTCGTGGAGGGTATTGTCCTCTAGTTGGATATGTATTTGTTGCTAAGGCTATTTGTACAGATTTTCGATCACCAAAATAAGGGGAAGAAGGGAATTCTCCTTCTTTATTGCCTGATTTGCCGTTTTCCATCTTTAAAAATTAAATTTAAAAAACATAAAGGCTAAACTATTTTTTTGATAATTTAAATGAATTTGTTAAATATACATATTTCAAAGTTAAATAACTCGATCATTCCCAAAAGAGAAGTCCCTATTCTGTCTCAATTTAATTTTTATTTATTTTTAATTCTTCAAAAAAACAATTATAAATTACTTCTCCAATAGGTGCCAATTCACGTCTTTTTCTTCTATCTGTAGCTGAACAAAGTGCACATCTAAGCGTATTTAATTGATGAATAAATGAATTAAATAAAGGGAAATTGTTGTTGATTGTTCGATGTTTAAATGTTTGTAAGGCATTATAAAGAGTTCCAAGAAATATTGGGGAAGGCGGTCGATGACAAAAATTGACAACTGGAGGAGTCTAATAATTATAATAAATTATAAATTAACATTTAAATAATTGTATTTATTATTTTTGCTCTTTCAACCCGGAGTAATTATTAATTAAGATTACTTTTGTTTTGAAATATGAATATGAGGTAGGGCAATTGATGGAGGACGGGTAATTATTGCCATTCGAGAAGTAATTATACGGGATAATTATTGCCATTCGCGAAGTAATTATACGGCAAAATTATTTACCTATATATTTTAATATACAAGTTACCAATCTCGAAAATTTCCAAAACTTTAATTTCTCGGTTATAATATACATATATGCTCAATTAAACTTTTACCCTATTTAAAAGAGCTTTCATACAAAAACGAGTTCCTTGTACAACACTTTCGAGGAAATAACCACCTTCTAATACCAAACATAAAGGTATTCCCAAATTAGCCAATAAACTAGTCATATATCCAAAACCAGCTGGACTAACTTCCATTTCCCCTTGAGGATCTCCTTAAAAAGAAAACAAAAATTAAAAGAAAATATTCTTCTTCTTTAACCAATTCCAGCATCAAAACCACAAGAAACAAGTATTAGTCCAGGTTGCCATTGCTGAATTAATGGAAGAATAAGGAAATGCATTAAAGCAGAATATTCAGCATCCCCATAAGCAATTTCATTTAAAGGAATATTTATTGTGTTTTTGTCTTTAAAATTAATTTTTAAACAAAGAATGTATGTATTTCTATTTAATTTACATTCATTAAAAATATCAGATTCTGAAAGTTCAGGCCAAAATTGCCCATTTTCATATCGATGAGCAGATACTAATAAAATTCCTGGATCACCTTCGACACAATATTGAGTACCTGGAAATTTAAGAATATTCTTTGACAGAAACCCCCTTACCCTGTCCCGCATGCACATCCCAATCCAAAATAAAAACTCTTTCAACACCCATTTGTCTCGCCTTTTTAGCACAAATAGCAACATTATTAAATATACAAAAACCACAAGAAGTTTCCGCCGAAGCATGATGTCCTGGAGGGCGAATAGCCGCAAAAGAATTTGGGGCGGGTATATTTAAATATTCGGAATCTTCTTCAATTCTTTGTTTTTCTTTAGTTAAATTTTTATTATATTCTAGAACAGCTTCCATTGCTTTTAAAGCACTTCCAGCAGCCAAAAGGGCACATTTCTTTATTTTAAATTAAATATTTATTCACTTTCAATAATTACCCAAGTATATTTATTTATATAAACATCTTCAATCCCTTTACAAAAATTTTCCATACTAGCTATATCATTTAATTCTTCACACGCCTCTCGAATTTTATCAATATGTTCTTGTGTATGTACTAATCTATAAACATTTTTTAATTATTTTTTTATTTATATTTAAAATGCCTGAGATCAGCATTTGAACATTCAGCAGAATCAATTACTTGACATTGATCGAGTAAATGTTCATTCTAAAATGTTAAAGGAATCTTTAAAATTTCTTTTTTTTAAATTACTTCGAGCATATCCAAAACAGCAGCAAGTCTTTTAGGAGTATCGATATGGTCTAAATCCCATTCATTTTTGTGTGCCAACATTCGACGATCGGTAACGAAAAATGTTGGGGGTTTTAGGGAAGTATATACAGAATTAATTGAATTATTGGTAATTAAAGAATTATTTATTGAATTATTATTAAAATTATTGTTCTTTGGTGGTGACATTTTTGTTTTTAAAAGTCTTTAATTTAAAAAATTATTTTGTATACAATCTATATTTGGGATAATTAGAAAAGAATTTTAATTGTTGAGATTGAGGGAGAAAAAATTAAATATTTAATTTTAAAAATAATTTTGTAAAAATATCACTCCCAATTTTTTTTAATTTATAAAAATTATGACAAAAGTGAGAGTGCAAAAGGTTTCTTCCTTTTCCCTTCTTATATGGAGAGATGATTATTTATCATTTAATAAAAATTATTAGATAAAAATCGTAAATTTTAGATAAAATAAAAGAGGCGGGAATTGGCGAGAATATTAAAGGGGAAGGGAGAGGGAGGGAATATTCCAATAAAATGATAAAAAGGAAAATAGCAGTCGATTAAATTTTAGCTGTGTAAATAAATAAAATTTGAAGGAAAAATTTTTCTAGAATTTTTTTTTGATTAAAAATTACTTTTTTAGAAATTTTGAAATTTAATTAAATTGATTAAATGCAAGTGATATACATATGTATATATTCAACTAATTTTTAAATTTTATTAAAAATATTCCTAATTTTTGGTGAATTTTAAAAATGGATTAGTTGTCAAATGAAAAATAACCTATTTTTTAATCAAGAAATTGGTATTATGCGTTTATACAACTAAATTTTCCTTTTCTTCTCATTGTTCCTTTTTTCTCGAAAATATTACAAAATGGTCAATGGTAAATAAAGAATGATTAAGTTCTATTATCTCTTTAATTTATCCCGGTCCAATTAAATGTTACTTTGGGGGCTGAATTAAAAACAGATTGGCCCCTCCATTTAATGGCCAAATCTAATAGAATGGAGTTTGAAGGATTATTGAAAAATAGAACGACTGGTATTCTATTAGAGATAATACGGTAACTTAATCCTTCTTTATTTACCATTTAAATCCCTTTTTGAGAAAGAAGAAAGGAAAATGCAGGTGTATAAACGCATAGTACCAAAAAATTATTTAAATGCTCATCATTATAAAAAAACTTTTTTTTTGTAAAAATATCAATTTTAAAATAAAATTTAGAAACACATTCAAAATTTAAAATGAAAATATTTTTGTAAAAAATTTTAATTATTAAGAGTACTCACAAAATGGAGTTTGTTTTTCTCTCAAACTAGACGGGTTTCCTCAATTTATTTGCACCGCTACTATCAAATTTTCTTTCGCCGAAGAATTTAACCAAATCGGAACTATTTATTTAATTATTACAAAGGAATAGAGTTGAAAGTCGAAGGGACAAAATTTGGCGAAGAAAAGGGAAACAGTCCCTCTCGACTGATAAAAATTTGTTGATAAAAAAATTGAAGGATGGACTTTCAAAAAACGATGAAATGAAATAGGCCTTTAGCCCTTAGATGGGGGTAAGAGGTTAGGAAATAATTAAAAAAGATATGAAATTTTAGCAGAAAATAGTATACATATTTACTTTTACAAAATGTCAGTTATTACTTACTGATTCATCATTTATTTGGACACTTACATATGTATATACTTCATTTTAAAGTCATGTGATTTTCAATGGCTAATTTTATAATCAGTACATTCTAAGTAAATTTATTTACAAGTACTCATTATGCACTCATTTCTTGGGGTTTAAAAAAATATTAAAAGCTTTAAAAAGTCTAATATGGATTTGAAATTTTCTAAAGTACCCCTCCCCCCCCCCTCTCTTTCCAAATATACGTAGTATATCAATTAAGGGCGCAAGAAAACTTGAAAAAAAAGAAAGCAAAAAAGGCAAGAAAACAAAAACAAGAAAACTAAGGCAAAAACAATAGTTCAATTCACTTTTTGCCTAGTTTTTTCATTCAAAAATGATGTCTGAATGACTTATTAAATGGCCAGACAATCAGCTTAGAATAACGAAAATCACAAGAGTTAACAATTTTCACCGTTTTCTGCACGACAAATTTCATCGAAAAGCATTATCTAATTCAAATAAAAGTATGTGCTCGTACATAAAGGAAGAAAAAATTATAAAAAAACTTTCCAATTTATTATATTTTTTAATTATCAAAACAAAAAGACCTTATGATAAAATGGAATTTAAAAAAACCAAAACACGCAAAATTACTGCAAAATATCACAGGTAAAATTCTAATATTGTCTACAATTCATAGGGTGTACCTGACAGCTAAAAACGTGTGCTTATTCCCGTGTGTATATTGCGTATTCCTCACAAGTTCGTTGGTTTATGACCGCTTATTTCAACGAAAATTTGTTCAAGGAAACCTTTCGAGATGCCCAATAAATTTTTTAGATAAATTTTTATTACATATAACAAACCATAATAATTTTAGATAAATTACAAGAAATTTTCTTTAAAAAGTTAATTTGGTTACGAAGTTACTTTCTTTTTTTAATATGCAAATGAGTGATTCAACGCGTTTCATCGACTTTCGGGGACGGGGAACAACCCTATTAATAACAGATAAAAAATATCGAACCCTTCCATAAAAACTTTAAAAATGACAATATTTAAGAACTTTTGAAAAACTAAAACCAAAAAATTAAGAAAACTAGAAAACTGAGTATTACTGATTGTAAGTATATTACTGATTGTGAGTATAAATGTGTATCAAAATGAGTATTAAAAATCAGAAATCTTAAGAAAATCTAAATAAACGTAGAGTGATAATTAGTGGTTCAGAAACCTACCCTGTGTTAAAAAGCAAGAAAATTCTTTATAAAGGAAAGTAAATATTTGTAACATAAACATATCTTCAATTTTAAATCTTTACTAAATCATTTGTGATTTTAACTTTGTAAAAAGACGAACATGTTCTCTGTTTGCACATTTTTTGAGAAATATCTTTAAAAAATTTTAAAGGAATAATATTTCTATTAAAATAATCAAACCCTAAGACGTCCTTGTAATGGTGTTAAAAGTGTTTCTGGATGTCTTTCACTCGATTTCAATAATTTAATTGCCTCTTCAGATGACAAAAATAATTGTTGAGCTAAATGCAGCCGAACACCTGCATCCTCAAACTGTTCATTGGAGAGGCGTAACATTTTTTCTAAATTCACTCCTTTTGTCGTTCCTTTACCTGCTTTGGGTTTTTTAACATCCATTTGTGCCAAATCATCTAACAACTAAAAAATTGAATTAAAAAATTAGAAAATTTTTTAAAATTACTTCAATTGCAAAAGCCAATGCCGGCACAAAAACATTACAATCTCTTTGAATATTTAACAACATTCGAAGACAATGAATTCTAATAGGTAAATATTTTGACGAAGGAAAGAGTCTTAAAATTTTTATTCGAAAAAATTAATTAAAAACTATACCTTCCCATAATTAAAACAATTTCAACTAAAGGATGTTTTAATTCCTTAAACCAATTATTTCGACAATCTTCATCAAAATTATTGGTAGAAGAGGATTTTTCTTCAGTTGTTATCGATGTAAATCGTCGTGTGCCTTCACAAATGAGTGATGTCCAAAGTAGCAAACCTTTCAAAAATTGCCAATTATAAACACGTTGAATTAGATCCTAAACAAAAAATTAATATTATAGAATTATAAATTTAATAAAATTAAAAATAATCAATTTCACATAAATATGTATATTCCAAAAACCTAATTAAAATAAGAAACTTGTAATAGAAAATTCAAAAATTCTAATCAGAAAAATAAAAAGAAAACCTTTCGTTTAGCAATCATAGCATTTCGAATATGTATAGCAAATTGTCTAATATAAACAAACGCATATTGATAAGCCAATTTAGGATACATAAGTGTAAATTCAATAAAAGATGCCTTCATAAAATTAATAAACGGAAGTGTTTCTTCATTAATTAATTTACAATTAGCAATAAAAGCAACATAACAACTCTAAAAAAATTTTTAATTAAAAAATAAATAATAAAAGAAACTTTATAAATTTTTGGAAAAAAATTTGAATCCATCCGCGAAATTTTACAAAGAACAACAAAAGCAATACAGCGAGCCTCTTCTATTTGTTGTTGACTCCATATTCGTACAAGACACTAAAAATTATTTTAATTTAATTTTAATTTAATAAAAAAAAGCTTTACTTTAATAATATTTTTGGTAAGTTTTGGAAAATGTATAAATAAATCAACTAAATCGGCCACAGCTCGAATTGCTGCTACAATCACTTGATTTGAGTTGAGTTCGAGTAAAAACTGAATTTGTTATAGTTAGATATTTTTAATCAAATTGTAACTATATTAAAGTTTAATTAGCTTGGGGAAAATTTAAAAAATAATGGCATTTTAAACAGAAAACCGTTACCTCTTCGCCGATAAAAATTATTTTACACTGCTTTACATTGCCTATACATACATAATAATTTTTAGGTTTTCTTCCCCTGTCCCCAAAAATAAAAAGCTATAGAGCTTCAAACTTTCTAATTGCAATTTGCCTATTCATAAATGCTTAATCATTAAAATTGCATTTTTCATAAAAATTACTGTTAAAAAATTTACTATATGAACTGCTTCCAAGTAGCATTTTGTAATAGATTTATGCCGTTGCCAATTTTTAAAATGGGAGCATTTTTTATATTTATTTTTTTGATCGTCTTTAATGCTTTTCTTGACAGGATTTAATAATCGATAAAGTGCTCTTCCCATTGTTTGAAAGCAAAGACGAAGAACACGATCAAAAACTTAAAACAAAATTAAAATATATAATTCGAGTTCAGTAAATACTTTGTTCATCATACACAACATAATCCAATTTTTCTTCCTTTGTCAGTTTTGAGTAACCCCCACCTACTCGAGCAATGCAAGAAATAAAAGCCTTTACAGATGTCTCCACCGCATATCGAAAAGTTGCTTTTCCAACAGAATCAGGATCACTAAGCACAGACTCAAGAAAATCAACAAGTTCATCCGATAGAATTAAACGTCCAGTTTCTGGATCAGGCTTTAAAGAAACGCTGGAATGACCATCCCCAGACTCTGAGATTTGTTCTGAAATTTAAAAAATTGTGAAACTAATTCGAGTAATTTAAATTCAAGATAACCTTCACTTTTACTTATTTCATCATCAGATAACCCAGCATCCTCTGTTTCACCCTCAATTTCATCCCCGTCGCTTTTATCTTCATCGTCAAAAATATCGGCTTCCTCATCCTTTAAAAATTGATAAAGTTCAGGATCGCGTTCAGCAATTTCAGCTAATTCTTTATTAAATGAATTAATATCTTCTGATTCATCAGATAAATTAAATTTTCTTCTTTTTTTCGCTTTAGACGTTAAATTTACTGCAACTTTTCGCTTTTTAAGAAGCATCCTATAATAATTGTTGTAAATTTTAGGATGTTGTAAATTACTTTAAAAATAAGTAAAAATTTAAGATTCAAATATTTTGCTTAAAAGTATATAAGAAATTAAAAAATAAATTCATTTGCTTTCTTTTACATAATTATTTACTTATAAAAATTTCAGAAAAAACAAAATTGATAAAAGTAAAATTTTTATCGTTTGCGTTTCGTCTCTCGATAAGAAGCAGGCGGTGCAAATTCTTCATCACGGTCTTCACGTTGTGCCTCAATCCACCGCATATGCCCTACTTTTCCTCGATCCCATTCACGAACACCAAACTTTTTAGGTTTTTCCTCTTCTTTCGTCGTTTGATTGTCTATAACATTGGATTCAGGAAGTGTTGATGAACTTTGAATATCTCCATTAGTTGACAACTCCTGTTCCTCTTCCTCACTGCTTTCTAATAATGGAAGTCCCATCCTTAAAAATAAATTTTAATTATTATGGAAAAACAATACTTTAAGATACCTTTGACGAATTTTATTTACTCTATAACGCTCTTCTTCCTTTTCTGCATTTCTTTGTAATTTACGCTTATTCCTTTCAATTTTTGTCTCTTCTGTCATTGATTTAAGTTCAGCAATTTTCTTTTCACGGGCCTCTTCATTTAATGTTGGCAATGGGACATGAGATGCACCAAAAACGCGTCCCTTTTCCTCGAATGGATCATAATGAACAACTAATGGTGCCTCTTTTACTCTAAAATTGAGAGATAGATAAAAAAATTTTAGTAATAAAAAATTTAATTTGAAAATCCACAGTCTCCAAAATTTAATTTAAAAAAATATATAAACCTCTGCCTTTCATCATCATCATCGTCTGACCTCCTCAACTCATCATCCGTCAAATCATCATTTTGTGTACATGATGATGAACATCCAGCTTCTAGTTCTTTTTTCTTGTTATGAAAATCAACTAAAAACTCAGCCTCTCGACCATCTTCATAAGTTAATTTTTCTCCATGACTCATTCTTTCATAAATAATTGCTTTCTGCTCAAGGATTTGTTGTTGTCTTAACCGTTGCTGCTCTTCTTTTCGGATTTCTTCCTCATTCTGGCGGATACGTTGAGTCCGACGTTCTGACAATTGTTGTTTGGCTTTCTTTTCCTCTTTTGTAATTGCCAAAATATTTTTCTTATTTTTAAGAGTAGAATTAGAATAAATATGTGAAGCTTGTTTTCCAATTAAAGCAGCATCTCGACGTTTAATAAACTCAGCTTTAAGATCTAGGAAGGATCCAACATCATCAGTGTGTAAAAAATTAGGAGGCTCATCGACTTTCTGGGAAGTACCTTCTTGCATCTTTAAATTAAAATAAAAAATTAATAATTTAAAGAAAATTTATTTTAAAATTTATTTTAACTCTTGAGGGTAAAATTTCAATTTGACATTTTTAATTTTGACATTTTAATATTTAGCTTATTTGACATTTTTATCTTTCAACTCTGCGTGCGTGCGAAAAAGTCAGTTACCCTAGAGATAACTTGTATATAATTCTTATTGTTAACAATAACTCATGGACTAACGCAAGCCCTATATATAGGGCTTGCGTTAGTCCATGAGTTATTGTTAACAATAAGAATTAAATTTCGTGCGCAATAAAGAGGCGGGGAATTTTACATAGAACTTGCTTTGTTTATTACTATAATTATCATATTGTATTTTCTATTATTAGTAATTTAATTAATTAAATGACTGCATCAGCTAATACCGAATTGCCTTCTGACTCGGAATTGGTTGTTCCGCAGGAGCTTACGCTCTCTACACCGTGGCTCAAAGCTGTAGTTGTCTATATGGGTGCTAAATGTGAAAAAGAAATGAATGTTGGTTATTTTTCTTTAAATTTTAATTTGTTTAATTAATTTAGGAATTCATGCTTTTACGTCGAGAGTATGGGAATGACCCTAGAAAGGTGTTAAAAGAGGGTAGAGAAGTAACTGCATGTGGTGTTAACTTTATTAGGGAACTTCGCAGAAACTGTCTTAAAGAGGTGACTGACTACGCAAAATGTTTGGATGATTGTCGTGGAGGTGAAATGTTGATACCTTAGTAAGTTTTTAATTTTTTCTTAAAAAATTTTTTCTTAAATTTCAGTTGTCGACGTCTTCAATATCCATTAGACATTTGTGTAGAAGAAAAAATGGGCATAAAACGTCCAACGGTTGGATATTTTAGTAAATTGCATGTACACGAAAGTCAGAAAGAACAGCCTCCAAGACGTAAATTTTAAAATTTTGAAATTATTATTTTTAAAATTTTCAGCTGAATATCCGCGTAATTATCGTGAGGAATTCTCTAAAGTGATGGATGAATTGCCTGAAAATTATCCTATTAAATTAGACAATTATAAGAGATACCGGCCATATTATAATACTTTTACCGAAAACGATTAGAAGTATTGGAAGTTTATTGAAGAGTTATTTAGGGATTTTTTGTTTGTAAAATTGATAAATATTATTTTTTGTTTTTTATAATATTTGGTTTATTTCCAATATTTTTTTCCTTTATTTTTTTAATAAAGACATAAATCGAAGCGATTTTTAGATTTTATACAAGAAATCAAATACATCTCTTCTATTTGCATTAGTATTTTTGGCGTTGTCTTCAATGGGCGTTCACAAATGTAATTTTTTATGACTTTAATTTATCCATGGTTTTTAGTTAACTAAATTAAAGTATCCACATGTTGATGTATCAGCATATTATTGAAATGTTCCCCACAAATATCCCTCAAAATATTTTTCTAACGATACAAGGAATCCCTTTCGTTGTGCATATTTTTTAATAAATAAAAATTTGAACGTTCAAACTAAAGTAGATCGTGACCAGTTTGCGAATTTCACGGTTTTTTAATATGTATCATGATTTTATGGTCACACATGGAAATTAAAATTCATAGTCCAAATTTACACTAAAGACAGGGCTAATCAATCACGATCTTTTTTAAGAATTATCACGCTACTCTAGTTTAAACCAGGGCCTTATCTCGAATTAAAAAATCCCCAATTTTGAGCTAAAAAATCTGGGCTCTTGTCCAGTTTATGCGTCCCATGAAAGTATATGCGTCCCATCAACAAAAAATTGGATATTTCTTGGTGTTGCAAAGTAGGGGTATGGTTCCAAAGCATTTCTTTATGTTCAGGATCTACGTCCACTGGGTCTGGGACCGTTCCTTACCCTATCCTTCGAAATTTCTGAAAGTTATAGCCAATTTTTAAAAATTTCAGAAAAACGATTTTAACTTTCAGAAATTTCGAGGTATAGGGCAAGGAACGGTCCCAGACCCAGTGGACGTAGATCCCGAACATGAAGAAGTGCTTTGGAATTATACCCCTACTTTGCAACACCAAGAAATATTCAATTTTTTGTTGATGGGACGCATATACTTTCATGGGACGCATAAACTGGACAAGAGCCAAAATCTGGGTTTATATCAAAAATATGCAAAAACTTTTGGCGCATTCGCGCCAAAAAAAGGAGGAAAAATCCGCATATTTCGGAGCCCTTGCTTAAGCATCCTTACCTTCTTTTTCAAATTAATTTAAACTTGTAATTTTGGCACTTGAATTGGCATTCATATTAATTTTTTAAAACTTTTTCTTCATAATCTCAAAAGTGTTTTATAGATCAAAGTAGAGACCGGCGCGGGACGGGATCCCGACGGGATTTTCCGGGATCCCGATCCCGAAATCCCGGATTTTTTTGATTTTCGGGATCATTCGGGATCCGGGATTTTTTCGGGATTACTCCCTCGGGATCCCGTCCCGGCATCGGTTAAAAAATAAAATCCCGACTCGGGATCCCGGACTTTTTTTATAATTTTCGGGATTTTTATAATTTTCAAAATTTTGGCCTGCGGCGCAAAAAGGAAGATTTTTGGCATAAGGATCGTCCAAATTTTTCAAAATTTTCGCCTGCGGCGCTGAAAAAGGAAGAAATCTGGCTTAAGGAACTCCAAAATTCTCAAAATTTTCGCCTGCGGCGCAAGGAAGGAAGATTTTTGGCTTAAGGATCATTCAAAATTTTAAAAATTTTCGCCTGCGGCGCTGAAAACGGATACGTTTTGAGTTATTGTTGGAATAAAGTGAAGGAATATTAATACATAGTGGGATTTTATCAAGGGACCTAGTGATTAATCCACCGATATCCCTCTAAATCCATTATAGAGGGAATTAAAGGAGGAGGACAATCCAATTATAAAAAATTATTGATATTTTTACAAATTTAATTTTTTTTAAATATAAATTGCAGTATTTTGATGCACTTTATTCATAAAAAGTTTAAATTTTTTATTTTGAAAAAAAATCCCGAATCCCGGGCGGGATCCCGGATAAATTTTCTCGGGATTTTTTAAATTCGGGATTTTTTCGGGATTTCTCCCTCGGGATCCCGTCCCGGCATCGGTTAAGAAAAAAAATCCCGACTCGGGATCCCGGAAGTGCGATTTTGCCGGTCTCTAGATCAAAGTATTTTGTTTGTCATTTTATTTGTCAATTTTTAGTTTTAATATTAATATTTAATTAAAATGATAAGACTTAAAAAAGTTGACAAAAATATCAGATTTACCCGTGTGACTTGTGGTTTAAATAATTTAATTATATTTTTTTAAATATTTTTTATAGCTGTTGTTGCTCTTTCTTTGGCAAGTGTTGTTGGTCTTACATTTTTGGTACTTTCTTGTGCTTTGCCAACTTTCAAGTTTACTTATTTTTGTTTATATCCAAGTACATATTTAATTTTTAGGGGTAATTGGTGGCCAATTTTTGTTTTGGTGTTTTATATACTTTCCCCTTTGCCATTTTCTTTGGCCAAACATTTTCGTTATGATGTGGGACCGACTTCTCCAACTATTGAGCTTGCAGTATTTGGGACGACTGGTATTGTGCTATCAGCGTTTGCATTGCCTTTTGTTTTGGCACATGTTGGAGTGGTTAGTTTTAGAATTGGTTAATTGGAATTGGGAACACCTTTTTAGAATTGGGAACACCTTTTTATTCTAATAATCTTTATATTTTTCATATTTCCGATAAAAACCTTCAGGAAATTATCGTCTTGATTACTTCATTTTGATTTAATTTATCTAGTTCTGTTTGTCCGCAATTATTTTTAAAAAAATCTTCTAACCTTTCCATATTTTTTATTTTAATTTTTATTTTTAACTAAATTAGTCTAATTCTATTTTGTTTCATTTTTCTCGTTATTGTTTGTATTTTTTAGATTAAATGGACTGCTTTTATGCTCTCCAGCATTGGCTCTGTTAGCATTTTCTCTACCATCTTTGCTTATTTTTTAATGCAAAATGTTGAAGAAAATGGTGGTTGGGGAACTTCCATGATCTGAAAATGAGACTATGATGTAAGTTTATGTATATATAGTATTTCTTGTTTGTTTTACGTTCTTTAGTTAATTTTTGTCTATTAAATTTATTAAAATCATTCAAATAGAATTTTTTTACTTTTGAATGCTTTTGAGTTTATATAAAAAATTTTGTTTTTTTAAGATTGCGACTGGGGCATGTTTCCTCGTCTATGTAGCAAATTTATGTATATTTTTAACAATTTTTGGCATCCATAAATACTTCAATTTACTCGAGGGTTCCTCTGCTATCTTTTAAAGAATAATTAAAACGAACAATTTGACTATAATTATTTAAAGTTAAAAATCTTGACACCTACACTTGGGACATTTTTAAGTATTTACTGGTTATACGTCCATTTTTTAGGTCCTTCCCTTTGTTATATCCGCTGACATTAATGAAATATCAAAAAATAATCATTTTTACGGAGTCCTTAATTAAAATTGCATAACCAGTAATTACTTTATTTTACAAAAAAGGATGAGTTCTTTTTATGAGTTGTATTTCCTGATTTTTTTTTTGAAATTATCAAACAAATTTTATTGGCTCTACTCCAGTTTATGCGTCCAATCGACTTTTATGCGTCCAATGAAAGTTTATGCGTCCAATAAAAAGAAAATTGGATTTTTCTTGGTATTGCACAGTTGGGGTATGGGTCCACAACATTTCTTCATTTTCGGGACCTACGTCCACTGGGTCTGGGACCATTCCTTACCCTATTTCTAGAAATTTTTTAAAGTTACAGCCAATTTTTTAAAATTTCAGAAAAACGATTATAACTTTAAGAAATTTCGAGGGGTCGGGTAAGGAACGGTCCCAGACCCAGTGGACGTAGGTCCGGAACATGAAGAAATGGTTTGGAGCCATAACCCATCTTTGCAATACCAAGAAAAATCCAATTTTCTTTTTATTGGACGCATAAACTTTCATTGGACGCATAAAAGTCGATTGGACGCATAAACTGGAGTAGAGCCATTTTATTTACTCTTTAGAACCACATGTGAATGAGCTCATCCTTCGATTAATTGTAAATATTTAACAAACAAATTTGGAATAAAATATTTTAAACGCATCAGAAATTATTATCCTTTCAGATAATCATAAGCCACGGATATAGGGATGGATATAAGATATCTAGGCGGGGGCTTTTGTAACATCTATTTCAAACGAAAATATTTTAAACTCGGATTCTTCATTTCTATATATAATATAGTATATTTTTACTTTTTATATTAAAAACAATCTTTTTAATAATGAGAGAGAGATCTTTTTTAACTTTTAAAATTCATTTCTTTTTAACTTTATCTACTTCTTTGTAATCGAATATCCGAATCAACTAATTTTCTGTATTTGCTCATATCATGATGAATCATACACTGAATAGGTGTAAAAAAACAATTCCTTGCCCCTATTGGATCTCGAATTGAACGAATATTTAAAATTCTATTCAAATTTCCTTCATTTTCTGTTATTTCTTCATTGCCAATTTCTTCTTGTTTTGATGATTTTTTTGTTAAAGATAGTGGACGTTCAGAATAATCAGTTTTGACTTGAGACATGGTTAATCTTTTATCCCCAACATCGTTGTTATTGGCAAGCTCAAATGGCAACTTTGCATTCTAAATTTAAATTAATTAGTAGAGGCCGGATTAATTAGGTTCAAAAAAAGATTAACATAGAGGGCAAAAATTGGCTGGAATTTACATTTTCCAGCCAAAAATTTCCTCCACAAAAAATTTCCTCTTACCGGTGGCAATTCAGGCATTTCAATTACTACAAGCGGAGGCTTTAGTAATGCTTTATGATCTCCCGTGGCTGTAGCTACAAGTAATTGTTTGTGGGCATCATCAACATTCTTTAAAATATTAAATGAATATAAATAGGTATTTTAATAAAAGGAACTCTTTGAATGTCCACGGTGAATCGATCTTATTTTTGATCTGCCATAGACACCCAAAAAGGTTCCCTCTTTAGAATAAAATTTTTCTATTAAAAATTTACCTGTAAACTAAGCAATCTTCCCACCAAATATCTGAAAAACAAAAATGTACAATTGTAATGTATTAGCTATCCCTATTTTCCTTTTTATGAAGGGAGAATGTTTTAGATATTAAACGAAATAGTAACAAGTTATAAAGTTGTGACCAACAAATAGGGTCAATGGGCATTGCGATCAAATTAAATTAAAATTATTAATTCCGTCAGTTATGTTTTTAGGATATCGAAACAAAGAATGCATCGTAAATTGTATTCGTATCATTATAACACGTAGATGAATAGCTTTTCGAATAAACCAAGACCAACGTATTTTTAATAAACCATTTTTGACCTTTGTAAGGTTTATTTTTTTTTATTTTTTTTTATCCAACCAGTTTCAAACTAATTTCATTCGACTCATCGTCGGCTTAATAAGACGTGTCGAATGAGCTAGCATTTGAGTATTTTAGTTAAGTAAAGGGAAAAAATGAAGGGGGGGGGGTGCATAACAGAGATGGGCTCTTCCGCAATTTATGGGAGAGACGGAAGAGATCCTATCCTGGCACATAATACCAAAAAATATTTGTATTAATTTCAATTTATAAATTTACCCATTAGCTGTCTCTAAATATGCACAGAAGACAAGTAAAAATGAGCTAAATAAAGGCGTATATTTGTTGAATTTTTGAAAATGATACATTTTATTGAAATAATTCTTTAAATAAATTTTTAACTTAAAAAAATAAATTTAAAATTATTTAAAGGAATTATGAGGATTTTTAAATAAAAGTTCAGGGAAGGAAAGCCCAAAGAACCAAAATGAACCATTACTCTCATTAACCAAAAATTTTTGGTTAGGTTTAAAAGGCTGTCCTTCCTCTCCTTTCCTTTTCCGCCTTTTAGCATTTTTGACCTCTTTATATCTAAAAAATCCAATTAACAAAAATGCCTCTAGCAAAGCCTTCCCAATTTAAAGCATTTTTTTCTACTTTCTGATTGGTCGCCCACGCGGCGGCTATTTTGACTACTTAAAATATTCTTTGCTTTAATTATATAAGGAAAGTCTTCTTCTTATTTTAGACTTTATATAAAGTAAATTTTGGCATTTTTTATTACGTAAATTTTTTTGTTCAAAGATTGATAGACAATTAACAATCATCAAAAAATTATTTTTTTTATTTTTAAATTATTCTAAAAATGGAAATTATTTTTAATTAACCTAATAAAAAGAGTAAAAATTAAAAAGAAAAAATAATTATTTTCTGAAAATTTATTTAAACAAAAGTCTTCATATAAATATTGGTATTACCAACAAATGTCTTATAAGTAGAGCGTGTTTTTAGGTAAAAAAAAATCCTAAAGGCCAAAATATGTCCGAATTTTGACTACATAGGTTCTAATTTTGATTAAAATGATTAAAATTAAATCTTCCTTGATTTCATATTTACTAAATTTGAATTTTTCTGAAATTTTTTATTTTAAATAAAAATTTATAGAAATTTTGAGACATCTCTCCATGCATAACCCTGACTAACTGAGCCTTAGGATTTGAGGGTATCGAGATAATATAAGAGGAGTTGATTGTTGTGAGGAATATATACACGTTACTCTTGTGATGTCGAGTTAAAAATTAGAAGTACACTTCGGGGTAGTAAGATGAGGAGTCAAAATTAAAAAAATACTACCATTAAACATTTAGAAAATAAAATACTTGAAATAAATTGAAAAAAATAAATCTTAAAATAAAGCTTTTATAAAAGAACAACTAAAAATATACACATATTAGGATTAAAAATATAAAAATATTATAATTAGCACATATTGTTATATTTTATTGGACATTTAAGGACAAATTATCTCCATTTTTGTAGATTTTATTCATTTACGTAAATAAAAGGACAAAATAAATTTTTAAAAATAATTCCACCAACGCAAATAAAATACTCAAGACATTATTTTTACATTTATAAAAAAGGGGAGGGAACATCTAGACAAAAACATTTTTTATACGTAAACCTCCCAAGCAATCAACGTAATTAACAACGGAAATATATTAAGAAAGAATTTTTTCTTTCCCCGTTGTTTTTGTTGTTTCTCTCGAATTAATTAAAACATTTAATAGATACTGGAATTGAATAATCCAATTTGTGTTTAGCTATAAGGACAAACACAAATAACAAATGATGGTATTCGACAGCTAAAGGAGATACAGAAAATCCCCTTGAGAGTTTATATGGTGAAAAGAAAAGACGGGACAGTTACATATTTTTTAATTTAAGCTAACAGTATAATTAAAAACGAATGACTTGAAAGCGATAAAAGTGTAATAATATGCAAATAAAATGATGGGAGGCAAAACGCCATCCAACTAAAACACTGTCTGAATAAAAAATACCGCTGACTTTTACAGATGATAAATTTGATTTTTAGACTATTTTTAGACATAACTAGGTAGGAGTACTCCTATGCATAAAAATTTTAGGCATTTTAATATTTGGTTAACTCTATGTGAAATGGAAGGTATTTTTACTCTACTGTGTGAACGGGATTTTGGTTGGTCGGTAGGATGTCCTGGATAATAACAAGAAGGGTTTAAAGGAATGATGGGATGAGTTATTTTGTGAATAATCGAGAAGATAAGATAGAAATTTTACTGCATAAGTGTCGGTCTGTAAATTTAGATCCGCAACTTTAAAATTTCGCCCACAAAAATAAATAATTTAAACATTGGCATTTTGTTTATTTCAAAGAATGAAGTCAGAATTTTTGGAATTCTTGCTAAAAGTCACTAGACGTCCTCTTACATTTCTAAATAATTTATTTTAATTTTACAGATTATTTTTCATATTAATAATTAAAAATATGGTTGAGTCTGCTATTTTGTCTAAGAAGCCTAAAAAGAACAAAAGGTTTTATTTGATATTTTTTGTTACAAAATTAATTTAGTTTCTTAATATTATTTTTTGTTAAATAGCGAAATTTAAAATATAGAATATTTTTGACTTTTTGCAAATAATGAATAATTAATTGAGTTATTTAAATCCGCAAGAATAGTTGCAGTTTTTTTGGATGTACATATTTCGAATTACTCAAAATTAAAGTTTCGCAATTAGTAAAAAGTTCTTGCATAAAATTCAACATTTTCACATTAAAAAATTTTTTCTAAAAAGTTGCCTCCAAATTTCTTATTTTAATATTTTTAGAAAATTAGAAGAAGATGAAGAAGAGGAGGATCTTTCTCTAAATGTTAAAACAAGCAAAAAACCATCGTTACCAGATTCTTTATTATCAACATTGTCTGAGGATGGGGGACAAATACGTGATTTAAATATTTTAAAAGAAAGATTGCAAGATGTTATTCAAATTCTTGGAGATTTTAAAAATAGAGCTGAACCTGGACGTAAAAGAAAAGATTATTTACAAGTATTTTTTTAAAAAAATTTTATTTTTAAATTTATTTTTTGAAGATGTTTTTAAAAGATTTGTGTGCTTATTATAATTATAATGAATTTCTAATGGAAAAATTTATGAATCTTTTTCCAAATGGAACTGAGGTTTTTATTGATTCTAATTTTTAAATAATTTTTTTTTAATAGTTAATTGAATTTCTTGATGCAAATGAACACCAGAGACCTGTTACTATTCGAACTAATCCATTGAAGACAAGAAGAGGAGAACTTGCAAAATCATTGGTATTAAATATTTTGGGAATGAATTTTTTAACAAATGAGAGGATTTGGGGGGGGGGGGGGAGTGAGCTTTTTAGGCCTTCTGAATCAAATTATTTTTCGATCTTCTGCAAGGGCAATCATTTAACTAATAGTTCTTATTGTTAGATTGCTCGTGGAATGAATGTAGATCCAGCAGCTAAATGGACAAAAGTTGGGTTAATTGTTTATGATTCTCAAGTTCCCGTTGGTTAGTAAAAATATTTTTCTAAATTAAAAAAAATATTTAGGTGCAACGCCTGAATATTTGGCTGGACATTACATCCTTCAAGGACTTTCTTCATTTTTACCAGTTATGGCACTCGCACCACAACCTAATGAAAGAATTTTGGTTTCTTAAACTTTTTTATAAAATTAATTATTTTATTAGGATATGTGTGCAGCACCAGGGGGTAAAACAACACATATTGCCTCTTTAATGAAGAATACCGGTGTTTTATTTGCCAATGATTCTAATGTAAATTTTTATTGTTACTATAAATTTTATTCACATATGTTTTCTCAAATCCTAATCTTTTTTTAAACGTTTTTCTATGGAGGATTAGTTTTTCGACAAAGTTTCTATTTCTGGGCTTTAAGTAACAATTCATTTCTATTTTATTTTTTTTTATTTCGGTGATTTCATTAAATTTCATTTTCCAAATTAATTTCCTCTATTTCCCCATATTTAATTAAAAATTTTTATTTATTTTTAGCCATCAAGAATTCACGGGATAATTGGAAATATTCATCGAATGGGCGTAAATAATTGTGTTGTAAGCAATCTTGATGGTACAGAATTTGCTAAAGTCCAAACACATTCTTTTGATCGAGTATTATTGGATGCTCCATGTTCAGGTACAGGTGTTATATGGAAGGATGAACGTGTTAAAACTACAAAGGTTTTAATATTTAATTTCTAAGATTAAAAATTTGAAGGATTATGAAAATATAAAAGAACGTTTTACACTTCAAAAACGTTTACTTTTGGCAGCAATAGATTCAGTTAATGCGCATTCTGGTAAAAATGGAGGTTATATTGTTTATTCGACGTGTTCAGTTTTGGTTGAGGAAAATGAAGCAGTTATTCAATATGCTTTGGGTAAAAGATATGTTAAAATAGTTCAAATGGGTTTGGATGTTGGAGTGCCTGGATTTACAAAGTAATTAATCTTATAATTGAAAAATGTTTTTGTTAAGAATATAATTGGGAATTTAAAACACAAGTTACTTTTTTGAGAATTTATTTGACGAGTTTTAAAGGGGTGAATTTGTAGGCAAAACTAAATAGGGAGATCTCAATTATTGAGAACTTTCACTCCATCTTTGTTCTGCTAGGGTTTAAAAAAATTTTTTCCTCCAAATATATTTCTATTTTCTCAAAAAGGTTTCGAGAATATCGTTTTGATCCATCAATGCAAAATACTCGTCGTTATTACCCACATGTGCACAATATTGACGGGTTTTTTGTTGCAAAACTTCGCAAAGTTTCAAATGAAATAAAGAAGAAAAAAGAGAAAAATCAAAAGGACGACGAAGAAACTAATAAATCAAAATCAAAAAATAAGCAAAATAAAGGAGGAAGGAGAGAGGAAACTGAACAAGAAGATATGGAACAAGATGAGGACAAGGGGGAAGACGAAGATGAGGGGGAAAACGAAGATGAGAACCAATCTGATTGAGATAATTGTTTTTTTAATTCGTTCTTATTTTGAATAATTATAAAATGTTTTTTGTCAAGTCTAGACTCTGCAAGTATTATTTTACGTTTAAAAATCGAATAAAATCAAACACATAATCGGGAAAGACGAACGCGGAAAAATCAATAAAAATTTGTCAGAACATGGTACTTTCGATTTTCGGGGTAAAACACGGAATAGTGTGGATTTTCCCATTCGGATCGCTTTCTCCAGTCGACAAATTGATCCAGAAATAAAACCTAATAAAAACAAAACGTTCTTCTCATGAGACATTAAATTTTATTTAAATAATTAGGATGGATGGCGAATACAATAAATTAAAATAAAATCAAAAAATGAGAAATTGTCTCAAAATAATTTCGCCTCCTCCTTTTCAAATTAGCCTTCAAGGCATTCATTTGGTCTTCGGCTGCTCGCCAGTAGTCGTTGCAGTCGCGTTGCCCGGCTTGAAGTCAATCGGGATGTTACGCTTCCCTTCACCATCACGATGAGCAGTCACACACAAGCGACCAGCGTTGTCCATCTCGCACCTTAATGTTTAAATTAAAAATGGTTATTTCACACTAAAAAACTCACTTAACAGTCTCCTGCTTGACTCCTTCCGGAATGTAGACGCGACGAACAAACTGACGGTGAACAGACTCGCCTAAATTTAAATTTTAAATCTTGGAACTACTATCAAAAATAACCTTGATTCTCCTCACGATGGTCCCCAGAGATGACAACCTCGTTCCCATGAACTTCAACCTTCAACTCCTCAGGACGGAAGCCAGAAGCGTCGACCTTATAGGTGAAGTCCCCATTAGGCTCAATCTTCATTTGAGCGGCATGGTCACGCATCTAATGAATGAAAGACAATCAAAATGAAAAGTTTAAAGAACAAAACCACACCTGGAATCCGACGCGATCGTCAAAGTAACGGTCAATAGATTGCATCCAGCGGTCCATCTGTTCGAGCGGGTCAGCCATCCAATGACGGCGGTGTCCTGCCCATGGAACCATCGAGCGAGTCGAAGTAAAAGAAGGAATGTTCAACATTTTAGAATGTTTGAAGATGAGATTAAATAAAATACGCTAAAAATTTGTGAAAAATAATGAATGAATTGAAAAATAATTTTAATTGTTACCTTCATTAATCTCTAAGAAAAGAAAATTTTACTTAAAAAAGATTTTAAAAATTAAAGAATTGATAAAGGTAACAATTGATAATTGGTACAAAAAAGGAACTATAGCACTAGTAAATAAACAAAAACTAAACAACAACAAACTCAAAACAAAAACTAAAGAACGGTTCGAATATGTAAATGAATAAAATGTGAATTTTTTCTCTCATTTTATACTGCACCCGAGCAAAGTACTTTGATGGTAAATAAATTGCAAAACAATCATGCTGGAATTTACTGGAAAAAATACATAATGCATAAAGAAAAAATATAAACAAGGAGAAAAATTGACAAATTGTCAACAAGGATATAATTGTTTACATGTTAGTATTTACTACTAGAATTTACTGGAAAAAAATTGATTGTAACAATTAAAGCGGGATTAACCCAGTATATCGAAACCCTATATCTCAACATTCATACCAGGGATGTTGACTTAAAAAATATATTCAATTCCCGATTTCAGTAAGTAGGGATCCCGGCCAAAAAAAACATGCAGGATTGTTTCCGGTGAGTTACTGACACAAATTATGCGCGCATGAGGGAATGGAACTCTGATTGGAGAATAACCCTGGAGTGTATATGCCAGGGCTCCGATCGACAAAATTCCAATTTAGAGTACATAAATCTCGATTTTAAAGGACATAGGGACAAAATTTCGAAATTTAAAGTACACTCCAAATTAAATTCGAAAATATTTATTCGTGCTCAAATTGTTTATATTTCTCTCCTAAATTATCTTTTCTAATAATTTCTTGTTTACACTGAGCATTTTGTGCATTTCGATGCCATGACATGTCAAAATTCGCTGACTTAAGAAGTAAAACCCTGACAGTCTTAACCTCAAGCAAGTTTTTTTCTTTCGTCTATTGAATACTTGCCATTGAGAAGACCTGCTGCAGCCAGGCCCGTAGCCAGGATATTTTTCGGGGGGGGGGGGGGGGGGACAAGGTGTAAAAATTTTTCTGCGCCTGATTTTTGGCACCGAAGGTGCCAAAAATTTTGATTTTTTGCGCCGCAGGCGAAAATTTTGAGAATTTTGGAGGTCCTTAAGCCAGATTTCTTCCATTTTTTGCGCCGCAGGCGAAAATTTTGAGAATTTTGGAGGTCCTTAAGCCAGATTTCTTCCATTTTTTGCGCCGCAGGCGAAAATTTTGAGAATTTTGGAGGTCCTTAAGCCAGATTTCTTCCATTTTTTGCGCCGCAGGCGAAAATTTTGAGAATTTTGGAGGTCCTTAAGCTAGATTTCTTCCATTTTTTCAAAATGTTGATTTTAAAGTACATACTTTCAATAAAGTACAAATTCAATTTCGTAAGTACGGAGGTCGATTTTAAAGTACTGTACTTTCAAATAAAGTACGAATCGGAGCCCTGGTATATGCCAACGATCCTGCCGTCTCGATCCCTGAAAATCGGGAATTCCCGACGTTTTTTAGGGTCGGGATCCCGTTTTCCCGAAATCGGGAATTTTGGTTTTTTTGTCGGCATGATACATATAGCTTGAAGCAAAAATCAAAACAAAAAGTGTATACCTCGACAAAATAATTTTTGGCGGGAATCTTGGGCGTTTAATAAAATGTATGAGAAAATTGTTCGGGAATGGATTTGGGGTCTTTAAAAAAGTGGCAGCTTTTACATCCTCAATTTTAATTGTGGAGGCGTTATTAATAGCTAATAAAGAGTTGAATGGATTTTCTGGAATCGACAAAACAGCTGAGAGATTGAGTAATTGGTGGGAATATATTGAGTGGCTTATTTAAAAGAAATTTGTGTTGTTTGTCAATACACAAAAAACATGTAAATGATTAACCAACAAACAAAATATATTGGACATTTTTTTGAGTATTAAATTCTTTTTTTTGTTTTTTCTTTTTAAAAAAATTCACTTAATATTTTTATTATTCAAAAATTTAATTTTACTTTATTTCACCTTTACATAATTACTCTAAAATAATTTTTGAACCAAACATACCCAATTAATTTTTATTTTTTTTTCAATTTTGACTTTTAATTTGTAAATATTTTTGGAGAACTAAAAAATCTAAAAAAATTTGTTTGTTTGTTTGTTTTCCGGCAATGAGTCTGCGCTACTAGTATGTTATTTTTAAGTGTTTATTTCTAAGTGAAGATAAAAGGCTAACTATACTTAAATATATATTTATTCTTCTCTTTTCTTCGTTAGTTAATTAAAGATTTTTTTAAATATATTTTTAAAATTTTTGATTATTCCATATTTTACAATATTTTTAAATTTAATGATTTAATTAAATTACCTACATATATTATAATAATTATTACATATATTATTTTCTTACATTATTAACTCATCGGCCATCAAAAGCCGAGAGAACTCGAAAAATGTAGAAAGTCTATTTTGATAGGTTAAATAGCCAATCACTTTTTAAGAACAATTACAAGTAGAACTAAAATAATTAAATAAAACAAACTTAATGCAAATTTACTACTTTAACAGAGTTTATTAACCACATTCTTAATTATTTTTATTATTTTAAAATCTCTTCCTTTAATATTTTTCAAATATATGTATTTTTTCAATTTTTTTATCTTTTTTTGTAGAAAAGTGAGGAAATATTTATTTTTATTTTGTATGGTTTCGGCTGCAGTTATAGCTCGAGCATTTGTAGCAAATCAACAAGAAGCCTCTAGACGGGCAGCTTTAGCAGTAGAGGCTGAAGAAAATAAAATAAGTAATGGGGGCGGCATTACATTGATTGATCATTTGAGGTGTGAAAAAAAAGAAGAAGTTTTTTTGTTTCTTTTTTCTGTTTGTAATAAAATCTGGGGAAAACATACAAAAGAAAAAAAGAAAAGTTTATTTTTTAAAGTTAACACCTTCACTTTCTTTTTTTTTTCAAATAAAAAAAAGTTGAAATAAATGACACAAATAAGGTGATTTTAATTTAAATTAAATTTTAAATTTTTATTTACCAAAATTAACTTTATCCCCAAGTCATGTTAAGTTTTTTCCTTTATCAGAATATACATATAAGAAGGAATGTATATTTAATTATTAGAAAGTTGTATAATAAAAAATCTGACTTTTACGAATAAAGGGCTCAGCTTAATATGTAGTTGGGATGGAAAGAGTACCTAAACAATAACTGGAGGAGTACAATACGAGTTCCCAATAATTAAAAGTCAAGTTAAGAAAGAAGAAAATAGGAGGACGAGGAAGATTAATTGGTTAAGGAGAAGTTGTGTTTAAACTTTTAAGCAAAAAAGTCACATTAAAACCGTAAAATTTTTGATTTATTCTAAGAGTTGCGGCACGTGCAAGTGTTGCAGGATCAACAAGAAGAGAAACAATTAGACGTACCCAGAGTATGAAAAGTACACCAAAAGTAAGGGAAAATTTTTTAAATATTTCCTTCTATACTTTAATTTACTATTTAAAGTCACCAACAGAAATAGATGTGGGAACAACAAGAACGGCAAGTTCATCAACAGAACGGAACCCAAAGGTACAAAATTTATTTATTTAAAAGATTACTTTTAAATAAAAGCTTCTGGCTTTGATGATAATAAATAATATTTTCTCTTTAAATAATTAAATAAAAGGAATTATATTTTAATTTTTAAAAGAAAAAAAAGAAAAAGAAAAAAGGATTTCTCGAATTTGGACCTTTACGTTTTATTTCTTCACCAAAAGATGAAGGTAAACGTTTAAGACCAACATCCCTTCAAAGACAAGATACTATTGGAATACAAAAACCTGGGCTTAGAGCAATGCTTTATGGATTGACTTTAAAAATGGAAAAAGAAGAAAAATTACAGAAGAAATTGACAAGAAAAAGAGAAGGTAGTAGTAATTAATTTAATAATTGTTTGGGGGAAGGGGGGGGGATAAATCTGGGGGGAAGTAACGAAGGGAAGGAGGGAGGGATTTTTGTATTTAGTATATTTCCAACTTTCAAATTTTCTTTATTAATTTCAAGAAATTATATTTAATTAATTATTAATTTTTAAATAATAATTCTCACCAAAATAACCTAAAATATTTTTAAATCAAAAAATTAGTTTTTTGGTTACTCTTTTTTCAAAAAAAAAGGAAAATAGAGGAAGATTAAACATGTCAAATTTTTTAAAATTATTTGAAAAAGGGAGGATTTATGATGAGTTAATGGGTTTAAAATAAAAAATATATTTTTTTAAATTTAAAATATTTTCTTTGGAAATTTATTTTATATTTATATTTAGGTATTTATTAGGCAATATTTTATAATTAAATATAAATTTTAAATTATTTTTTAAAAAATATTTTTAAATTTCCAATTATTTATTTTAGTATTTTTAAATATTTTTTTGACTTATTTTGACAATGTCGCCTTCTTTAGAAAAAAAATTCTTTTTTTTTTTATTTTTGATGACGCAATTCTTTTGAAAAAACAAAAGAATTAACTAATTTATTTAAATATTATTTTTAAAAATATTTTTTTAAAAGTTTATATCTTTATAAAATTAATTAGTAGAGCGTGTTTTTTTAGGTCCAAAAAATTGCTAAATAGGATCCTATTTAGGTCCAAAAAAACTTAAAAATAGGTCCGAAATAGGTCGAAAAAGGCCAAAATAGGTCCAAATTTTGACAAAATAGGTTCTAATTTTGGTTGAAATTAAAACATTTATGATATCACTTTTACTAAATTTGAACTTTTTTATGATATTTTTTAATTTTAAATAGAAATTTACTGAAATTTGAGTGATATAACAATGCCTAACCCTAAATACCGTAGCATTTTAAGGGATTTCGTAATATAAGGGGTGTACGAAATAAAATGGGATATCGATGGATTTGAATTGAATGGGGATTTATTGGGTTAAAGGGATTTGGATAGGCGGGGGAGTTGTAGCATTTAATTAGGATAAAGAATAATTAAAGAAATATCTTTGATTTAACGTTATATCGGGAGATATAAATGTTAATATAAATGTTAACCTTACAATTTTCGAGTGCAGTTCTAGTACGATGGCAGATTCTAGTTCCTACTAAATGAAGATATACCAGAATACTAGCGCCGCAGGCAAAATTTTTTGGGTTTTTGGGTGTTTGAGATGCTAGATTTGGCGGAAATTGACTAAAAATAAGCAAATTTAAGAAAAATTTTCAAAAAACCTAGAATAGGTCCAAAAAAGGTCGAAATAGGCTCAAAATAGGTTTTAGGTCCGAAAAGGTCGAAATAGGTTTTTTAGGTTTTAATAACTCGAAAAGTACGTTACACTATGCGGTAAAACAGTGTTTTTTCGACTTATCTCATCAAAGGCCGTTCGCAAAAAAATAGGTAAAAACCTAAAAAAACACGCTCTATTAATTAGTAATTTAATCAGAAATTTTGATTTTATTTTATTTTAAATTAAGAAGATTCTCTTTCTAAAAATAACCTAATTTATTTAAATTTTAATTTATTTTTCATTCATTTTAACCAAATAAAAACTAATAAATCTTTCTTTTTATTACCAAAAAATATATGTATATTTACTAGGTTTATTTTTTAAATCTAATATATTATTTGTCTTCACTATTATTTTATTTTATGTAAAAAAAGCTTTCTCATTTTTGGTTTTAATTTAGCCTTTTTTGGGGGAATCCAATAAATTTTTGTTGTTTTTCTAAATATTTATAAATTTTTAATCTTTAATAAGTTTTATTATTGACTAATAAATTCTTCTTAAATATATATATGGATAAACCTTGATAATAAGAAATTATATTTAATGAAAAGTATTACAAAGTTGCTATTAAATTAATAAAATATAATAAAAAACAGAATGATCTGAGATTATCGCACACACAACTTCCCTCAACTATAATTAAAACATGATAATTATTTATGTAAATTAACGGAAAGTTCTCTTAAAAATTATTTGGAACAAAAAAGATTGGGGATGTGTAGATTTGGATAAAGCAAAGATATTTTGTATGATAACTCTTTTTTTCAGCTAAAAATTTATTTAAAAAAATATTATTTTCTTCTTCTTCTTTTTGTTCTCACTCATTCAAGCAAAAATTATTTTTAAAAAACCTGCCAGCCACTTTGGATGTTTTTGAGGATTCATCCATTTATTAGGCAAAAGGATAAATGGCTTTTTTCTTTGTTTCTTCTTTTTTACTTGGCCACATGCCCACAAAATGAAATTGGCGTGTAACAGCCACAAAAACATCAAAAACCTTTTCAATCACTTTTAAAGCACAGATTTGTGGAAAAGAAATAAAAATATGTATTGAATGGCTTTAAATGTCAGTTGGCCATTATTTTGTTATTTTTTTTTCTTTGAGAGATCTCTCAATCGATTTAGACGAGACTCATTGTTTTTGACGGGAAAAATCAAAACTTTTAAATAAAAATATTTTTATATATTTTTAAAAAAAAGGAGAATATACTAACTAATCTCTCTCTATTATTTAATGGAATAATATTTAGTAATTTTTAAATTCAACTCTAAAAACAAAGAAGAGTCTTTCTTTTATAATTTTCTTTCTTCCATTCCTAATTTTCTTCTAAATTAATGGATCATAAAAGACATCATAAACATTATCAAGAATTTATTTCATCAAAAGAACAAACACCAACAAAAACTTCAAATCAACAAAAATATAAAAATGTTAGCAGAAATACTTTAAGAAAAGTTCCAGACAGACCATCCCCTCCTCCTCCAAATAATAATTCTCCAATTATACCTCCAGTATATGTTGGACATAGACCTTCACCACCTTTAGAGGCAACAACTTCAGATAATAAAACATCTCAAACAAGGACAACTTCGAATGTTGGGGCTACAGTTGCTGCATTAGCTGCTGTTTTAGCAACAGCCCCAACAGCCGCTGCTCGTCCAAATTCTTCAAGAAAGGAAGGTGGAGGATTACTTTCTGTTCCAAATCATCGACAAAATTCTCGAAATAATTCTTCTGATGGAAATAATCTTTTATTATCAAGATCTGCTCCAATGCTTGCGGCACAGAATTCAACAGCTTCAACAAGTTATCTTCGTCCATTTGGTAATCAATCATCTGCAGCAGTTTCCTTTCATTCCTCTCCAATTTCCCCAAGTTCTTCAACTAACGTTGTTGGAAATGATTTCTCTCCTTATTCTAAAACACCCCTATCCTCTCAACCTCAAGGTGCAAATGTTGTACCCTTCTCTTCCTCTTCAACATCCCTTCGTCGTTCAATTCGCAATGAATTTGATGCGTTTAAAAGAAGAAGTATTTCCGAATTATCTTTAGTTTTGGAAGTATTAAAAACAGCTACTAATAGAACAAAATATGGAGGGATGCCTGACGATGACATTAAAAGAGATTGTTGGGGAAGGGGAACAACAACTGATGATGAATATTATCAAATAAATCATGGGGGAGGAAACAGACATTTTATGCACACAGTAGGACCTGTAGAATCTTCTTCTGGAAGTATTTCAGCAGTTAATAGCTTAAGGAGAAGCGGTTTTGTACCTCCACATCATCATTCTACGGGAAATTTAGCGACACCGTTTAGTAGGAAAAGTCAACGAAGAATGGCACTAAGACGAAAAATTCAATGGGAAAGACTATCTCCTGCAGCGATTCAAAGACAAATTGTTCAAGGTAAAAGATCTTTTAAAAATATTTTTAGTCAATATAAATATTGTGGGTTAGGTATATTATTTCTATGGATTTTAATCGGCATATCTTAATCCGGTTATTCTTATATCTTAAACGGGTTCTTTTATTCTGAAGACTGCACTATTAGACTGAATTTTAATTTATAGAAGATAGCCTAGCTAATTTATAATTTTAAGTGAATATATACCTCCATACATATTTTTTGGAAAATTAATAAAATTGGGATATGGGGATAAAAAATATTAAGTAAATTATTTCCCTTTCTTTTTAAAAACAAAACTAGAAATTCAATTCTTGAGTACAACTATGAAATAAAATAATATAAAATTGAAGGGTTAAAACAAAAAAAAATAGGTCGCCAATTTGAATTGCCTAATTGAAATTTAAAACCAAAAAAATATTTTTATTTGAATTAAATCCTCTAAATATACTTTTTTATTTTCTCTAAAAATTTATTTCACATCTCTCTTTTCTCCTTCCTAAAAATAATGCAGCTTTTTGTGCCCAAAATTCACATAAGAGTTGAAACAAGAGAACAACTCTTCCTTCTTTTATCGCGCGGCATAAAATACGATTGAAATTCTTTTATTCCCCCCCCCCTAACCTTTTCTTTCCTCTTTTCCTTCACAATTTTTATTTTTATCCTCAAAGCCCGTTATTAAAAAAAAGTTTTTTTATTTGTTCTTCATTCACGCCTTTCCTTCTCTTCAAAAATATGTTAACAACAACAAATATTCCTTTAAATAATTCTCAAAACCCATTAACAACCCCCAAACATTCTTCTAACATTCCTGATCGCCCTTCTTCTTCTTTCAATTTTTCTTCTTCATCTTCATCTTCTATTAATTCTCTATCTTCATCAAAACGAAAAAAGCAAAATGGTGTTTGGTGGGGAATTTTGGAAGAAAAAGAAGAAGAAAATAAATTTAATTATTTTGATTCTCGTTCATCATTATTATTAAATAAAAATAATAGTAGATATTTAAATCATCGTTCTTCTTCTCTAATTCTTCATAGAAATGGAACTTTTCGACAAAAAGGACCAGCACAAAAAATTATATCTGTTGAAAGACCACCAATTTATTATTATTTATTTAAAAGAAATTATATTAATTTACGCGCACATAAAAGTGAGAAAAGAAAAAATAAATGTACTTATAGTCCAACAATAATTGTACATTGAGACCTTTGTAGTTGGAATAATTAAGTGAGTATATTCTCTCAGAGTTTAGAAGCCTAAACGTTTCTATTTGTACTCGGATTTTTATTTGTGCTTCAAAGCCTAAAGAGTCCCATTTGAATTTTAGTTTTTATGAGTCAAAGTAGATCTCTTCAGGATTTCTTAAGTTCTTAAAAAGTCGGGACCTAGAATGGACTCAAAAACTCGGCCTGATTCTTTAGACGTCAAATACTGTTAAGAATAAATTTCGTCCACGGATAAACATTTTTTAGGTTAGGACGAACTCTGCCTCTAAATTGAAAAAAGTTTGTTGTAAATGTCTTCTATGTACAATTGTTGTAAAATCTAAAATTAAAATGGGGATTATTATCTATGTAGTATTTTTTTAAAATTAAATATACATATATCTAATAACTATCTTTATTACTTCCAAATTTTTGTAACCAATTTTACTTTATTTAAAATAATTTTTCATCTCCTAATTATTTCTTCTATTATTTTCATTGAAAATGCTTCAAATGTGTCTTCAAATATTTAATAATTATTAATATTTTTATGAGAGCAAAGAAAAATAAAATATTGCCTAATAAATAAAATTAATTTTTATAAAATTAATTAAATTATCTCTCTAAAATTTTTCAGTTCAAGAAGAGAAAGCAATGCTGCAAGCACCTACTGCCCCTATTTCTGCTGCTAAATTTGTTGCATATGTACAGGAAAGGCGCAAAAAGAGGATATTGTTTAAAGGAGAATTTTTAATGATTCAACGTTCAGTAGACCCTCAAAGGTTGACAACTGAAGTTGGAATTCGGATGGGGGAAAAAGTAAAATTATAAATTAATTTGTACTGTTGTTTTATTCCACATTAGAGTTGTCGGTCTCACCAGATTGACAACCCTATGTATTCCACATCTAGAATAAAAAAGTGTTTGGGGATAAATTTAATATTTTCTATAGTAGCTCCTGATTTTCGTTTCCTTTTTTAACAAAATTTATTTATTTAAAATTAAATTTTTTAGAATCAATATCCAGATACATTGCCTTACGGTAATTAAAATATTTTATTTAAAACTTTTAATTATTTTTAGATCAAAATCGTGTAATTCTCGAACACAGGCCAGGTGTAGAAGATTCTCATTATATTAATGCTTCTTATGTTAATGTAAATATTTTTATAAATTAATTTTCTTTAAAATTTGATTTTTTTGATTTTTTAATTTTTCCCTCCTAAACACAACCCCCCCCCCTAAATTAAAAATTAATTAACACATTAATTTAATTAAAATTTCTTTTTTATTAAAAAGAGTTGGCTTCGAGAACGTGCCTATGTTGTTACACAATCTGTTAGGAACAAACAAGCCAGTAATGAATTTTGGCGGTGTGTTTGGGAAATTGGTGCAAATGTTAGCTAAAATAATAAAAATTTACTTTTCTAAAAATTATTTTTCTAAAGACAATAGTTATGCTCACAAAAATTTTTGATTTTATGCGCGTTGTTTGCCTTCAGTATTGGCCTCAAACACAATTCCAATTTGGAGAAATTCATGTAGAGACTTTGGATACACGAACATATGCTCATTTTGTATGTACATTTTTTGGAATTGAGGGGAGTATGAGAGAGAGAGGGAGGGAGATTATTTTAACATTTTATTAAAGAATACCGTTTTAAACCTAAAATAAGCGATATACGGGGCATTTCACTTCTTTTATGAACACAAATGTGTGTTGTCCATCTTCTGTTCATTTAATCTAAATTTTTAGGTAATTCGAACATTTCGACTTCGCAAAACAGGCGGTGTTGGAGATTTAACAACAACTTCAACAGATGGAAAAGGTGAAACACTAAGGAATATTAATGACAATTCTGAAGAAAGAATTGTTAAACATTTTCACTTTACAGAGTGGGAATTGGTAATTAATATTTTAAAAAATATTTTTAAAAGAAAAATTAATTTTTAGAATTCATTTCCATATATTTCTGCTTTTGTTGAAGTTCGTCGACGAGTAAGACAATGGATGGAAAGGAGCCCAGTTGATTCCCCAATTGTTGTACATTGCAGGTAAAATTTTAAACAACTTTGAGAGAGGGAGAGAGAGATATTCTCATAATTCAAAATATTTTATTTTAACTTTTAAACAATTCAAAATCAACATTCATTTTAAATTTTAATTATTTATCATTTCTTCAATTAAATTATTACAATTTCTACTAATATTTTCTTCTTCATTTTGTATATCCCTTCTTCTTTTAATTATATTTCCACAAATTAATTTACTACAAGTTTTAGGCCATTTTTGCCAATTTAAAATTTTTTCTTTTCCAAATATTTCTTTTAACCAATTAAATACCTTTTTAAATATTTATTTAAATTAATTTTTAATTAAAAAATACCTGTAATTGAGAATATTTAATTAAATATTTAATGGCTCCTTCTTTACATTTAGGTTCTTTATTTAAAACTCTTTGGGCACAATTTAAGTCACACAACTTTAAATTTAAATTCACTCTTTTATTTAAAACAAAAATTCCCCTTTATTCCCTCTCATTTTTTACAGTAAATATTTGGAGATTTTGTTTAATTAAAAATTCCTATATTTTTATATTTAAACTTGCCAATGTTTTGCAACGTTGTCCCATTCCGTTAAATGTTAATTTTAATTCTGTATATGGCCCACAACGTAATGAGCCACAATTTCTTTTTAAATTTAAAGAAGAATTAGAATAACAATTTAAATGTGAAATTAACTTAAAAAAATATTTAATTTATTTATTTAAAAAATTTTTTTGCCTCTTCTTTTCTTTTTTGACAAACAAAATCACGCATATTAAATTGAACTTGAAAACCGCACCGAAAAGAAAAAATTTATTTATTTTTAAATTTAAATTAATCTACCCAATTAAACAATTATCATGTTCTAAATCTAAATTACAAAATAATTGTAAATCTAATTTGTCAATAACTGAAGGTACTCCAACACTTCCAAATGATGAATGGGACTTGAAAAGAGAGAGAATTTTTATAATTTTATTTTAATTTTTAAATATATTCCGAGCAACCGCTTACTCTTTTAGATCTCCATTTTTTCCAGATCCACTACCCCTAATCCTCAAAATTAAAATGAATCGGCCAGTAACAAGTCTGCTGGTTTACAAATATATTCTAAGGTCACTAACATAAATAATTTAGTTCGGATCCGGCAATTTTCAAATTCCGAACTTTAATAAATAATTAAATATACCTTAACCATATCTAACCCCATTCTTAATTGTTCATTACATTTTTGATAACAATTTTCTTCTTCATCAATTTTCCTTTCATTTTCTAAATTTCCTTCTAAAAATTTATTTTTCAATTAAAAATAATTTTTTCCGAAAAATTTTTTTACTTAAATTATTTAATAATTCAAATTGTTTTTCTAATCGTAATAAATCAAATGCAATTCTTTCTCTTTTTATTCTTTTAGATATTAAATTAGTTGTAGTAATTGTTGGGTTTGGAAGTGAGAATAATAAAATAATAATTAGTAAAATATTTTTGGGAATAAAAAAAGGAAAAAACATTTTTTGGAAATTTAAAAACAATAAATAAATTAATTAAAGGGGAAAAGTTTAAAATTAAATAAATATAAAATAAAAAGAAAATTGGACTGAAAAATATGTATAATTTTTGTTTTTTTGTTTTAAGAATCGAGGACGTTAATTAAATGAGAGGAACGGGGACAAAAAATAATTTTGTAGACAAACCCAATAATTTTTTTATTTTTTATTTGTTTCTTCTTTTTTCTTTTTGCTTTTTAATCGGTAAAATAATCAACAAACAACAACAATAATTATATAAAAAGTGGAACCAGACGAACAGCTAAATTATTTGTTAGTTGTTGGCCTTAATAAAAATCGACAAAATATTTTAATAAAAATATAAAATTCAAAATTATCTGAGGATCACCGTATATGCTCTGTTAATTATTATAATTACCCTCTCAAGTAATTTATTGCCCCCTTCAGCAAAGGTTGAAACAATACTTACGCAGGATAAATATTAGAATGCTTAATTAAGGGGTCTGATTTACTCAAAAAACAATTCCCCCTCTGAATTTATTGATCGAGATTTTTAAATATTTATTTAAAAAAAAATAAATTTTAAATTTATTTTTTAGTAATGGTGGTGGGCGTTCTGGTGCTTTTTTAGCTGTTGATGCTAATTTAGAGCTTTTGCAAAGGACTGGACAATTAGATGTTTTTGAATATGCTAGAACATTAATTAATTCTCGACAAAATTTAATTGTTTGAAAAAAATTTTTTTTTAATTTAAAATTTAAATATTTTTTAAGTCCTCAGTAGAGCAATACACATTTATTTATGATGGTTGGTTTTTAAAATATTTTGAAGACTTTAATTTAATTTTAGTTCTTTGTGAGGCTGTTTTATGCAATCTACAACCTATGGCAATGCACCAATTAAAAGTAAATAAAAAAATTATTTTTTATGTTAAATAACGAGAATAATAACTAAAAAATGTTTAAAATTTTTGGAAATATTTTTAATTTTTAAAATTTTTATTTAAAAGGATCGTAGTACAATGTACAAAGCAAGAAAAAATAGAGAATTGATGGAATTACAAGACAGTCACGAAAATAAACTTTTAACAATGTTAACTGCTCCGCTAAGGATTGGGGATTGTGCTGGTGGACATAGACTAGAAAATAGAGGAAAAAACAGGGATGTTATGGTTGTAAGTTTGGATTTTTTATTTAAATTTCCTTTTAAAAATTTAAAATTATTTTTAAAAAAGGTACCCCCAGACCATGCCCGTCCATATTTACAAACTTTGCATGGAGAAAGCAAAGACTACACGTAAATTCGAAATTTATTTAGAATAAAATAAAATTAATGTATGTAGATATATTAATGCTGTTGAGGTTGATGGTTTTACACGCAAAGCTGAGGTAGTAGATAAATAAATTTAGAGATAAGAAATTAAAAAGAAATTTTCAATAATTTATTTTTTAAATAAATTATTGAAAATTTAATTTTTAAAAATTAATAACTAATTAATTAATTAACTATTTCTAAATTTAAATTTTGTTTTAAAAATACTTTTATTTAAAAAGTTTATTGTTACTGAATGGCCAAAGCAACAAACATTAGACTCATTTTGGACACTTGTTTTTGATCATAATGTTCACACAGTTATTTGTTTAACTAATCAACCAACTGATACAAAGGCAAGAAAGGAATTTAATTGAATATTTACATAATTTAATTTAGACATATCCCCCATTTGTGCACAATAAAGGGAAAAGAAATTATGGCCCCTTTACAATTGAAGTAATTAATAAATAAATTAAATAAATAAATAAATATTTATTTATTTATTTAAGATTGTAAATTTCCAACAATATCCGGGCCTTTGTTCTTATATGGTTAAACTTTCTAAACGGGTCAGTTTTTTTTGAAAAATATTTGTTTAAATTAATTTATAATTATTTTACTCTTTTCTCTATTCAATAAAAACTTTTATTGAATTAGTTATCTTTCATTATCTGAAGACTATTTTTAGTTAATTATTTTATGGAATTCAAACTTGTTAAAAATCTTAAATTTCTCCCAAAATTAAATAAAACAAAGTTTGAGATAGTTCCAGAAATTCATTATTCAATAATTGTCTCTTTATTTTTTGTTTTGTAATAATTTTTAAGCCAATGGAAGAAGTTGTTGAACGACGTAAATGGTTATTTACTAGACGTAAAAGTAGTAAAGGGGGAAGTGCCGGAGTTCGTTTAAGACGTCGGCCAACACTTTCACATTTTTTGGCAGAATGTGAAAAACAACGTAGAAGAGATAGCGGGCCTCCAATTAGCGGATTTAGTAGCCATTTTACTCAAAATGTTCCAGATAAAGAGGATTTAATGTCAACTTCTTTGAATGACCCAAATTTTCGATTACAGCAAAAATATTGGGGGAAAATACACAGAAAAACTCCAACACCTACACCAAGTCCAGATTTTGGTAATAGTGATGAAGATAATACAAGTAGTAGAAGTGAGGAAGAAGAAGAAGAAGAATTGAATTCTATAGATGATGATGAATTAGAAAATGGACGTGAAAATATTGGAAAGGAAGGGGAAGAGGAAGAAGAATTAAATAAAAATAATAAATCTGATAAAATAAATGAAAATATTGTTAGGCATAGACGAGGAATATATTTACGACAAAGGGAGAGAGAACGACCTCTTTCTGATGGAGCATTATTGCCTGAACAGGTGTTTATTTTTGTTTTTAGTTGGGGGGTGGAAGTAGAAACTTGATTAGAAAATATCATTCGCCCTGTTGATTTGATAAGAGACTTTTTGGAAATATCTCAGTGTTAATCCTATCCAAGCATTGCTTTGATAATTTTGATCACTTAATTATATCTTTGGCAAACAATTAATGTGTATATTAGTTGCTAAAATTTTTTATTTTTAGGAGATTCTAATGAAGATAAGTGTCTCAGATGCTCATCGTCCAAAACGTGATGAAAGAGGTCGTCGATTGGGTGGGGAATGGGATAAAAGGTTTGAACGTTTGGGTAAGCAATTAGTTGCTAAATTAAATGAAAGAGGAGGAGAATCTTCTAATATTCACGATAAAAATGAAGAAAAAGAAGAAGGAAATTTTAGAGAAGGAAAAGGTGGTGGTGGGGATGGAAGATATCCAAGTTTACCTTCATGTTCATCTAATACACCAACAACTAAAAAAACTTTTAGTCAAAGTACTAGAAGTAGACAAAGCAGTAAAAGTAGAAAAAGCCATAAATATCGAGGAAGTAATAGAGGAAGTAGTAAACGAAGAAGAAAAAGAAGGGAAAGACGTTTTTCTGAACCAAATCTTGGAACATTGGAACGCTTCGAGAAAGTGAGGAAAAAATGGGGGTTATTAATTCTGAAAGTGTGCACGCGTTTTTGAGAATTTTAATAAATTATTTTTTAAGTATATCTCCTTTCTGACCCAATTAGTAATTATTTTGTTGTTCTTGTTTGGCCCATTCCCACCCGGCCACATTTTTTTGCCTTCCTATTTCTAAGTTTTTTTAGTTTCTATTTAATTATTTGTTAAAATAGTTTGTATTTGCTGATTGGGGGATATATGGGGGAATATTTGGCTATGTATTAATTACTCTTTAGTTTTTGCTATTTTTAATACCAAAAATTTTTAAATTCTTATCTAATTAGAATTTTATTTTTTAATTTAAATTTAAAAAAAAATTATTTTTGCATTTGCAATAAAATATATGTGGCTGGGAGGGGAAAGGGTATACGCGCCGTTATATTTTTTTATTTTAATTGTTCCTTCCTTCTCTCTATCTCTCTCAATCATTTTATTATCTACAAAATTTTTAAAATTTAATTTTTAAACTTTCCCGATAAATTGTTTACAGCCCACAAATGCACCAATGCCCCTTTTAATGCCTGTGGAAAAGCCAGTTGGCAATAAAAAACTTGTAAGTAAAAAAGCACAAATTAATTAAATAATCGTGAGCGTGCGCAAACTTTCCCTTTCCCTACCAGCCACTTTATTTTTTAATTTTTTTTCTTTTTGTTTGTTTGTTGTTTTTGTGTTTTTTTGTTTATTTTATTTGATTTTAAAATGGAGACAATTGCACAAAAAATTTAAGCAAAGTATCCACTTTTTAAAAAAAATCAGTCCAACAATTGTCAAATTATCCCTCCAAATTCTCACTAAAAATATACTAATTGAGTTTAATTTTTCTTTATTTTTAAGTTCCTATTTTTTGTTTTTTAAAGTGTGGAACAGAGGAGATAAAACAATTATTAAATGTAAAACGTGCAATACCTACAAGGAGAGATTTGGCCGAACAAATGGAAAAATTAGTTTGTTTATTTGAAAGCTTTCTCTTTTAAGTTTAGATATTTTATTGCTTTTTTAAGTTATTTTAATTTTTGGTTTATTCAACGAGAAACGATTTGCATACATTGTAAATGCTAAAATAATTATCCGGGGTAATTATGTCAGTAATTTTAGAAAGATATTTCTTAATCAACTTTACTTTTCAGTTTAATAGATAAAAAAAATATTCTTGTATTTGCAAATCGTTTCCAAAGTTAAAAGTATTAAATGCGATGGACTGCTTGGAATTTTTTTGTTATCGAGATTCCAATCCCTATTCCTTAAAAACGCAATTTTTGGAGGGATCCCTTCCCGCTCCGCACAAAATTATTTATTTTTAGAAGTTCTTTAAAAATATTTTTCTAGACATTTATGATAAGCGAAATAATGGCTACAGGCGCCAGTCAACAACAATTAGAGGCAGAAGTCCGTCTTTGTTGTATTATTCAAGTAAAAATGTGGCCAATTGAAAATAAAGTAAGAAAAAATAATTTAAAAATATATTCTTTTATTTCCATCTTAACTCGAATTAAAAATATATATTTGTGTTGTATTTATCAAAAAGATAATAATTTATTAATAATTTATTTTTAAGGTACCTCTTTCAACTACAGCTTTAATTGAAGTTTTGAAAATGACACGATCATGGCGGAAAAGGGCACCAGATAGACCAGGTAATGAAGTTACTTTTAAAAAATATTTGGAAAATGGAGAAAAGAAATAATTAAAGGATTATTAATTTGGATTATTAATCCCTTAAATACAAATAAAATTATAGAGGAGAAGGGTGAAATGCCTCATTTATACTGGGGTTGCTCTATTTTTGACGGTTTTGCCCCATTCCTTTAACATATTTTCTAGAAATTATTTTAAATAATTTTCACTATTAATGTCTTACCTTATTTTCTCCCCCTCCCCTCCCCCTTCTAATCGGCCACCCTTTTATTTATAGATTCAAGAATTCCTAGTTTTATTTAACAATTAATTTTTTTAGAATCTAGACCAACAATTGTTATGTCACAGTAAATTTATTTAATTTTTATATTTTCAATTCAAAATCTTTTAAAGTAATGGAGTTTCTCGTTGTGGAATTTTTATCGCTGCAAATGTTTTGGTAGGAAAAAAAAATATTTTTTAAACAAACTTTTTTAATTATTAAAATTAGATTGATCAAATGGAAATGGATCATGAAGTAGATGTATTTCATGCAGTTAAATTAATTCGTCTTAACCGTCCACAATTAATTGATGGACCTAGAACACGTTTTGTTAGTTATTTTTAAAGTAAAAATAAAATTATTTTTTTAATTTTAAAAGACTGGAGATGCAAAGGATGAATATAAATATTTATATGATTTAATGGTAATTTTTTAAAAATAAATATTTTGAATTTTTGGGAATTTTAAATGTACCAAAAGAAATTCAAAAAAAAAAACAAATTTTTCTTATCTAAATGCGCTAGAGTTTTTTTGAGAATCCTAATTTTCTGATTTATTGTACTCTATCTAGTGTACTCATTTTCTAAAAACCTTAAAGTCGAGCCCAAACTTGACCCCTAAACCAAGACCGAAAACCCTCTCCTAAAATTAACCCAAATCTTTTTAAAATTATATTTAGCTACATTGGTATATGACAAATCCAGAATTACGTTCATTCGAACCTCCAGAAGCCGATTCACTTGGCTCTGATGACGGATCGAGCGACGAAAGTATTGGAGAATCTCAATCATTGGGAACAAATAGAAGAAGTATTAGAAGTGGACATACAAGAAGTATACAAAGAAGTAAATCTAGTAGAGCATCGAGAAGAACAGTTACAACAGCTAATTCATTGGTTCATGGAGGGACAGAAATTGGGGGGACAACAACACAAAGAAATAGTAATGAAACTTCGAATGAACAAAAGAAAAGAATGGAACCGGTGTACTTAAATTAAAGCGGGAAAAATTTTAGAAAAATTTAATAAATATTTATACATTTACATATCGAAAAAAACTCAAGGAAGTCTGTAATTTAATTTTGATAAATTGTTTTGAAAATATATGTGTCTTAAACAGTTTGTAAATCCAAAAATTTAGTTTGTACTGCTACTATCTATACTTATAGACAATTTTATATTCTATGATATCCGCGTCTGATACCGTACTCAATATCATATCTGTGGCGAAGTTCCTTTCCGGCAAAATTTTTTGTATTTCTTTATTTAATTGCCCCGAATATCAGAAGGTTTTTAAACCCAAAAAACTAGCCTGTACTGATAAAAACAAGGATTTGTTGATTTATAGTGCGTTGATCTTTTGGAACGATATCTTCCTACCAGCTGCAATTTTCTCTCCACAATTAATTCGATTAATTTTTAAGTAAACTATAATGGAAATGTATTTAATATTTGCAATTATTTTTTATTTTATTTTGTTTCTGTTGACTCTTAAGTTTTTGCGTTTGAACGGATTTAATGAATTGAACGACATTTTTTGGGACATTCGAAATGGAAAGTCAGTACTCTCTGCATTATTTCGGGTATTTTTTTGATATTTAAATTTAAGATAAATAATATCTAGTTTATTGAAAATTAGGGACAGATAATGATGCTAGAAGTACCCCAATTTAAATATTAAATTCAGGTCGATACAACTTCTCCGCGACATGGAGGTGAACTAGTTGCTGACGTTCTCAAAGTTTGTTTTTTAATGTTATGCTTTAAAATTAATTAATTTTTAGGCACATGACGTCAAAGAAGTATTTACTTTATGTGGTGGACATATTTCTCCAATTTTAGTTTCATGTGAGAATCTCGGAATTAAAGTTTTGTATATATATTTTACCAAAAAAAAGAATATTTTAGGTTTATGATACTCGTCACGAAGTCAATGCAGTTTTTGCAGCAGATTGTGTTGCCCGCCTCCGTCAAAATATTGGTGTAGCTATAGTTACTGCTGGGCCAGGTTTTTATTTTTTATAGAATGTTTTAAACATTTAAAGGAGTTACAAATAGCATTACTGGACTAAAGAATGCACAAATGGCTGAATCTCCTTTGCTTTTAATTGGCGGGGCAGCTCCTACTTTGTTAAGAGGACGTGGAGCGTTACAAGTAAATTTTATTTTAATTTATTTAAAAAAAATTTTTAATTAATATTTCCTTTCAAAAAATTTTCTTGCTCCTAATTTTGTCAATTTTTATTATTTTATGTTTCTAGGATATTAACCAGCAAGTTCTCATCAAACCTTTATGTAAATTCTCTACACGGGTTCGTGCTGTTTGTGACATTATTCCAACTTTAAGGCAAGTTTAATTAATTTATTTGAAAAATTTTAATTTTAAGAAAAGCAATTTCTATAGCAAAATCTGATACACCCGGTCCAGTATTTGTTGAACTTCCAATTGATGTTCTCTATCCTTATAGTATTGTTGAAAAGGAAATTGGCTTTTCTAAAAATCCAAAAGGATCAAAGGTTTTTATTTTAAATAGAAATTGCTTAAAAATTCAATTTTCTTTATTTTCAGCAAATTTTGGAATTCTTTCTTCGTGCCTATATTTCTTGGGTATTTGGTGCTGCTTGGAGACCTCAACCAACGACTCCACTTTCTATTAACACTCCAATGTGTAAACAATCACAAATAAATTCTTTAATTAATTTACTTTCTTCCTCTCAAAGACCACTGATTTTATTGGGTTCACAAGCTGTTTGTCCTCCTATAGAGTTAAATATCCTTGCAGAAGCTGTTAAAGTAACATTATTTTTTATATAAAATTAAAAATTATTTTAGACATTAGGAATGCCTGTTTATTTGGGTGGAATGTCGAGAGGCTTATTGGGAGCTAATTCTTCTCTTCAAATGGTCCATAATCGTAAAGAAGCATTAAAAAATGCTGATTTGATTATATTAGCTGGTTTATTATATAAATTGTTAAAAATATTCTTTTTTCGTTTTTTAGGAGCAGTTTGTGATTTTAGATTAAGTTATGGAAGAATTTTGAGTCCAAAAGCTAAAATTGTTGTTATCAATAGGAATCACTCACAAATGTTAAAGGCTAGTTTAAAGAAAATTTAAAAATAAATATCTACTTGAAAATGAAAGGAATATTATCTTTATTTTAATTTTAGTTAATTTTAAATGTTTCTAAATTTAAATAATTAAACCAGGTAGCAAAAATAATTTTTGACATATTACCTAATTACTTTTTAGAATCATGGACTTTTCTGGCGTTCCACTCTAGCTATTCAAGCAGATGTTGCTTCAACAATTGTTCAATTATCTAATCATTTTTCATTTAAAAATGATGATTTAGCTGCTTGGTTTGATCAACTAAATGAAAATGAACGTTTAAAGGAAGAAAATAACTGTAAAAAAGCTTTGGAAAAATGTAAAGATGGAAAATTAAATCCTTTGTTGTTACTACAAGCTTTGCAAAATGTGTTAAATGATGATACTATTCTTGTGGCAGATGGGGGTGATTTTGTTGGGAGTGCTGCTTATATGTTACGACCTAGAGGACCTCTACAATGGTTTGATAATTTTAATGGTTGAAATCATAACAGAAACCGGGAAATTGAATTGACGGGAATGTCCTTTTATTTTTTAATAATGGTTTGGCTAGGTTAACCATTTTCGAAGTTTTATAAATAAATATTATATTTAAAAAAATATTGGAATGATTTCTCTATTCGAAGGACGAAAATAAATAATTTATTTTAAAGGCTCGATCCCGGTGCATTTGGTACTTTAGGAGTTGGAGGCGGTTTTGCTCTTGGTGCTAAAGCTGTGTATCCAGACAAGCCTGTACTTATTTTGTTTGGAGACGGGGCTTGTGGGTCAGTTTATTTAAAAAGATTTTAATCAAATTCTTTGCCATAAAAATTGCTCGAAGAACTTTTAGAAATTAAAAAAAAATTTTTTTTTTCTTAAAGATTTTCTTTAATGGAATTTGATACTTTTGTACGTCATCGGCTTCCAATTTCTGCTATAATTGGTAATGATGCTTGTTGGTCACAAATTGCAAGAGATCAGATTCCATGGTTTAATTCAATTGTAGGATGCGAACTTGCGGTATTTTTTTTTAATATTTTTAAAGATTTACATCAAATTTTCTCCCCGCGTTTTCTTTCATTTTAAAAAATTTTAATCAAATTCATTGCCATAAAAATTGCCTGAAAAATTAAATTATCGAACATGTCTAAGGTTACAAATGGTGTAATATAACAGCATTAAACTCTGAATGAATAAGCCAGGGCATAAACCAACATTTTATGAGGGGTTAAAACAATTGGCTGGTCCCCCTCATTGTTTTCGATTTTCAGGAGTCTAAAAATTGGGAAAAAATGTATAAGAGAAAAAGGAATGAGAGAAAAATTAATTACAAAATTTTTTTAAGTTTACAAACTATGAAAAAGTTGGTGAAGGACTTGGGGCTAACGGAGCAATTATTGAAGATGGAAATATTAACGAAATTGAACAAAAATTAAGACAATTATTAAATTTGGGAAATTCAAAGCCAACTATTATAAATGCAATTATTGGAAAGACAAATTTTCGTGAAGGAAGTATTAGTGTTTAATATTATTTTTTATAAAAATATTGACTCATTTTAATTATTTATATATAGACACCAGGGATCTAGCCGACTCAACTCCCAAAATCGGGAATTAATGACGTTGATTGGGGCTGAAATCGTGATTTTATTTTTTTATATCGGCTAGATCCCTGATATGTACCTAAACTGTTATGCAATTGTAGGAATCTAATTTACTTTAGCTTGATAGAATAAACGTAGCTCTTTTTAATAAATATAATTTTTAATCAACAGCCCTAATGATTCAAAGACTTCTGCGGTAAAACTCACAAGTAAGTTAACGTAAGGGATCTACTTTAGAGCATACGTCCCAAAGCATTTATGTGTCCCATCAAAGTATAAGCGTTCTAAAAATAGTATAAGCAAATAATTATTTTTTGCAGATAGACAATTTTTTCCACCGACCAAAGCTTTGATTTGACCGATCTAGAGATTTTTCCTCAGTTATTTCGTCTTTCGAATATTTTCGTATTTTTTGGTATTTCGCCTTTCGCTTTTTAAAATCTGTTTCGGCACATCCTGCTATATAAAGGACTCGAATCCATGAAATCAAATATTTGGTACGACTGGAAGTGTTTCTTCGCGTGTTGTAGCATAGAAAACATTTACCCAAATGATAAGCAACCATCTAATTATATAATTGAGAAGAGTTTGTCCGTTTGTTTGTCTGTCTGTCCTTTTATAGACAAGTGGGTTTTTATAGTAAAATGATTTGGGGAGTGAAGAAATGGGGGCTTTTATAGTAAAGCGTTGCCAGTTGAATTAGGTTTTAAAGGTAGGAATATAGTATAAAAGCAGGGTATTTTAGTCATTCTTCAACTGCTTTCAACACTTTTCAACATTGCCGTGCTCTGTTCTACGTCACCGTTAGCTGGAGTCCTGTGTCCTCTTGAGTGCTAGACGTCAACGTTCATTTGTCAAGTGCTAGGCGTCAACGTTCATTTGTCAAGTGCTATCTGTCAACGTTCAAAGTGCTAGGCGTCAACGTTCATGTGTCAAGTGCTAGACGTCAACGTTCATATGTCAAGTGCTAGGCGACAACGTTCTTTTGAAGTGCTAGACGTCAACGTTAATTTGAAGTGCTAAACGTCAACGTTCATTTGTCAAGTGTTAGGCGTCAACTTTCATTTGAAGTGCTAGACGTCAACGTTCATGTGTAAAGCTAGGAGTATATTGAAACAGGGGGAATTGTGAAGTAGGCGGAATATTGAAACGGTGAATTGTGAAGCAGGCGGAATATTGAAACTAGAGATAAGGGTAAGGTTGTAAGGATAAGGCAAGTGTAAGTAGATAGTATAAAAGCAGGCTATTTTGTTCATTCTTCAATTGCTACCAACACATTCTCAACTTTGCTGTGCACTGTTCTACGTCAACGTTTGCTGGAGTCCTGTGCCCTCTTGAGCTAGACGTCAACGTTCATTTGAAGTGCTAGGCGTCAACGTTCATTTGTCAAGTGCTAGGCGTCAACGTTCTTTTGTCAAGTGCTAGGCGTCAACGTTCATTTGAAGTGCTAGGCGTCAACGTTCATTTGAAGTGCTAGGCGTCATCGTTATTTTGTCAAGTGCTAGGCGTCAACGTTCTTTTGTCAAGTGCTAGACGTCAACGTTTATTTGAAAAGTGCTAGGAGCCAAATTTCAGTCGAATATTGAACCGGGAATTGTGAAACAGGCGGAATATTGAAGCAGGGGAATGAAGGGGGATGTGAAGCAGGTGGAATATTGAAGCAGGGGAATTGTGAAGCAGGCGGTATAAAAAAGCAGGCGATTTAAATCGAAATTTCGAATCAGAGTTTTTGCCCCCATTTTGAGCTGGGCAAACGAGTGAGAGGGCTAATGCCTCCTAAAGTGATTTCCTTATAAAATTCTATGTACCCTATCCTGTGTTTACCCTATCAAGTGCACCTATTAAATGCTTTGCTTTGTTAAATGTATTGGTAATCAGGAAATGTTTTAATGCTGGTCAATGTTTTGATAATCTTCTGATTATGATTGGTTTAGGGCCAATTTTGAGGTTGTGATAAGTTGATTTGGAGTTTGTTTTTTGGTTTGTTTTGTTTTGCTAGCGGGGTGGGGCGGCCGAAGGCCGACTAACTCCGCTAGTTTTTAAATAGATCCATTGGGTGACGATTGATTGTCAAATCTTATTCTTATTTTTAAGCATTTACGTTTGATTGATCCGGAACAACTTTGATTTTTCGTTCTCTATAGTTCGACTTATTTTTTACTTAATTTGATTCTTGTGTGATTTAATTTTTATTGTATCTGGCTCTTATATGTATTTGAATATGTATATATTTGTAGTATGTATTATTTGATTGTCCTTACATATTAATTATTGATTTTTTACTTTTATTTTTTACTTTTTTTTGTTGGATTTAACTTATCAATTTATTTATTTTTTATTAACTTTTGTTTTAAGAGCAATATTGTTCAACTCATTAAAAGAGTATAAACTAATATTAACGCTAATTGTGTAACGACAACGCCAGAAATCTCAACAATGGCTGATTTGTGTGGAACTCCTATGCGTCCTTCGGATAGTTGGTCGTCGACTGAAGTTCGTAGTCTTCAACACTCTCATATGTGTATGTGCAGATTTTTTGCTTAAAAATAATTAATTGGGATTTAAGGGACAATTAAGGGATTCAGTCAGTGTGAATGTCGATATTTGGAGACATCTCTACGCATTAAGGATTCGGCGGTATGTTTTTTACTATTTTATCTAAAAACTTTTTTAGAGTTCTACTAATACAAATACGATTGCAATGCCTAATGGGTTGACGGCAGACAATGCCAGTTATCTGACTTTCAAAATTCGACTTCATCCACAAGGGAATAAAGAATCTAATAAGGATTTTTGCTTCTTTCAAGTAATTTTCTTTTAAATTTTAAGCATTACCCAATATTATTTTTAGGTTTTCTCGTGCACTAGCGCCAAGTTCAAGGCTAAATTCTCTGTGTTCAACACAAGGAGTGAGGAAGTGCCTGCAACTGTTTATACGGGAACTCAGCAGGTTAAAATTTTGTCAGTTATCCATCCTTGGGTGTGCCCTTGTGGATGCATATAATCTGATCATTCTATTTTCTCCTATTTATTAATAAATTAATAAATAGAATCTTTAAATATTTCCAGTTGAATGGATATTTTGAATACATTCGTCGTGACGTTTTAATCGGCCATATACAGCCAAGTGATGAGATTCAACTTCTTTTGAACCTGACTATTGTTTCTGATACAATCACTAAGAACAGCCAAAATGTTATAAGTCCTGTGGTTCCTGAGCCTCGCCCTTCTGAGGTTTTCTTTGGATAATTTAATCCTTTATTTTGACATTTTTTAGTTGGCTAAAGATTTGGAACAAATGTTTGGCGATACTAGACATTCGGACTTTACTATTATTTGTGATGGCGATAAAGAACATCGTGAATTGCCTGCTCATAAAGTTGTTTTGGGAGCTCGTTCACCAGTTTTCGCTGCTATGTTTGAACCTCATACAGAAGAGGCTCAAAAATCGGAGGTTCACTATAACGACATAGATTTTGAGGTTTTTTCTTAAATTTTGTTTTCTATTTTTTATATTTAAAATTAAAGGTTATGCGGGAGATGCTCTTCTATATGTACAGCGGGACTGCACCATCGCTTCAACAGATGGCCTTGGACTTGCTAGCTGTTGCTGATCGCTTTCAGTTGATTGGACTTAAAGAAATGGCAGATCAAGTAGTTTTAATATTTTATCTTTTAAAGTTATTTTCTTTTCAAGGTTCTGCGTAATGGACTTTGTGTTGATAATGTCTGCAGGAATCTTGTATTGGCGGATATGCACAACGCTTTGGAGCTTAAACAAGATGCTTTGCGTTTTATTGCGCAATATTCTAATGGTGTTATTGTTGTTAGTTTTTTGATAACTTTTACTTTTCGCCAGAAATTTTTTCCTTGAGTTTGAGCTTTTTTGGGAATTTAATTCTTCACACATATTTCCTATAAATTTTTTGGCAAGAATTTGGGAGGAGGTGTTAAAAATAAAATTGTCTTCAAATATTTCAAAAATTTTCGCCTGCGCGCTAAAAGGAATGACGCCTAAGGCTTGCAGTACAACCCACTATGCCACTTCTCTGGAAATCCTCTCTCTTGATACGTCTTTGACAAACTTTTCTTTTAATTTAATTTTTATAGACTGATGGTTGGGCTACTATGGTCAAAGAGCATCCTAGACTTGTTACCGAAGTTGTTGCTGCTATGTCACTTGAACAGTCTCGTCTATGTAAATTATTTTAATTTTTAATTAGCACCTAATTAATTATTCATTAAAGCCAATAATAGTTCTGTATCTATGGGTGGTTCTGTCAATTGTGGTAATGCTAATAATTCTTCAATTCTTGGACCAGAGCCTTTGGCTAAACGTTCTCGATATGATGCATGAGAAACGGAGAAGAATTAAAGCGCTAATTAAACCCAAAATTTAAATAAGAATTTTTTGATTATTTTATAGTTATTCTCTCCTTATTGACACAAAATCGCGACATATTTTGGGTATCGCAATATTGTTTCTAAAAATATATGTATCCTCTATACCCCAAAAACTTTCCCCGTTTATTATGATCTACGTCCAATTTATATATTTTTTCTTTTTTTTTGTTTGAATAGAAGACCTTAATGTTTAGTGAGTTTTGAATAACTCTCCAAAAGCGAATGTGATATATTATAAAATATGTATTTAAAAAAATTTGGGATTTGAAGAAAATAAAAATCATTCGCATTTTATTTTTTTTTGTTAAATTAATGTAAATGTATGTGCAGACCTAAAAGTTTAAATATATTGTTTATTTTTGTGTTTTTTTAATTTTAACTTTGTTTAATTACAAAATTATGGATGTATTTTAGTTTGTGACCCTGAAAGGTGTTATTTTTCTAAAATTTCAAAGAATAATAAAAAAATTTGAAAGAAAATTTTCTTTCTTGGTTTCACACTAAAATATGTCTAATTTTTTTTTGAAGATTTTATCGGATTTTTTTCTAAATATTTCTTTTTTATTTTAGATTTTGACGCTAATTGATGTTTTTTACTTACTCTCGCGTTTTAGCTTCAAATCATTTGAGGTATTGTTTTTTTTTCAATTATTCTTTGATTTAATTTTTTTCAAGGTTGAGTTTAAAATGCGCTAATAGGCGGTTTGCATCGGCTGTTCCTACAGCCGCTGATATACCTATTGAGACGAATCAAGAGAACAAGGAAAAGTTATCTGCACCTAAAACGAGTGATTCTTTCTGTATGAATTTGTTTTTGGGCAAAGCAGTGTTGGGACAAGTGTTTCCATATCCATTGAATTTGGATGATGAGCGACGTGAAATGCTTCAAATGGTTTTGGCACCAACTGAAAAATTTCTCGAAGAAGTTAATGACCCTTTTAAGTGAGTTGGATTATTTTTTTGGGTTATTTCGATGATTTATTCCATCACAAAAATTAATTTTATTGGGTTGAAAGTTAAATAATTTTACCATTGGAGTTTCTCGTTCTCCTATTTTTAATAAAATATTGCTTTCAGGAATGACGAAACTGCATTAATTCCCTCTGAAAAATTAGACCAATTTGCGGAATTGGGAGCTTTTGGAGCTGTAGTTCCTGAAAAATTTGGTGGTGCTGGATTGAACAATACACAAATGGCTAGGTAAAAATAATTTAATACTTTTTATTTTTTAAAAGAATTGCTGAAATTGTTGGTGCAAATGATCTCGGACTTGGTGTCACTATGGGTGCTCATCAAGTAATATAATCATTAAATATTTAATTTTTTGTTTTAGTCAATTGGCTACAAAGGTATTTTGTTGTATGGCACTCCTGCTCAACAAGAAAAATATTTACCCGATTTGGCAACTGGGAAACGATTTGCTGCTTATTGTCTCACAGAACCTAGTTCTGGTTCTGATGCAAATGTAAAACTTAATTAAAAAATTTCTTGCAGAATTTCCTTTTGAATATTTACAAAAATATAAAGTGTTGAAGAAGTTTTCGTCCAAAAAACTTAAAAATTAATTTTTCATTCAAAAATTATTTTTTTTTGTAATTTTAGTCGATTCAAAGCCGTGCACAAAAGTCAGAATGTGGCAAATTCTATATACTTAATGGCGGAAAGATTTGGATAAGTAATGGTGGAATTGCAGATGTTTTTACTGTATTTGCTCAGGTAGAGAGATATGTATTTTATTAACAATAAGAAAATTAAATTATTAAAAGAAAATTTAAAAATGGTTTTTAAACTTTTGTACCGAAAGCTTAAAAGTGGATTAAATACATATTAGAATTTAATTAACCTAAAATTTATTTTAAATCTTTCGGGTAATCATCACAAATAATTATTGTCATAAAAATATTTTTTATTTTAATAGACTCCAATATCACAACCTGATGGCTCTACAAAGGATAAAGTTTCTGCTTTTATAGTTGAAAGACAATTTGGAGGGGTAACAAATGGACCTCCAGAGAAGAAAATGGGAATTAAAGGGAGTAATACAACAGAAGTACATTTTGATAATGTAAAGATCCCTGTAGAGAATCTTTTGGGTGTGGAGGGAGAAGGATTTAAAGTAGCAGTGAATATATTGAATAATGGACGGTAAAAGAATTTTTTTTTAAGGCTGGATATTAATGTAAGGAAAATTTATAAAGTTATGAAAAAACAAAATTCTAGACTTTTAGATTTATTATTTGTTTGTTATTTTTTCTTTCATAATGCCAAACCAATCTAACTATATTATTCTTCCTTTTTAATTTTTTAAAAATTTTATTAAAAATATTTTGACCCTTTAGAAATAATAATGTTTAATTTTTTAGCTTCAGTATTCCCGCAGCAACAACTGGCTCAATGAAATATTGTATTCAAAAAACAGTAATTATATTTTTAAAAATATTTTTTAAATTTTTTTGTTTCTTTTTAGATTGAACATGTCAATCAACGTGTGCAGTTTGGAAAGAAGCTTAAGGAATTTGGACGTATTCAGGAAATTTTAACTGATATGGTTATTCGACATTATGTTGCCGAGAGCATTACTTATAGGTTTCTTTTTATTTTTAAATTTTAAAATATTTTAATTTATAGTTTGGCTTCCAATATGGATGCTGGTGCTACGGAATATCAATTGGAGGTATGGCTAATCTTTATGCAATATTTATAATTCCTGAAAATTATAAATTGGGTTCTCTTTTTTTAATTTCTAGCTTATTGATGTTAAAACTGGGGGATTAATATTAAACAACTTTTAAAAATTTTACATGCTGATCTAACAGCATGAACAGAATCAAAATTTAACGAGTTATATAATTTTAATTTATAGGCTGCAATAGGTAAAATTGTCAGTTCAGAGAATGCTTGGCAGGTGTGTGATGATGCTATACAATTACATGGTGGAATGGGATTTATGCGTGAATGTGGATTAGAGCGAGTACTTCGCGATTTGTAAATTTTTCTTTAATTATTAGAGTAGAATTAACAATAAGAAATTTGGTTTTAATATTTTTTCTGGAAAAAATATTTAAAATTAGACATTCTAATTTTTAAAATAAATTCCTTCTTTTAGGCGAATATTTCGCATTTTTGAAGGAGCTAATGATATTCTCCGTCTTTTTGTTGCTTTAACAGGAATGCAAATAGCTGGAAAACATTTACAACAAATTGCAAATGATATATTTTCTGGAAATATTTCTGCTCTTGTTGGAGAAGTTAGTAGACGGGTTTTTCGAACAAATGGGTAATTTCTGATCTCAAAAAAATTTTGTTTTTAATTCTTAAGTTCTGAAAAAATTTCTGATCTTGTACATCCAAGTTTAAAAAATGATGCTTCAACACTTAATTCTTTAATTGTTAAATTTGGCAAAACTGTGGAACAGTTACTCAAAATGCATAGAAAAAATATTATTGGTTTGTAATTATTGGGGGTGGGGACTAAAAAATTTCTATGGTTACCTAATTCTTTTTGAGCTTCATATTCTGTTTTGTTTGATTATAATTTTTAAATAGGCCAATAACCCTCTAATCACGGATACGATTTACTAATTTTCTATCCGTCCGTACGCCCATACTCACATAAACCCAGTCCTAACCCTAATAAGTTTTGAAATTTTAAGTATAAAGTTTTTGCATTTATCAAATTCAGAACGTCAATACGAACTAATTCGAGTTGCAAATGCTGCTATTGATATATACAGCATGGCGGTAGTACTTTCCCGTTGTAATTATGCGCAAGAGAAAACTGGCGGGTGTTCAGCCCACGATCAAAAAATTGCCAATCTTTTTTGTCGCCAGGCAGCTAAACGTGTGAATGCAAATTTGTGAGAAATTTCTAAATTCGTGTTTATAAAATAATTTAATTTAGAGATGAAGCAATGGGGCCTAGTGAGAGGGAAATGGATTTGATTGCGCAGATTGCCGGTAATGTTTGCGAGAATGGAGCTATGGTCCAAAAACACCCTGTAGATTTGTAATTTTTGATCAATGACTGAATGGAAAAAATTGACATTTATACAATATGCCACTTTATGCCTTATATTTGTAGTTAAATGGACAGACCTCCAGCTAATTTTTGTAATACAAACACCTATATATTTCTAAAAATTAAATTTGCAATGAAAGTGTTTATGCTTTATTAATTATTTAAAATCATTAAAAATGGAAATTCCACCTAAAATGAAGTCTGTTCCAAGATTTTTGGAACGGACTTTATATACCCAACAACAAGTGGAGAATTTTGGTATTAGAAAAACTAAAATGGAGTTATTATAATATTATTAAAATAAAATCTAACAATAATAAAAATGCAGAGATAACAACAATTCTGACAAACAAAACATGAGAAGAGGAGGAGAGAAGATTAATTGTGAGACTCCTTTTTCGATTATTTTTCCTGAGTTGAATCAAAACCCTGACAAAATAAAAAGCCGTACTATCAAAAATTGAAGTTATGTATTAATCAGTTTATCTGAATTCGAAGTCTGACTGTATAACAAAAAAGGTGTCTCAATAACATAATATAAGTACCAGTTATGAGTTTGTTTGTATGCTTATATACGTAATTACCCGATTTAGTATTTGTTGCGGCCTCTTCTCTATATTGGGGAGTTTATTAATTAATATTTAATATAACAAAAAACTGCAAATTATGGCGCAATGCCGCTTGTTAACAATTGAAAACAATTTGTTGCCGTTGTATTTGTGTAGAATCTGAGGATGATGGTTGCTATTTTGATGGTCATCATCCAATATATTTTGTTGAAAACTATTCTTCATTTCAAACACCGGTGTAGAAATTTTCTTAGCATTTTTTAAATTAAAGTTGAATCAGAGGCATCATTCAAACCTATATAGTTGTATTTTTCAATAAAATTAATTGTTCTTTTTTGAATTTTTCATCTGCTGTAGAATCTAAATTTGTTGTTGAATCAACTATGGGCGAGAGATTAGAAGATTGAGATGGCTTCGATTGTAAACAGTTTCCATCTTGAAGACCGGTAGTGCTAAGGGAAGAGATAGGCGGTCCAGCTAATCCTAATGCTGAAGCACTGAAATTAAAAACATTAAAATAAAATCCAATAATATAAACAAAGCACTTCTGTATATCCAAAGCGCTAGACAAAGACAAATTCGTCCCAGGCCTACTTATTGCTCCACCCGACCCACTGCTACCACTGCGTCTTTGCAGTGTGCTGTTCATAAGAAAATTAGCTGCTGCAGCTTGAAGTAAAGGTGAACGGCTATTTTCGTTAAAACAATTCAATAAATGATTTCCAACTTAAAAAAATTAATTTTCAAAAAATAAAATTTGTAAACAAAAATGTACAGTTGTTAGAATTGGCTGCTAGCACAGATTGAACTAAAGAACCATAATCCTCACAATTTAGGCGAGTACCAGGAATTGGTGTTCCACGTGGAGTTGTTAAAGGTGAAGTAAAGAAAGGAATAGGTGAAGTTAGTGTTGATTGATATCCATTTCCGAGGAATGTTGAGGCAGCAAACATATCAATGTTTGGAAAAACTGGCCTTGGAGTTATCAAACTCTGAAAGAAGTTGAATAATTTTTTATTGAAAATTCATTTTTTTAATTACCGCTGCCTCATTTGGCCTCGAAATAAATTCTTTAATTGGGGAAACCAAAGAAGTATCAAGTGATGTTGTACTACTACTTCCATTCTTCCTTGTATTTGCTGCCTGTACTGCTGCCATTGCTGTTGCTAATGCTGTAGCTGATGGAGATATATTATTAGAAATATTTGTTGATGTTGTTATAATATTATTTGTGTTTCCAGATATTGTCGAATTTTGTTGTTGAGCAATTTCTAATAAATTAGGAGAGGCTGCTGTTGTTAATAAAACACGTTTACGCGATGCAACTAATGGTGCAAAAGTTGAAAGTGGTTGTAGAGAAGTAGTAACAATTTGATCAACTATTTGTTGTTGGTTTTGTTGTTGCTAGAAATGTTTAAAAATTAAATTTTAATAAAAAAATCAAAATTGTTTTTATTTTCCAAGTTTTTCGGATTTTATAAGGGTAAAGAATCTGTTATACAAATAAAATTTTTCGGACAATTAGTAGAGCTGTCCGAGACCAAAATTTTTCCAAGACTCAAGACTCAAGACCCAAGACAATATTTTTTCCAAGACCAAGACTCAAGACCAAGACCAAAACTACAAGACTCAAGACCAAATATAATACAAAACTAGAGACAATTTTTAGGTCACATAGGTCAAATTTTTGGTTTATTTTTTGTTATTTTGACACGATCACAGTCAACTTCAGCACCATCACCTATAATTTCGAAAAATCTATGCAAAATTCAAAGAATTTTGGGGAATTTATACGGGTGGAAAATCAATGAGATATATTATTTCGAAGGATTTGGGTGGATTAATGGGATATTAGCGACATCAAAGGGTAAAGCCAAAATTTTGGCGACACCCAACGTTAGCCCTCTTTGAAACCGACCCCCTGGCCACGCCCTTGAATTAAGGAGGATATTGAGGTCCGCAGGCAAAAATTTTGAGAATTATGTAGACCACGAAGCCAAAAATCTTCCTTTTCCTGCGCCGCAGGCGAAAATTTTGAGAATTTTGGAAGGCCGTAGGCCAAAAAAATTCACTTTTTCAGCGCTGCAGGCAAAAATTTTGAGGATTTTAAGTGGCCAAGCACTAAGTCCAAAAAGGTCAAAAAACCAAGACCAAAAAATAAAACCAAGACAAGACCAAGACAAACACCCCAAGACCAAGACCGAAAAAAAACCAAGAAAAGTCTTGGTTCCAAGACCAAGACCAAGAGTCTCGGACAGCTCTAACAATTAGTATATAAAATGTCAATTTTTTAAACAAAATAACGAGGCAAAAATTCCAAATTTGTATTAGAAAGATTAAGAATTTAAATTAAATAATTTTCTCAAATTTACAATTTTAAACAGAGGAATTGTTTGTTGTTGTTGTTGAATTTCGGGAATATCAATATTGTGATTCTCCAATATTGGAAGAAATTCTTTTGTATAACTAACTTTAATAATTGCCTGTTGATGTGGAATTGAATTAGTAATTTCTTGTTTTCTAATATAATGTTGCCTATTGTTGTTGTTGTTGTTATTTGGAGTTGGTGCTGAGAAAGCAGAGCCAGCACTAAAAATTAAGTTAAAACTCTAAAGTTAAAACTATTAAAAATAACCTTGGAAATGGTTTTTGACCTATTCCACTTAAAATTGTTGAAGTAGAGGAATCCAAAGAAGGATGTTGATTAATAATATTGTTATGTTCTAATTGTTGTTTTCGTTCTAATCTAATTGTATAAGTTACTTTGCCTTCCTTTGATTTATTCTCAGAACAATTTTCTATTTCAATTGGAGATGCACCCGTAAGTTGTTTAATTTCTTGGTCATTTACACTACCTGCACTTTCACGAGAACCATGCCTTGAACGTTTATCTGCTGGTTCATCAAAACTCTAAATTCAGAAAAATAATGAAATAAAAAAAATTTTTCAAACATCATCCTGTTCCAAAATCGTCGAATTTGTTGTACATTCATCAACATTTTTATTATTAGCAAAAGATTTGGAAGAAACTGTTAATGATTGTGGAACTCGAGCAATAACTGTTGAATCACCACCAATTGTATAACGTCTTGGCTGGGCCCTTTTTTGTTGCTAAAAAAGGAAAAGAATTTTAATTTTTTAACAAAAATACAGTTAAAAGGGAATCTGTATTCGGATTTCCTCCACCAGGTAATGGCACTAATGCTGTTGGTTTTGGTAAATCTGGAGGGAGTAATTTTGTAGTCGTTGTTGGATGCTCTATCTTTATAGGCCTTTGTAATTGAGTGAGGGAAGAGGATGAGCATGCTTCACCTTAAAATAAGAAAGAGAATGAAAGTTTAAATAATTTTTAAAAATACATAACAGTCAGCTCAAAGCATAACTTCTCTTTGGTAAGTTTTAATGCTCAATGCCACAGCTTCTATGTGGCAATGAGCAGTAAATTCGATTTACGGGTTTTCTGACAATTAATTAAAGTTACTCATTCAATTTTTCATCTACCCAAACCAAACTTAAAAAAGAAAACAAACAAAAATACCGTTTTGTACACATTGTGCATCAGTCCCATTACCGTATTTATTTAAGTAAATGGCATTGCCGCAATTTATTGAATTTAAGATAGAAGCTAAAAAGATAAAACCAGTTAATTTTGTTTATATTAACTAACGTTTATGTAGTTTTCGTAATTCATAAGCACTAAAGACGCCAGTTCCCCAAATCCCTTCGCAATCATCTTTTTAAGAATATTTTTTATAAAATTTAATTTCCCAAAAATAACCTTCTTCATCCTCTCTTTTAGGTTTTGGTTTATTTGGATCTGTTGTATAAATAAAATTGGCAAGCCAAAGATCTAATTCTCTTATAGCAATACTAATATGATAAGGATTGACACAAAGTCCGGGTTGTTGACAATTAGGACATTTCTCTAGTCTTTCGCCGTCAGTACTCTCTAATGGTATTCCCTTAATAGAAAAAAAGTTATGAATAATAGGCAGGTTAATGATAGGTAAATTAAAGAAAAATATTAAAGAATCCTTTTCAGACATCAAGTTTGACATAACTTTTACTTTCAGACAAAAAATCTATAAAATTTGAGAGTAATTAATCATAAATTTTTAAGCTGTTCAAAATCCAAATTAAAGGAAAAATCAATTCAATATAACCCTGCATGATGAACGACAATGGGAACAATAAAAATAAGGTAAAATACATTAAAACTTTATATAAAACTATACCATTATTCTTTTTACCTTAAAAAGAATAACCATAACCAAATCCAAACGCCAAACTTTATCAGCTTGTCTTAAACAGTCAATGCGTCGCATTTTGCCTTTTTGATCAGGATTTGAAAGTACACAAAGGGCTGGCTGTTGTCGAGGATTTGTTATTGATTGAACAAAAATGTCTCGGAACTGTGGTTGAATGTCCTTTCTATTTAAATAAAAATTTGTTTAAAAAATTTAGTGAGACATAAAGAGAGGAATATAAAGAACAAGAATAAAGTTATAATTTAAAAATTTAAATGTGCATGAGTCATAACCATCAATAATTAATACAAAAAAGATAGGATTTGGAGAAAAACTTATTCAAAAAGAAAAACCTGCCCATAATTTTAAGTAAAAAATAGAAAAACCTTAATTTTCCTAGAAGACGACCTGCCCATTTTTGTTTTTCCTCAGGACGTTCAGTCTGAAATAAAAGTAAAGTTGTATACTAAATTTCATTAGTAAAATTTAAAATAAAAATTCCAAACCATCAACATTTGTTTTGTTTGCCTTTCTTCATCAAGTGTCATACTTTGTTCACAACGCTTATTATGTCTTCGTTTAGCAGCTTGTAGATTAAACCAAACAAAAGCAAATTCTCGAACATGAGGCAATAAATCTTCAACAAATGGATGAAATTCTTCCTAAAAATTAATAAACAAAAATAAATTTTTAATAAAATAAATAAACTGATTGAGTAGCATCTTCGTGATGGTAAATATTTCTGGGAGAATATTGTTGAACAGTAATTGGAGAATTGTTTAGAGAATTGGCTTTAATTGTTTGTTGACGGCCATTCACATTTTCTAACCAAACAGATGAAGTTGAAGTATCGCGAACATGACGAAAAGACTGGGGATGTTGCCTCTTTGTAGAGGACATCCATCAAATAAAATTCTTAAAAATTAAAAGATTATTTAAAAAAATGTATTTTAAATTTCTTTGTGAATGTCTAATCCCCCTATACTCATTTTACATTAAATTCTTTAAAAATTTGATAAATTTTTGTAAAATTTCAGACAAAATTACATATATCAAAATTAAATGAATCTCACTTGTAAAATGATAAATTGACCTTTAATTCTCGCAATCTAACATTTATTTTGGAATGCATAAATAAGGGATGAAATGTCATTTATTTTTTTATCTCTGATCTTCAATTTGGTAACTAGTAAAGATTATTTTGAAATGGTAATTTTTATAAAGTTTAGGTAAATATTTGGTCAAATTTTAATATTAAATGTTTTTTTGTTAAATTAATTTAATTTTTTTAAGATTTACTATTAGTGATGGCGAACTTATCAACTTTTGCTTGGAGGGCATTGACACACAAATTGCATTTTCGACCATTTGTTTTAAATACAAAACAAATTAATTTGAATAATTCAAGTTGTTTCAGCTCAATCAATTCATTCAAATTTACTCCATTTTCATCTAAATCAAGGTAAAATTTATCAATATATTTATTTACTTTAAAGAATAACTTCTTTCTTGTTTTTTTTTAATTTTCTTAGATTTTTTAGGCCTTCTTATTTGAAAATTATTCTCGCGATGCATATTTCTTTTGTAATTTTCATACTTTACTCAAGAACCTATCTTTATAACTTGAATTGTATAACTTTCATTTTATATGAAGAATTTAATTAATCAAGCAATTATTGCCTTCTTTTCTTAAACTAACTTTTTTTTTATTTTTTATATTCATGTTTATAAATTATTTAAAATCAAATAAAACGCTAATTTAAAATTTAGATTAATATTTAATTTAAATTCCATTTTAGTTTGAAGTCAACATGTCGTCGAATTCATTTCTGTGCTCAAAGATTTCGAATGATTGAAGGTACAGAAAGTATTCCACCACCGATTCCTATGACGGAAGAAGAGGTTTTAAATATTTTTAGATAAGGGTGTATGGGTGCCCTCCAAATTATCGGAGTGGGATTATTTTTGAAAATATTGAACTTTCAATTTTTTCGCTTGCAAAAATCTTACTTATGGTTTTCTAATTGCATGTTTCTGTATTTCAAAAACGAAACACGGTATTCAAATCTGTCTTTATATTTGTGATCAGCGCACTAGAATACTCATAAAAACTGATTTTCATATAAAAAATATAATCTTGTAGGTTTAGTCTTTATTCACAATTGACCGTAAAATTTTCGTTATAATTTTCAAGGTGAATGTTAGGGGTTGGCCGTACCTCCTAGTATGCCCTGAAATTATTATTTTCTATTTCATCTATTTTAAAGTTAATTTAAGGTACATCAACGTGTTTTGAAGGCAATCAAAGAATGGGATCGTTTTCCACAAGACCGCGTTTCAAAACTTGAATTGGATGCTCGATTTGTTGAAGATCTTAGTTTTGATTCTCTTGATTTGGTTGAAATTGTTATGTCTTTGGAAGATGAATTTGGATTTGAAATCTCTATTGAGGTTATTTTTTGTATTTTTAATCGAAAAATATTTATTGTTAGTATTGAAAAGTTTTAAGAAACCAATTCGGTTTTTTATTCTTGTGGAGCTTTTTTTGTTAACTTAAAATATTCGCTTTTTCTGGCATAAATTTCAAAAGTTAATAAAAAATAAATAAACCTTTTCTCTTTTTTTAGGATTCTGAAAAATTCAAAACGCCAAGAGATGCTGCAACTTACATTATTGATCATGAAGGAGTTAACGAGGATGAGGAATTTTAGGAAATAAAGTAAAAATATTTTTTGTTTCTCCCAAAATTATGTTTTTTAAAGGTTTTTTGAAGTAAAAATAAATAATTAAAATATACCTAATTATTCTTAAATACATAAATTAAAGAAAAATATTAATTTTTCTGTTAATTCTCTCTTGGAAAAATATTTTTTACAAAAATACACAAAATTTCTGCAATAATTTTTTCTTAAATTTTTATTAAAATATTCCCTCCATTAAAATAGATAATATTTATTCCCAACTTTTCTAATAAAAAATATTTTATCTAAAAATATTTTTTTAATTAGCTACTATAAAAACGAAAATAAATATTTTTGTTTTTATAAATATTTATGCATCATTGCAGAATTATTATTTTGTATAGAGAAAATATTTTTTAGAAATTTTGCTAATTTTAGAAGGGTTTTGAAAGACCAAAAATTGAAAACAAACATTTAAATATTTTTTGATTGTTAAAAGTTCTATTTTATTTAAAAAATCTTTTTTAGCCTTTAATTCTCTCATGTTTAAGCATCATTCAATCATTTCCCTCATAAAATAGGCATTCATTGTTTTTTTTAAAATTATTAACCGGATATTGCCTAAAGGCCTAAAAACATTTAATAAAAAGAATTGTTTCTTTTTTAAAGGAGAGAGTGGGGGGGGGGGGAAGGGTAAGGGGAGAGTAAAATATAAAAAAGGAAAAAAGAGAGCAAAGTTTTTTTTAAAAAAAAGTTTTATTATTAACCTTTTTTCTATAAAAAGAAAAATTTAGAAAAGATTTTTTTTCGAGCTTTAAATGACAATTCAAAGAAACAAATATACACATAAAAATATCTTTTTCTGACGTTTTTTCTTCAAATTTTCTTTTAAAACCCTAATTTTCTTTTACTTAAAATATTCTCTTTAAAATATAAATTTTAATTTTTCTCTTTCCCCCTTTTTTACCTTAATAAACTAACTAAAATTTTTCTAAAAAAATTTAGGTATTTTGGAATTTTTGTTAGATCTCTTACAGTTAAAATAAATTAAAAAAATCTGTTATTTAGGATTGTTGGTTCTAAGATTTTTTTTAAATTTAACCAAAGAATTGAGTTATTTTTAATTAAAAAATTGAGAGAATGTACATAATACATTTATCATTAAATTTTTATAATTTGTTTGTAAATTTTTTACAAAATAATTTTTTAAAGGAAAAATTCAAAAAAGGTTTCTTCCTTTAACTTTTTGTTTCAAAAAATATTTTAAATTCTCCTAAATTGAACGCAACTTTTGAGGATAGTTAACATAAAATTAAAGCTTAAAGTCAGGCAAAATTTTATAAAAACAAGCTAATAATATTGTTTATCCACAAATTAATACAAAGTTTGGAAAAATTATGTGAATTAAGTAGACTAAGGAATTTAGAAGGAAACTTAATTGTAGCCGTAACTTTTCAAAAATTAGCCATTTTTTATTTAAAATGGGCCAAAAATTAAGGTCTTTAACCTTAATTTTTTTAATTAAAATTATCTTTTTTTTTCTTACATTATTTAGAAAAATATCCTCAAATACCCTCAAAATATCCTCAAAAATATCTTTCCTTCCCTTCACATTTAAACAAATCCTTTTTTAAATTTCCTCAATATATTTTTGACATTTTCTTTTTTAAACTTTAATAAAAAAATAAATTTGATGAAGTGACTGACTGACTGACACACAAAAACTTGTCAAAAAATTCTTTTTTTTTTGTTTCTTTTTTCTATTACTCAATTACCTAAAAATAATTTTATTTAAAATATCTGATATTTGATCTGTTAAGGAGGTTAATTTAAATCTTCAAAAAGTTTTAGCAAATTTAAATTCTCTTCTATTTTTAATTTACCTAAATTGATTTTTATTTAAAAAATTGTGTTTTCCCATGAGATTTAAAAAAGGAGAAATCCTTAAAAAGGCTTCCTCTAAATTAGGGTTGGTCCCCGACCCCGACTAACCCCGACCCCGACCCCGAACCCCGACATTATTTTCAGCCCCGACCCCGACCCCGAACAAGTTGAGCAACCCCGACCCCGACCCCGACTTTGTCAACCCCGAAAACCCCGACCCCCGACTTTTCCAACCCCGAAGGCTCGGGGACCAACCCTACTCTAAATTAATAAAATAAATTAATATTTTTTTTGTTTTTATTCAATTTTTCATTAATTAATTGTTGTACTGATAAAAAAATAATTAAAAAATAATTTTCTTTTGTTTGTTGCTAATAGCAGCCAGAGGGAGAGAGAGACCCATTTTAATATATTTTTATAAAATAATTTTCAGACTCTCAAATTTAAATTTCTCTCATCTTCCCCTTTCAATATTTAAAAAAAGAGTTTTTTTTAATTACTTGTAATTATTTAAAAATACTTTTCTAAACTTTTTTTTCCAGGCTTAGAATCTGCCTTAATTCTAAAATGTTTTTGCTAATTACATAATTTTTATCAAATTAAAAAAAATTTCTTTCTTTTTAAATAAAAAATATTATTTTTTATTTTTTAAATAATTTTTCTCTTTTTTAAAAATTAAATTAAATATTTATTTTTATTTAATTATTTTTCTCTTTAAAAATAAATTAGTTTCACATTTCTCGAAAAAAAGCTTTTTATTTTCTTTAAAAATTAAAAAGAAAAATTAGTTAAAAAGAAGTATGTACTTAATTTGTTTATTTGTATATTATAGACAAAAAACACTTTTTTTCCTTCCTTAAATTATTTTTTTTTAAATAACTCCCACACTTTTAAATCCTTTCAAAAAATATTCACAAATTTTTGCCACAATTTTTAAATACTTTTTGGATCAACACATGGTATTTAAAAATCCATTTGCGGATGTAAAGCAACTATATTTTTAATTTATTTTTATAATTTTAAAAAAAATAAAAAATATATAATTACAATCTTAACTAATGCTTGGGGTCTTACTTTTAACAAAAATAAGTTAATTCATCAATATGTAAAAAGTTATATTTTTATTTATTTTAATAATTAATTTTCTTTAAATAATTTGTTCATTTTTAAAAGTTTCCCCTATTTTCCTTTTTTCATTTTAAATTCCAAAAATAGAAATTCTTTTTTTTCCACTACTTTAAAAGTAAAATTTACTTCATTTTTTAATAATTTCTTTTTAAAAGAGTTTTTTATTGTTAAGGAAAAGCTTTTAAAATTAAAGAAAAGAAAGGACGGGAGGGGGAGAGGGGAAGCCTTTTTGTTTTTTAAATTGCAAAGGATTTTTAAAATTAATACAAAAAAGTATAAAATAAAAGAAAATCCGAAAAAGGTTGTTGCTGCCCTAAAGTAAAAATGAAGAAAAAAAGATTTAAAATAAAGGACGGAAGTAAAAAAGGGAAAAAAGAAGAAAAGAAAATAATTAATAAATATTCTTCCCAACTCTCCCTTTCTCTCATTTACTCTTTTAAATATTTAGATTGTTAAAAAATTATTTTGATATATATTAATTATTAAAATATATTTATTTCGTCATAAAAACAATGGAAGAAGAAGAGAAATTTAAGGATTATGGTGGAAATATAAGTATTAACAATATATCTTCTGATATTAAAATTGAAAATAATTACGAGAATGATATTAATTATAGAATTAAGGTAAATTAATTTTAATAATTTTATAAAAATAAAATAATTACCTATAAAATAATATAAAGTTTGGAATAAATTAAGGAATTTTGTCAGAAATATTTAAAATTCCCCCACATAATAAAACTGATATTTCGGCAAAACTAAAACCTAGTGTCTGTCCGTTGACCAACACTACTTAAAAGTCAAGGGTAGTTACCTATTCCCTATCTACAATAAAATATTTGGGGAGATTCTCTTAGGTAAATCCCCCTATTTTTAACCTTTCTATTACAATTTAAAAATTCCTTTTTAAAGATGTACCAAGTTGTAATACCAGCATTTTTATTTCTTTCTCTTTTGGCAGTAATTGCAAATTCTTTAGTTATTTTGGCATTAAAAGCTTCAAGAGTTCGTAATGCAACAGTTACTTTACTTTTAAGTTTAACATTTTCCGATATTTGGTAGAATTAATTAATTAGATTTATTTTAAATAAATATTTAAAGGTCAAGTTCTGTCATGGCTTTATCTCTTTTAATAAATAGTTATTTACCTACAGTTTTACATACACAACCAAGACCTTGTGTTTCGCTTTCTCTTGAGGTTTTTTTAAAATTAAAATTAAATTTTAAGACAACTTTCTATAAGAGAATTATAAATAAAAATAATTTACTCGATTAATTAAAGCTTAAATTAAATTCTAAACTTTTTCTATAAAAAATAAACGTTTTATTTAATTAATCAAAGGAGGGTAATTAATTGAGTAAAAAATTAAAGTATTTTAATAAATTGGGGGGAATATATTTGTAAAAATATGAATGTTGGTTGGGTCAAGAATATTAATAGAAAAATAATTATCTTTAATTTTCAGATGTTAAGAACGGGTGGTTTATTAACAGCAGCATTACATTTATTACTTATTGCATTAAATCATTGTGTGGGTATTGTACGTCCACATATGGATAAAGTACAGAAATAAATTTAAATTTAATTAATTCGCTTTTTTTCAAGCATCGTTTACGTCGAATAGCTTTTTTACTTTGTATTTGTGCTTGGTCATTCCCTTCAATTATTTTGTTTATTTTATCTTTAAGTAGAGAAAATCAAGGATTATTTAATTGTGAAAGAGTTGATTTTTATAATGAAAAAATATTTAGATGGGCAGTTGCCGGGCTATTAGCTATTTTATTTTTGGCAATAACTTTGTGTTATGCTAGATTGGTTAGAAATAAATATTTAAATTTAAATAAATAAAAAAATTAAAGCTTTGTTTAATGCATTCAAGAAATAATATTGTTAATAATAATAAAAATGAAAATTCTTTACCCCAATCTGCTAGAAGTAATAATAGTAATGAAAGGAAAAGACGTCGAGAAAGGAGAACTCTTTGGACTACTTTACTTATTTGTGCAAGTTTTCTTTTAGGATGGGCACCTGCTAGGTATTTTAATTTAAAATAAAATATTATAACCTCCCCTTCCTCCATAGACCGATTACTTTATTGGACTGGGGCCTATATCAATTGTCCGAAGATTCTGCATTCTGTGCACAAGCCGCAGAATCTGCGGACAATTGATATAGGCCCCTGGGCTAGAATAAATGGGGAATGACGAACTAGAGTTTCCAATTTTATATTATAATTAATACTTTAATTAAAATATTTTTTAGTGTTTTATTTGCAATAACTTGTTCTGAATGTCGTTTACTTAGCAGTATTGGATCTTTTCGTCTTTTATTTGGACTTAGTTGTATACAATTAAGTTTTCTTCTGGCAAAATCATTACTTAATCCATTAATTTATTCTTTACGAATTCCTGAAGTTAGAGAACAATTTAACAGACAAATTAACAGAATACAGTCTTTAGAACCGAGAAAATACCTTATTAGGTAAAAATATTTTTTTAAATTATTTGAGGTAATTAGAAGATTCAATATTGGGTATTTGAAAATATTTGTAAATAGAAAAAAAGAAGCTAGAAAGTGATGTCTATTAAGTGATGTCAGAATTTGAATAGTTTCCAATATTTTTTGATCCCCGGTATTTTAAATTAGATCTTAGATTTCGATCCCAACTTTTCTAGACAAATTAGAATAAAAAAATTTTTCCTTAGAAGTTGGCACAAAGCAACATGTTCTAAAAGCAAAACAACATTAGCAACAACAACAGCAACCTCCCCACCACCTTCCCCTTGGAAGTGGAGAAGAACCCAACGTGCACGTTCACATCTTTTTGGTTCTTCAATTTCTTCAGTAACAAATATAAATTTAATTAACGGAAATGGAGGGGGACGTGTTTCTTTTTGTTATAATGATGATATTAAAGAAGAAGAAGGACAGCAAAATAATTTTCGTTTAAGTTCTTTAAGAGAATTATTTCAACAAACATTTAAACAAAAAAATAATTTAAATAATAATTGGTCAAGTAGAAGAACACGTTCTGAAATAAATAAAAGAATTTTAGAACAAAAAAGAAGAGCATCAACAACAATGACAATAAAAGGATTTAAAGAAAATAAAAGAGGGGCTAGAATGTCTGAATGTCCAGATTGGCTACAATTTAATGGAAGGGTAAATTTAATACAAAATATTTTGACTTTGTTAAGAGTAAGAATGTCTGACCGTTCAGAAGTTATGTGTTTGAATACAAGTTTTTCAATTTTTTGAGGTTTAAAATGGTCGGATCTCTATTTTAAAAATAAAAAGAAAAATCTTAATTGTAGCATTTACAAAAAAAGAATTTAAAGAATGAAATTTATCTACATACCCAAAAGAAGTTCTTAGGGTATTTAATTTTTTAAATGTTATTTTTCAGATTTCCGAATTTAAACCACAAAGATTTTCATATGATGGAGGACAAATATCACATTTAGCTGCAAAATACAAAAAAGATAATAAATAAATTTTGCCTTAATAATTAATTAATAATTTGTAAGATATTAAACTCTGGTCTATTAAATACATCCCTTAAAAAATAAAACTAGCAATTTTATAACAGAAAATTTGAGTTTTGTCTCAATGTCCTATTGTTTCTTATTCTCTTTACATAAGACTCCAAATAAATTTTTTGGAAACTATTGGGGAATGAATGAATTGATCAGAGTGGATATTTCTATTTAATTAAAAAGTTGTTTTTGTGTTAAAATTAGAGTTGAGCGGGATCGGGATCCCGGTCGGGATCGGGCGGGATTATCCCGGGTTTTTCGAATCCCGATCCCGATTTTTCTGATCCCGCTCCCGAAATATATATCCCGATCCCGATCCCGGCCAATCTCAATCCCGAGCCGGGATCCGGGATCGGGATCGGGATGTGCATCAGATCCCGATGCAAATCCCGATTTTATAAATTGACTAGAAATCTGTGAAATAGAGTTAACAGAAGAGGGGAGGCGTGAAAATAAGAAAAATTTTCGCCTGCGGCGCAGAAAAAGGAAGAAATTTGGCTTCTTGAATTCCAAAATTCTCAAAATTTTCGCCTGCGGCGCAGAAAAGGGAGTGACTAAGACATTATAGAGATGCCTTGATCACTGTCTTTAAAACTTTAACGAAATATTGAGTTATTTGGTGTGATATCGAACGATCAAGAGGTGTTGAGGGGATTATCGGTGGATTTGGAGTATAGAAGGATATCGGTGAATTTACAGGGATTAAGTTAGATTTGAAGAGAAATCAAGGGCTTAAGAGATATTACTACATGAGTTATCACTTAATCCCTCAATCTCAGTTCTTAATCGTCCACATTTGAACGTAACGCACTTAATCGTATAGACTTGAACGTTTAGACTTATATACCCTTGGCCTTCCAAAATAAAAAATATTGCCTTCGGCGCTTAAAAGGCAGGTAATTTGGCACCTTGGCCTTCCAAATTTTTCAAAATTTTTGCCTGCGGCGCTTAAAATGTAAGAAGCCCAATCCCATTTATTCCTCAACCCCCCCCCCCCCCCATTACCTTATCCTCCCTTAATCCCCTGAACCGGAAAGTAAATCATGCGTCTATGAGACTTAAACTCACTATTTCAGCACCGCAGTGGAAATTTTAGAATTATATTGAGTCGTATGTGAAGAAAATAAAAATTTAAAAGTTTTTAAAAATTTTTTTTGTAAATCCCGATCCCGATTTTTCAATCCCGGTCCCGATTCGGGATCGGGATCGAGATCGGGATCTCCATTCCAAATCCCGATCCCGATTTCGGCCAATCCCGATCCCGTGTCGGGATCCGGGATCGGGATCGGGACCACCATTCCGAAATCCCGATCCCGGGTTTTTCTCTAAATCCCGATACCGCTTAACTCTAGTTAAAATAAATATAATTTTGAATAAATTATTTTTTTAACAATGTTTTTATTGTGTCGTGTTGTGGAAACTTTAAATGTTTTTGTTTAGAAGATCGATCGAGATTTGATATCTATATTTTGAAAAACTCGATTTTGATACGAAATACAGTAACTGGATAAGAAAGAAGCAATGGAAAATTCTTGAGAATTTATATTTGTTTTAGTGATATTCTTTAATCTAACAAAGTTGAAAAAATTTTAATATAAAAACCAACCATTTTCTAATCATTTTTATACAACACATTGCTTCTTCATAATTCAAAACTCAACTTTCTTGTGCCTGTTACAACTACATTCCTGCTAGCTGATGGCTGTTCCCTGCACCCGTCGCCTTCTCTTAATTGGACTTTTGCTGGTGCTTGCCGCTGATATTGCGTTTGGACGTTTTCTGCCTGCTGCTGTCGAACAACATAATCTTCGCTTCAAACGTGGGGCTGATGACATCTTTCTGCGTGATACTAAGGATTGGAGCAAGTACGGCATCGCTGCGGGTGTCTATCTAGTTATGTAAGTTATCCTCTAATTTTCATTCTTTTAAAAATTTTTTTTCTAAATTTTAGCTCCCTTGTGATCTACGTTGCTACATTCTGTTGTGCTCTTGAGAAGAAATGTGCAGCTGCTGCGGTAAGTAAAATAGATTGCGAAGAGTCTCCCTAATTTATTAAAATTCTTTTCAGGGTCCACCTCCTTCGGCATCAGCAACTTCTCTCGGTCCGGCTAGCAGTGTGGCGAGTTCAGCAAGTACAAGAACGGCGAAAGGCCCGAGCCCGAGTGAGGCTAGTATGCGGACAGCGCTGCAACAGTCAATTAGGATGGACTCGAGAACGCAAAGGGAGACGGAGAGGGCTGCTGCTTCATCTCGCAAGTCTGGAAAGGTTTCGCCATCGACTCGCCTTCCAACGGCATCTGCGAAGGAGCAAACGGCATCTAGGAAGACGGCGTCTGCCAGGACTTCATCTGCTAGGACCGCATCTGCTGGAACCACATCGAAGAAGAGCACGTCGAAGGCTACCAAGTCGAAGAAAGGGACCTCTTCAAAGGGGACGACGGATACTGGGAAGAGTACTTCGGGATCAGCCCGTTCGACTTCGGGCGGAAGCGGTGTGTTTTTTGTTTTAGATAAAAAAATTTTATTTTTCTTTAGAAAGCGGCAGCAAATCATCTGGTTCCGGTTCCGTCTACTCCGAAACTTCCAGTGGCGCTTCCAGCGGTTCGAATGAGGGTACAACTAGCGGTGGATCTCATAGTTCTGGTTGAAAAGGATAGAAGGAAAAGGAAAGAATGGATGGATGAAATAAAGATATATAAAAGCAAAATACGTTCATGGTTGTGTTGTAGAGCCTATATTGTTGTTTTTGTCCTCCCAAAAAAGATTTTGTATTCCCTCCTTCCATTATTGTATTCAATCATATGTAGGTATGTATGTATATTATATGCTGTTAAGTCCGAAAATAATCGGGGATGTACTATATTGTTGTTTTGACACAATTATTGTATTCTTTATGTTGTGCTATGTATGTAATTGTCATATGTATGTTCTGTATAAATAATCTATTCTGTGTCATTTGAGATACTTTCATGGTATATCATATACTTAAAGATAAGTAGGTTGGTCCAAAACATGCAAATGCATGTTTTGTATGCAGGTATGTCTTGAGAGAAGCTCAAAAATGGTGTTTTTACATTGGTCCGAGCACTGGGACCCGGATCTTAATGCATATTTTGACAATCTCGTGTATATTTGCATATCGGAGCCATATTTCGTCATTTTTTGTAAAATTTTGCCAAAAATTGAAAAATATTGATTTCTAAAGCACATTTTCATTATTTTTTGCGGCATATTTAGTGCATGTTTAAGGAATTTTTACATATTTTGGGCCCTTTTCAGTGCATATATGCGCATATTTGGTGATCTTGCGTGAATATTTTTCCCAGCCTTAATTATTAAAATAGGGTTGGAGTTTGCGATTAAAACCCCCCAATTTTTAATATCCGGGCCCTTCTTAAATACTATTTGGTTAATTAATTATTATTTTAAAAATTAGTTAAGAATTATAGGTCAAGCAAAAATACGAATCAACAAGTATGCCTTAATTGTAAAAAGAAATTAAAAAAACATTAATTAAATTTTTTATTAAAAAATACATAATAAAAATAAAGCACCAAAATATTTTTTCTTATTTATTTTTTCTTCTATTGTTTAATTAATTACCCGTTTTTGTTTTTCTTTATTTGCATAGTTCTTTTAATAATAAAAAGCAAAATATTTTCTTCATTTTACACATAGCTAACATCATCAGTATCCATTGATGAAAGTAATCGAACACTTAAATGGCCACCAACTCCATCATCTGGCAAACAATCCTTTAAAAAATAAACAAATATTCGACCATATTTGGTGTATTTTAAATGAAAGGAACTTTTATGAAAGTTTTGACAAATGAAATTAATATTGAAAGAATTAAATATTTAATTAGAAATAATACAAATTATTTAATCATTTACACTGTGGTGCAAAAGTTTATGCATACTTAATTAAAAATTATTTCAATGCAGTATAACTAGTAAGTCCTTAAGTTATAAGTTTTTTTGGATGATATGCATAAACTTTTAAACCGCAGTGTATTTAAATTACTTTTCCAAGTTGAACAGTAACTTCGCCAGAGCGAAGTGTAGCTCTTCTACCAAGATCAGAATGTTGTCCATTTTGTTGTTGAACAAAACTTTCATCCATAGATTTATGTGAAAGTAACTTTCGTTGATTTTGATTAGAATTATTACTAAAAATATTTTTTTAATTAAAAAATACTCAGATTTTAACAATCTTTACATAAAAATCTGTGTTGAATTTATCCTATTTTTAAATAAAACCGAAACTTTAAATAAATCCGGTACTTTAAATAAAGTAAAATTATAATTAATTAGAGTTCGGCTGGACTTTCCTATATACTTAAAATTTACTTAACATATGCCAATATTTTTAATCAAAAATTATTTAAAAATACTTTTTTATTTTCATATCCATTTTCTCCAAATTTTCACTATTCATTTTTAAATAATAATTGTTATTATTATTAATATTTTCATTTCGTCTAATAGAAAGCGGGGAAACTAAAATTGAGGTAGTAAATGAGCGTTGTTTATGTGCTTGGAAATTTAAACGTCTTTGAGATGGGGCTGTAGAAGGGGATTGAAATTGATATTTTAAATTGTTATTTTGAATAAAAAATTGTTGTTGTTGGTTAGTTGTTGGTGGATTTGTATCTTCTAGTGGTACTTTAAAAATAAAATTTAAAATAATTAGAGTTTGGCTGGATTCAATTTTTTCCCTATTCAATCAAATAGAAATAAATGCGCTTAAAATTTTTTTTAATTTTTTAAAACTTAAAATTTTTTCCGGTTTCTAAAAATAATAATTTTTAAAAATATTTCCAACTCCGATTTATATAAAATTTTATTTTTAATTTTAAAACTCACAACTTTTCCCCATAACAGTCCCCAATGTTTTCAATCTACTTAATTTTTGTTTTTCATTAGTAATATTATTAGTTGAATTTGTTGTTCCCAAAGATTTTCTTCTTCCAAAAATAATTTTTTGTTTATTATTTAAATCATTTGGGCAATTAACTAATAATTCCATTTCATTATCTAATAAAAGTTCATCATCATCATCTTCCCCTTCTTCTTCTTCCTCTTCACCTTCAATTTGTTCATCTTCATTATTTGTAGATATTGTTGATTCCAATGTTGAATGATAAACACTATTTGCTTAAAAATAATTTTGATTATTATTTATTGTCCAAAATTTATTAGATACTTTTATTTTTTAAATATTTAAATAAAGCAAAGCACTAAATAAATTAATTACAATTATTAATTCCCATTCTGACAGATTGTGGAGGCAAAGAAGAATCAGAAGCCCCAGCCGTTGCTGCTAATGAATGCCTTCTTTGTGGTTGTGCTACACCTGGATAATCAGCAAAAAATCTACACCAATCTAAACGGCGGTCTTCATCAAATATTTCAAAAGCGTATTTAATAATTAATTCTACTGCACGGCTTTGACGATGGGCATCGCTAATAAATTGTTGTTGTTGTTGCTAGAAATAATAATAATTTAATTATGTATCAAAAATCCAATAAGGTCATGGCCATATATGTACAGCTAATTTTTATTAATAAAAAATCAAAAATCAAATAAATTTTAATTAATTACATTATTATTTGTTGATTGAGAAAGATTATTATTAGAATTAATTCCTCCTCTTCCAACAACAGCATTAGGGAGAGGTAAACGTTGCCAAAGAAGTGAAGGGGCAATAACTGCTGCTAAATTTGATGCAGTCATTAAATTTTGTAATTCAAACCTTTTTTAAATTAAAAAAATTAAATTAAGTATTTTAATTAAAATAATTTACAAAAATTTAGAATTATTTAATGTATAAAATAGGGTAGCACAAAACCGTTTAACTATAAACGGAAACGGTATACGGGTCTCAGATAAACGGCATAAACGGTTTACGGTTTTTTTTCAAAATTAAACAGTTTTGTGCTACTCAAGTATAAAATTATCATTTTTGGGTAAAAATTCATAAATCAAAATTTTAGTTAAATCTACTAACCAAGTAACTCTATTTAAATGTAATGCCAAAAATCGGAGTGTTTGCATATTTGGAATTGGCAATTTTTTAACAAGTTGTTTTAATAAATTAATTAATTTTAAATAATTCTCATCTACTTCCTTATCTTCTAATTTATTTTTTATTAAATTATTTTCTTCTTCGTTTTCCCCCTCTTTTAAATATATTTCAACACTTAACCATTCTGTATATAATTCATATGAAAGTAACGGTTCTGGTAATCGACGTAAATAAAGTTTAACTACGGAAGCAATATTCATCTTTAAAAATTTAAATTTATTTAGGATTTTATACATATTTAAAAATATGTATACTTCCTCACCCCCACCCCTCCTTGCCCCCATCTTTTAGAAAATTTCAAAAATCCTTTCAACATTCATTCACACTCATTTTTTCTTTTAGAAAATGTTAATACTACATATTTCACAAAATTAAAAAAATATTTATAAAACCTACAGGATGTACATTACTTAAATCAACAGGCGAATCATTTGTGTTTTGTTCAAATTGAACACAAATTTCTTCAACTTTACTTTTAACACCACATGTACGATATAAACCCTGAAAATTAAATAAACTAATAATTTATTATTTTTAATTATAAATTAAAAAATAAATTTACAAATTCTTGTAAATTTTTTATTTTATTATTAAGGTAATTTCAAAGAAAATAGTCAAATTATTTATTTTCCATATGAGAAATTTAGTCTTCAAAAAGAGTAGATAATTAATTTATTAAAGGAATTAACTCCAAAATATTCCCAAATTTTACAAATATTTAATTTTAATTTCCCACCTTACAACACATCCCTCTCCTTTGTAATTCATCCAAACATTTTTCTAAAATTAATGGAATTTGTCTTTTCTGTTCACCCAAATGTATATTTAAAGGAACACCAAAAATACTTGTTCTTCTCAAATTTAAATCTTTTCCATCATTTTGTTCATCAAATTTTCTCATATTTGGACCACAACGAATTTGGACATTAGGCAAACATTTACGATGCCAAACTAAGGCACAACATTGACATTTTAAAGCATCAAAAAGTAATAAATGTTCACACTAAAAATTTAAACAAAAAAATTAAAATTTTGCAGAAATTTTAATCAAAAAAACCCCAAAAATTATTTTTTAGTACAAATTTAAAAAATTAATTATTAAATTGATTTTAAATTTTTATTATTTTTCCAACCATAAAATAAATTAAATTAAAAAAAGAAGCAGGTAAGTACCTGTGCACATTTAGCTACTTGTCTAGTTCTTTGTAATTTATGAGTACGTGCTGCTTCCGAATATAAATTAGAAAAATTTTGTTTTCCACCAGAAGAAGAGGAAGAAGCTAAAATATTGTTAACTGCTGCTGATGGAGAGGAAGAAGAGGATGATTGAATGTCAAAAAGTTTAGCCATTGAAGTTTTACTAGCTGTTCTACGTTTTTGTTGGGCCTGTTATTTTTGAAATTTAAAAGAAGTTTTGTTTTTATTAAAAAATATTTACAAAAGAGAATATTAGAAATATGAGAAGAAAAAAATTCTAAAAAGATTAATTTAGAATACTTCTAAATTATTACCAATAATTTTACATAAGTCTTACTCATTAAAATATTAATTTTTTGTTACTTAAAGGAGTACTTTACTCATTCAGTAAAAATAATAGCAATTATAAAAATGATGGGCAAGCCTCTCATTTCATTCAAAATATATCCCAAGGGCTAGATTAACTTGAAAAATAATTTTTAAAAAATAATTTCTACCTCAGTAACAAGTAAATGTTCTTCGGCTGCTGCCAAAGCATTTCTTCGTTGAACAGCTCTATTTGGAGAAGGAATTGAAGATGAACAGGCTGAAGCAATACTTGTTGTTGTACTACTTCCTTTTTGTGTAGCTAAAAGTGTTGTTGGACGTTGGTGGGGAGAAGAGCCGGAATCAGAGGAGCAAAAAGGAATATTTGAACAATTAGAAGAGTCAATCATTTTACTTTAAATATTTTTAAAATTATGTAAATGTAATTTTGAAGAGTGGGACAAGTTAAAGAAGGGATAGGATAAGTTATAAATTGTAAGATAAAAAATGATAGATATTAAGTGAGTAGATAAGGAGATAAAAGTAAAAGATTTCAAGGAAGGCCAAACCCACCATTGCCCATTTGATGTTGTTGACACATTTGAAGTAAGTAAAGAATTAGATTGTTGTTGAAGGAAGGACATAAATTCTTGACCCGGTTGGCTGGTCCTTGCCACATCAGCGAGTCTTTCCAGTTCTTGAGGAACAGGAGCCCAAAGGTTGGCAATTCCCTAAATTATAATTTTAGATATTTTAAAATAATTTTACTTTAAGAAGTGTAGCAGTACAAGCAATTGTTGTTAATTCACACTGACGAATTAAATCAGAAAGTTCATGAATTGTTCGGCACTGGAAATAATTTTAAAAATTAAAAAAAAGTTGCAAATATAAAATTAAAAGTTCCGGCTCAGTTTTTGACAATTTAACAAAAAAAAATTGTCTGATAATATCATAAAAAATAACAAAAATATTTATAAAAAATAGCCTCTTGAGAATTAAGAGAATTTAAAAACAATAGAGAGATGATATGTATTTAAAAAGGGAATTATGTAAAAAATAAGAAGGCAAGAAAATAGGGAAGATAAAGCATATACAAGGAGGAAAACAAAAGGCTTAACTAATAAAGTAACTAATTAATAATATTTTTTCGAAATTGAGATATGTAAAGGGAAAATCTGGGGCTTGAAATTCAAATATATCAGAAATATTTCTGTCCAAAAATCTCTTTCCTTTTAAATTCTTTTAACTATATCTAGACATTTTATAATCTTTTAATTTTTACTTTAATGTAATATGCTTAAGTATGATCTACCCCTTAGGGCAATATTATGCCATCCACATAAAGAATGACGGTCCTTTTCTTGTAAATTCTACATATTTTTTCCCATCTTTTTTCTTTTGGCCATTTCCTAACCTCAAACCACTTTTGCACCACTCAATGCTTTTTGAAAATTTTTCTAGTAACAAACAACGTGCACCAGTTATGCCTTAAGTCTGTAGTAGTTATTGAGGAAGACACCTCGAATTTTTTAACGATGGACAAGATATAACAAATATGTATAAAGGAGAAACGCGTGACAAAAAAATATAACGAGGGCGAAAAAAGGAAATAAGAGGAAATTGGATTTGAAAGTAAGGAAGGAAAGGAGAGTGTCTGGAAAATTTTAAAAAATGAATATTTAACCTTTTAGAAAATATTCTAGTAGAAGACAAACGGAAAAAATTTAAAACAAAATCCTTGTGAAGGAAGGATCAATCAAGTATCAAATAAAAATTAAGTTATCATTTTCCTCCAAATTACTCCTAAAAATTATCCAATCAGACATCTCCAACAATACCACATTCTCTTATAATCTAATTCTTCAGTTAATCCAAACGGTTTGAGATTTTTCGAGTAATATTCTTTTCCCTTTTTCAAAGCAAATACACATAAACTAACACTTAAATATGTTTAAAAAAAAGTCTCATCAATTCTTTGGAAAGTTCTCATCTCAGCCCTTCTTCACTTTCGCTTGGATGACGTTGAATGGACAATAAATAGGAAAGAAAGTAAAAAAAAGTGGCAATTCAAATATTATATTTGTGCTTTTCGACGTTTTTTTCTTTTTTAACTAGAAAGCCCCCGCAGAAAAAGAATTCTCTTATTTTTTATTGTTAAGCCAGGAAATTCGAGAATCGTGGGTGCCAACACTAAGGGGGGAGAGAGGAGAGGGGTTACCGTTTCCGGTTTTTCTGCTTATGTTTGAAGCTAAATAGAAATGTGAAAGCAAATTTTGAAAATGAATTGATGGAACTGTGTTTAGAAAAAATATAAAAAATGTAGAACTAAAACAGCGGGAATTGTTAAATAATAGAGAGAAAAATAAAATTTACAAAATTATTTAGAAAATAAATTTAAAAATTAATATGTAGATTGAAGGGAATTTATAGAGGTGTATAATACCGAAAAATTTATAAGACAGACCAAATTTTTTGGCATAAAGAAGAATTTTCAGAATTTTTGAACGACTCATGACTAGTTTAATGAAGGTAACTTTTTTGAAGAATAATCCTGGCGTCAAATTGTGAGCGGCGCCGAAATGTTCAAATAAAGCCTAAACCTTTAGAAGCCTAAACCTTTGGGATTAAAAAGACAATTTGGCGTCAACAACTTGGCGCCAAAATTATTTCTTCACCCAAAACTTTTTTAAAACTGACAACTCTATTAACAAATTTATATCAATCGAAGGCTAAAGAAATAGAAATTATTTCTTAATGGATAATTTTAAGAAAGAAAAAAATTTATGGAAACAAAAATATCGGCGTCAAATAATCTGCGCCGAATTGTCTTCGACCGTTTCCCCTACAAAACCTATACCTTTTGACTTCAAGTTTTAAGCAAAAACTTGAAGCCAAAAGGTATAGGTTTTATAAGGGGAAACGTTTTGGACAACTCGGCGCAGATTTTTTTGGGCGTTTACGAAATTTTAGGCCCTAATTTGTAAGAAATAATACGACTTGAGACAAAACTCGAATTTTCTGTTAAAGGGACGTATTCAAGAGACTTTAAGAGACTAATACTAGGACCGTTCACCGATCTTTCGATCTTAACAAAATAGATAAATTAATTTCAAAACACAAATTTACCCTCAATTCATTTAATTTAGCTCTATATCCATCCAATTCCCTCTCTAATCTACAAACTTCTTGTTCAGCATCTTCTTTTCTGTTTAAAGCTTCTTCTTCAACTTTTCTACGTTTTTCTACTTCTTTACGCCTTTTTTGAAATATTTGTTGTTGCCCCAAACTGCTATTTCCTTCACTATTCCGAATTAATAAATTTTGTTGTTTTTGTGTATTTATTGGCAATATTTGATGACATTCACGTTCTTGACGAATTGTTACTTCCCGAGCACGTAAATATTGTTCTCCTTTATTTGTATGTGTTTGTCGAGCTCTTCGAAGTTCTTCGACGCATGTCTCCTTTAAAAATTCATAAATAATTATTTGTTAGTTACTTCTTTTAGTTTACGGATTTAAATTTTCTACTATCAACTTGATTATTTTTACAAAATTAAAATAAACTAATTAATTACCAACCATTTGTTTTCGCTGTTTTGCATATTCAACTTTAAGCTTTCTTCTTCTTATATTGTGTTCTTTTTGACGACTTTCTAAGCTCTTAAAAATAATTTTTTAACTTTTCCTTTATTAAAAAGTTTAATTCCCAAAAAAACGTAAAGTATTCTCCCATTTTTTTTATTTTTTTTTATTTTCGAGGCAAAGAATGTCCATCCATTCATTACCTCAATAAATCTTTGTTGTAATTGCTGTACAGTAGAATCAGCCCTACTTGCAAATTGTTTAGTATTCTCCATTAATTGTCCAAATAAAAGAGATAAAGGCATTTTTTGATCTAACGAAGAAAATTGGTTTTCTATTTGTTGATTTGTTAGAGGGCCTAATTGTTGGTCTGACATTTTAAGTAATCTTTGGCTATATTCTTGTTCTAATGAAAGTCTGGCACGTGCAAAGGAAAGCAATTGAGAGGCATATTTAGACCAATCTTTGAAAATAAAATTTTATTTTTAAATTATTTGTTTAAAATTTAGGTACAGAAAGTTACTTGAATAATAAATTGAAAAATAAAATACTTAGAGAATTCCCCTTTTCTTAAACTTTATTTTTTAAATTTACTTTTGCAGCGCTCAAAGGCAATTTCCAGCCCATCAGTGCGCTGCTCAAGTAATTGCCACATTGGTTTGCATTGATGGCCAATACTGCTACAGCTACTACTAGATACAATTTCTACCGAATGTGAACTTGGATTATTAGAAAATTGCTGTTGTTTACCTAAAATTTTGTATAAAAATTTTTTAATTCCAAAAAATATAAATAAGATGTTTATTTTAATAATTTTAAATTTTTTTCCAATAACTAATTAATTAAACATTTCTAACATATGTACATATTCATTGAACATAACAAAAAAATTAAAATTATTTTTAAATTTTTCTCTCATTTATTTCCCCCCAACTTTTTTTAAAGTTTTTTCTTCCCTAATTTAAATTATGTTTGGGTGTGAATAAATCAGAAATAAAAAAGATTAAATCTGAATTTTCCACTAAATAATTTAACAAGTTGAAAGATTTAACATCAAAATCCAGGGTTTGAGATAGGACTACATACATATTTTCTTAAAGAAAAGTACTTAAAAACACTTTTTCTTTTGCCAAAATCAAAGTCAATCCTCTCTCTATTTTAACAAAAATATTACTCTTTTAATTAATTAATTTACGTATTAAATAAATTGTGTGGTGTTTTTGTTAAAAGAAAATATTTAAAAAATATTTATTTTGTTTCAATTCTCAGTTAACAAGGTTATTATATTCGCGCCATTTTCTACAAACAGTTTATAGTCTTTTAGCAAAATTATTTTGCTTTTATTTTTTTCGTCACCTTAACGCTAACTTTATATTTAACGAGAAAAACAGTATTTTGATTTTTCTGGGGCAAATCAGCAAAAAATTTGTGATCGCGCGAAAATGAAGAAAAAATTTAAATTGAGAAGGGGGAGGGGGGAATGACAGGAAAAATAAGGAAGCAAAAATAGAAGAGATTTGTGGTAAATGATGGAAATAAATGAAAAAAATTATTGAAATGTGTTAAATGATTATTTTGTTTGAAAATATTTTAATAATTTTAAATTGAGGCTAGGCAACAGAGATCAACTAGGAATATCTACTAATTTTCTGTCACAGAAATTACTTAGAACCAATTCGTAAAGGAATCGGAGAGATATATACCCATTTTATATTGGATAAAATTAATAAAATAAAAATCAGATTAGATATGATATTTTATTAGTAAAATAAACAATTCACCATTTTGTTGTGAATATTGTCTATTTTGTTGTTGAATTGCCAACATTTGCCGTTGCTCATTTGATTGGACACCCGATAATGGCTGCAATGAATGGACAAGTCCAACGTTGATTTTTTTAATATTTTTGTTATTGGGTGGATGTGGGGGTAAAATAATTCGTTGAGAGGATAATTGAAAAGCTGAATGACGACGAACTATTTTTGCTGCCGTTCTATTAACTGGTGGTCCAACGGGGGAGGAAGAAACACCGGACGAAGAATTTGCCTGGAATTTAAAAAATAAAATGAAAAGACTTTATTTTTTATCACTAATTCTTTTAAAAACACCTCCCACCCCTTCACACACCTTAGCACTACGTACACTTCCACCACCTTCTTCATCTTGTTCTTCATCATCCTCTTCATTATCCTGATCTGTTTCTGTACAAATATTTGTATTTTTGAGTAAAATTTGTTTATCATTTGATTCTTTATCATTTTTGAGCAAATTCTGTAGATGACAACGATCATTCCTTTAATGAAATAATTGTTTTTTTATGTTTATTATAAAAATACGATAATTACTTCAAGAAAATATTTTTTTTAAGTTTTAATTAATTTTAAGAATATATATGTTTCTTTGCTTATTGCATGTGCAAATTTTCTTGTATTTTTTACCAAGATTCAACCGTATAAATTCCAAATAAAAGAAAGGATAATTTGAATAGTGAATAGGTATTTTGTATTTTTCTCAAAGAAAATAAAGTTTAATTAAATCAAAGTTAAATTTGAGGAAACAAAAAAACTTTTTTATAACCGCTTAAAATAACTGGTAATAGTGTCGTTTCCAGTCCCCATTTTTTCCTCCCAATTTTTTACCCTATGTCTGTACGGAATGGTCAAATTTTCCTCTTTCTTTCACCAAATTTGCCTTTCCATATTTTGCCTAAAAACAATCAAAAAGATTAATTTTTTATTCAGTTCTTTCACAAGGAGAAAGAACTGTTCAGTTCTTTCACACATTCTTTCACAAAGAGAAACAAATGTTTTCTGGCTATTATAGAAGGAAAAAGAAGTCTTTTTGATTGTTTTTAGGCAAAATATGGAAAGGCAAATTTGGTGAAAGAAAGGGAAAAATTTGACCATTCCGTACAAACATAGGGTGAAAAATTGGGAGGAAAAAATGGGGACTGGAAACGACACTATTACCAAATAACTTCATTATACATATTATCCGAATCTGAAAATAGGAGAAATGGATAGTTTAAATTAGAAGCCTAAGAAATATATACCGGAACACAGATAATTTATAATTAGAAATACACAAAAAGAAATGTCAATTTATTATTATACTTTTCAGAAGTCTCCTCCTCAATTTGTTCATTCCATTCATTTCCTTCCTTTTCATTTTCTCTTTCAATTCTTTGAAATACAGAAACGGCAGCACCTTCATCTGGATGTAATAAAGCAGAACATGCAGAACCTCTAGCAGATGTTGTAGTAGAAGAATTATTAGAACAAAATAAACTTTCCCCTCCTTCCTCTCCCTCTCCCCCTTCTTCTTCTTCATAATAATTAAATTTTTCATTAAAATCTCCAAATGTTCCCAACATTTCTAAAGAATTATGTCTACTAGCCCCATCAGAAGAACATAAAGAATATGAAGCAGTAAATAAAGGAAGTGGGGGTAACAAAGAAGTATTTTCGTTATTATTTTGTTGAAATGCTCGTAATAAAATTAAATCGAAACGAGAAAGTTGCTTTTGTTGTTGTTTTTTCTTTTTAAAACTTTCTCTGTTTATTTTTGTTAAACTTAAATTTGGCCAAATTTTTGATGATTTTATGTTTGTTTTAAAAGAATCTTTTAATTCCTCCTTTTCTTCTTCTTCTTCATTATTTTGTTGTAATTTTAATAAAGATTCTGTTAATATTGGGGAAGAACAAAGAAAACGATCAGAAAGTGAAGGGGATTTTTGTGTTGTTTTTGATAAATTTAAACATTTATTGTCCATTTAATTTAATTTCTTTTAAATTTTTAATAATTAAATAAGGCTGTATTGTGATTAAAATGTACCCCCCCCCTCCCCATAAAGAAGTATTTAAATTAAATAATTTTTAGTAATGAGGATTTTATTTAAAAATAAAGAAAAATCAAAATATTGTGAAAGTAAAATAAAAAAAATTTATTTATTTATTTATTCACCCATCCAAAATTAATTAATATGAATGGAATAATTTAGTGTTAATATTTTTTGTTAGAAAGAAAAGACTTTTATTATTTATTATACAGTTGGATAAATAATAATTTTTATATAAAAAATAAAATTTTGAAATTTCTTAAAAATAATTAAGGAAGGATTAAATTTAATTAAAAAAAATCAAAATTACCTACTAAATATTTTTTTATAATTTTGATTAACCTAAAGAGAGATATTTAATTTAACAAAAATATCTTTTTTACGAAAGAATTTTCGGAAACAGATTTTTTGGTAAAAAATTGAAGAAAAAAGGTGAGAATATACGAGAAAAAATAAAAAAAAAGAAAATAGTTTAGGTCACACAAATCAAACAATAAAAATTTATTTGTAAAGCGGAAAAGTGTAAAAAGAAGAAGCAAAAAGAAGGGGAAATAATAAACAAAAAATCAACCACAGCAATCCATTATTTTTGTGTTTAGTACAAAAATTCTAAACGAGAAAAAATTGCCGAAAAAAAGGAGAAAAAATAATAAAAAAATTGAGAGGGAAAAGATGATGAGGAATGAGTAATTTTTGGTGTATTTATTATAGGCCATCATTGAGAATGAGTAAGGAGGAAATATGAGAAAAAATCCTTACAAAATTTTGTATAAAATGGTAAAAAAAGAAGATATTTTTTAAATAAATTATGATTATGTTAAAAGAGAAGATTTTGAGAAATTTAGAAATTAAAAGATTAAGTTGGGGCTGTTAATAGGTGGAACTTTTAAATTAAAATCTGGGTAATTTATACAAAAAACGGGAATTTAATAATAATTATTCACTATTCCAAAATTTCGATCCAGATTTTATGTCGAAATTCCGATACCGCCCAACTCTACAAAATATTAAAAGGAATAATTTATTCAAACTTAAATAAAATGAATTGATAAAAATGAGAATTTAATTTTAACAAAAAATATTTCTGTTCTAATCTATTGATTTAAGAAAAACATTAAAAAACAAAATAAAAATTCTAATTTTGTGGTTAAATATTTAATAATTTTGGGTAAAAGGTCACCACAATAAATATTCAGAGAAGGGAAAATGGTTTGGAAGAAAAATGGTTGAAGGTTATATAAAAAAGTGTTTTAAAGGTGGAAAAAAGTGTTTAGAAGGTAAAATAGCTGTGTTGAAGAAAGAAAAGATCAATTTAGAGTGGCGAAGAAACAAAACTTTTTTTTGTTGGAAGAGGTTAAAATGTTCGGGGAAAAGGTAGGAGGAAATAAATGGAGGGTTTTGGTTATTGTTTTTGGTATGTGCCAAAAAATAAATTGATGAAAATAAAGAAAAATACTCGCCAATTTCTATCTAGAAATCCAAAAAAACTTTCAAATTATTTAACTGAGAGCATTCTCAAAATTGGAATAAACGGAAGTAACGGAAGAATAAAGAACGATATCTAAGGGTTAGAAAAGAATTGAAAAACAGTAAAGAAGAATATAGTCAAAAAAGATTATTTTATCATTTTCCCTCATTATCGGAAGGCAATTTAAAAAAATAAAAGGAATTTAGGTAGTCGTTGATTTAATTCAAAATAAAAAAAAGAGAGAGAGAGAGTCTTTGTCTGTATTTTGACATTTATTTTTTAAATTTTTCCATTCAAGTTAAGGATTATTAGTTAATTATTGGTCGTTTAAATTTAAAAAAATAATTATTAATTATTAAATAAATAAATTAAATAAATTAATTTAATAAATGAAAATTTGTTTTAGGAGAGAAAACAAAATAAAATAAATTTATTTTATTTATTTATTGGTGGTAACAAAATAAAATAAAAAATGATGAAACAGCAATAAGTATTTGTTGATTATTTTGTGAATTGCTTGTCTCAAAATTTTTGTTTTTTTTCTAAAAAATTTATTGCGTTAAATGCATTTTTGGTAATAAAAAATATTTATTTATTTATTTCTATTGATGTGGCTGATTATTATGAGTCAAAAATTCAATGAAGGAATTTTTAACAAAAAATCAATAAATTAATTTTAACAAATTATTTTTTTTTAAATTAAAAATACTTAGAAATTCCTTGTAAATTAATTTTAAAAAATTATTTTTCTATAATTTAAATTAAATTTTAAAAATTTTGTAAAGAATAGAAGGAAAACAGCTGAAAAGTTTATATAACAAAATATGTATTTTTAAAAATATGTATTATCCTCAATTATAATCTAGCTTTTTTTAAAATGTGAGGAAATTGAACTTAGAGATTTTAAAATGTAGAGTTTAAAATGTAATTTTGGACTCATTTTATTTCATCCAATAATGTGGAAAACTATGAACTCTAAAATCAGGATTTGAAAGAAATGGAAGACTTTGGTCATAGTTTAATGGATGTGATTAAAAAAATAGGATTTAAATTTAAAAAAAACCAAAGAATTCCAGAACTCAAAAAAATAAACAATAATCCCATTTCGGTTACAATCCGGCCTGTCGGTCTGTCCTTTGTGGAGGGATTGGAATTCATATGATTTCTTACCAATGTAATTATTATATTTAATTAAAAGTTATTTTTAGAATTTTTTAATTTAAATATATTCAAATAAAATAATTTCACAATAATAAATTTATTATTATATGTAGAAACATGACTACTATATACTTAATTTTTATTTAAAACTCAAGACTTTATTTAAAAAAAGAGAGAAAATAAATAGAATGTTTATATATAAATAGATTTTTCTTATCAATTTATTTGCCAAAATTAATTTCAAAATATTTTATTTTAATATTTTTGGGAATGTTTTAAACAAAAAATAATATTTTAAATTATAAAAAATTAATTTTTAATTTAATTAAAAAAACGAACAAAGCTTCTCGTAGAGAATTAGCAACAGCAATTTCTAATTTATCCAAAGCTTGTAGGGCTGTTAGTGTACAAATTGATTTTGTTGTTTTTGTATCCGTAGAGTTGGAAACTGAAGAGGAAGAAGTAATGAAATTTGTACCTAAATTTTAATTAATTAAATTTAAATTCTTTCAAAAAAAACTTTTAATAGAATTAACAAGTTGTCCAGTAGGTAATAAAACATTGCAAGTTTTGAATAAACGAGAATGTCTGGAAAGTAAATCTTTAATTGACTGAGAAACTAAAGCTAAAGCTGAATGTATTTGTAAATAATTTGAAGTTGTTGTTGTTGTGACTGTTTTGTTGTTGGTATTTTCATTTAAATTATTTTTTTGGACTTTTAAAAGGTTAAAAACTAAATTTAGAAGGAATTAAACTACCTTCAGACATTTCTGAATCATTTATAATTTTTTGACAACAATTTAAAGCTGATCTAAGTCTACCAACGTGTGCTGTAAATCTTTCAATATCAGAAAGAAGAAGAGAATTAAGTAACTTTAAATTTAAATTAAAAAGAATTTCCAAAAAAGAATTTTGAATTAATTTTTAAGAAAAATATATTTGTTTAAATTAATTTTTTAAATTTACTAATTGTTCAGAATCTTCTATTCCAGATGAACGGTCATAGTTTGAATCTGTATCTTCTGAAGAAGAGGAAGAGAAACGGGAAGGAGAATAATTATTAGTAGAATTACGTTGCATTTTTTAAAGAAAAAAATTTTTGTTTTAAATTAACTTTAAATATTTCATAAAAAAAGAATAGGTAATTATTGTGTATTGTTTAAGGGTTTATAAATTTATTTAAATTTTGGAAAGAAATACCTATATAAATAATTAAAATTTCCCTCTCAAAATTTTTTTAAAAATATTTTTTCCATTATTAAAAATTATTAAAATTAAAATATAAATAAATATATTCTCCTTTTAATTAAAGTTCTCCCTGTTAATTATTTAGTGAATCAATTTTGCGTTTTTTCGTTAAGTGATAAATTAAAAAATTTTGGTAAGGAAATTAGTTTTATGCTCTCTTTAAATGTGGAATTTTGAAGGAAGGGAAGGAGGAAAGATTTTCCTTCAGAAAAAGTTTTTAGTTTAAAAAATTTATTCAAAAATTAAAATTCTTACCAATTATTGGACGATGTTTAAGAATACTTATGCAAAATTTTGTTAAAAGGAGGGTAGAGAGATAATTTGATATATGTATTTAGAGGGAGTGTTTTAAAAAAGAAGAAAAAAGAAGAATTTTGAAAAAGTGAATCTTATATCATTCGAAAGCCCTCGATAAGCGCCATCTTTTTCCCAACTGGACGATCAGGTCTGATCACTCATGAAAAGTTACAAGTCGATAAGTGCAAGAAATTGTTATTTAAGCGCTATCTTTTTCCTAATTGGGAAAAAAATCGAGAGCTTTCGAATGATATAATTCACTCGGAGTGGATTAAGCATAAAAAAGTTTTGTCTTATCAAATTAGGGAAAAAGGAAAATATGGGGGAGATAACAGAAAAGTACTAACAATTAAAATATTTTTCTCAAAGGAAATAATTTTCAAAAAAAATATTTATTAAAAACCAATTTAGTTTTTAACAGAATTGAAAATCAGAATTAATTATAATTTCTTTTCTCTCTTAACATAAAAATATTTCCGTTGCCCCCAATTTTAATAAGCCAGTTTAACATTTATTTATTTTTTTAGATTTATTTATTTTTTATTTGGGCGCCACCCATCCTCCAAAAATTCCTTTTATGCTCTTCTCTCAATTTATTTATTAAACCTGTTTTTATTTATTTAATTTTAATAATTCCCTTCTTTTATTTTTTCTCTACTTATTATCCCGCAAACACGCGCCAAATTTGCGGAAATGAAAGAAAACAACTTTAAATAATTTTTTTTGTTTTTACAAAATCAGAACAAAAGAAAGGAAAAAGATTAATTAAATAAACTGATTAATTAATTAATTAAAAATATAGTAATTATTTTTTTATTGAAAAAATGATTGGATAACAAAAGAAATTAGGATTTCTTTTAAGTTTTGGTCTTTTAAGGAAATTTTTATTTTTATATTATTTTATGAAGTAAAAAATGTCTAAACAGCAAGTCTAAGCAATAACTTTTGGCACTTGAATCAATTTAAAGATTAATTAGTAATTCCCATAAATTCCTTAAATCAACGCGCTAACATTTTCGGTAATTAATTAATTAATAATTAGCTAACATTCATTTCGACCACAAATGTCTGGGCGCTCACTAAATCATCTAATTGTATTCCAACTCCGAAACAAAGCTTTAGCCAATTTTTAAAAGGATTGAAGTCGAAGAACTAAAAGAGGCCCCAAATATTCATTTAATCTTTTCTGAGATTTATTGTTAATAATTGGCTATTTTATAATTTAAATAAAATGTATAAATTATTTTTGTAATAAATATAAAAGTTTAAGAATTATTTATTTAAAATAAATATATTTAACAACAGAAAATAAAATTTTTGTTTTTAAAATGTTTTGGCCAATGATTGCCAGTTGCTGTAAATATATTAAAAAGTTTTTCTTTTGGTCATTATTTTGGTGACATTTGGTGGACAAGAAAAGAAAATATTTTTAGAGAAGACACCTGACTATTTTTATTCATATAAAAAGAATGTCCCCAACATTTTTTGATTTTATTTTTAAAAATAATTTTGGACAAATAAATAAATTTTTGTTAAATATATTGGACATTTAATAAATAATTTGGAACACAAAAATTAATAAAATCTTTAAGGTAATAATTCAAATAAAATATAATTTGGTTGTTGTAGCCATGTAGGTAATTAATATTTTATTTAGCCTTGTTTTGTTAACCAAATATTCTAAAATAAAAATTTTTTTTAATTTATTTATTTTTTTAAACAAAAAAATTATTTTTTTAATTAAAATATTTTTTAAAAAATTATATACAATTTATTATTATTGTACTAAAAGAAATAAAAAAATATATTTAAATGACTCATACTTTTTGGTATGTCCGATAAACAGGAAATTTTCTCCTTAAATGTTTCTAGACACACTTTTTGTTTTGACTGTTGCGGAAAGTGAGAAATATTTTAAAGTTGCCAAACAATTTTCTTCAAATTTATTTTTGCCTCAATACAATGGAAAATTTATCAATTCTTTATCCTCAGCCGAGATGCAGATTCATTTAATAAAGTCTAAAGATAAGATTATTTGACAAAAAGGCCAAATATTTTGCACTGGGCCTAGTCCTTTTGTCTATGAAAATTTTCAAATTTTTTTGAATATTTTTTTTATTTTAATTTTTTCTTATCGGAAATACTAATTAACAGTTTTGCCTAAAAGAATAATTATTTAAAATAATTAAAACACAAAATATAATAAAAGGAGTGACAATAAAAACAGGAAAGTTTTGACAGAAAGATGCGTCATCATTTTATAATTTTTACTTAAAATTGCAGCATTATAATTTGCTGCGAGAAGCCAAACAAACAAATTATTTAGCTATTATGTAGGTGAATGCGTCATCAATTACCATAAACAACACAAACCCTCCTAGATCATATCGTTAACTATAAAAACAAAACAATCAAGTTGTTTCTTAATTTTTATTTACCCTCTTTTAAAGCATTTAAATATGTAGGTATATAAATACTTCAAATAAATAAAAGGACATTCATTTTGATAAAACAAAAAAATAAAAACTATATTCCTTCTATAGTAATCGAGAAAGTTTTTAATGATATCTTCAATAAGGTTCATTTTCCTCCTCTCATAAAGATTGAAAATGTTAATGTTTAAAAAGAATGTTAAACTATCTTATGTAAAAACACGCACAATATAGGACCATTAGTTCTAACACGAAGAGCTAGGTACTTAACGTCACAGATTAAGGCTTTTGCCCTACACCTAATTTTGGTCGAACAACTATTAAAATAAGACAAAGAAAAAACAAAAAGTTGCGGATAACATCAGCGGACATGTGGGGAGATAATCAAAGAGTACCTAAAATTCTAATTTCAAAAAATTCAAAATAAATATAAATATTTTCATTCCTATAAATATTTTCATTCCTATAAATATTTTCATTCCTATAAATATTTTCAAAAAATAATCTCCATGGGAAATCACAAAAGACTGCGAGACGAATCGATTAGTTCTGTAAGTGAAACTGATAAAACACCTATTTTAACACAAACACAACTTGAGCAAATCACCCACAATGTTGTCCAACTTCTGACACCCATTATTGAAACAACAATTAAAACATTGTTTGAACAATTACACCAGAAATACAACAACAACCAACTCCCTTCCCAAACACAACAATCAACTTCTCGATGGGGATGCCCCCCTAATTCAATGCCACCAAAAATAAGACAAGCTGCGACAACAATTGAGCAACTCCAACAACCAAAATTTGACGAAAATTTAAAAGAGCTTTATAAAAAGAAGAGTTTTTATGCGGTAATTGAAAGGTTTCCAGAAATGGAAAATGAACAAGAAGACGTAAAAAATATTGAAAAAAATGTTCAAATAGTGGTGGATAACAAAAATTTTAAGGAAGATAAGACTTTTGCTGTTAAACGACATGGTGTTAAAAAGCAAAACAAACATCACCGCATCATAAAAGTAAAATTTTCTACACCATCAGCTGCACAATCGTTTATCAGTCAATACAGAACAATTCATCAACCAATACTAGGTGGGCATAGTCCCTTCGCAAGAAGGGACTTAACCCCACCAGAACTCCAACTACAAAACTACCTTAAACAGCAGGTTAAGGAGATTAATGAAAAAAATGGAAATGGAACTGCCTGTTATCGTAATCTTAAAATTTATTATAAAAAGACAGTGAACACGGGCTAGGATTTAGGGACCTCACAAAAAAATGGTAAAAAATTAAACAATTTAAAATGCTTACTTTATAATATTCGCTCCATTAACTCACTAAAAACTGCATATAAATTGGTCGAATTAGAAAATTATCTGACTAAAAATAAAATCCACATAGCATTTTTATGTGAGACTTGGTTAAATGATAATATATCGGATCAGACCCTTTTCCTATCAGATAATTATAAATTTTTAAGAATAGATAGAAATACTGCACGAGGGGGCGGCGTAGGTATATTTTATAAAAAGGAACTAAAAATTATCAGCATTCCAACACTATCATTATCCTTATATAACCAAGAACTTCTTACTTTCGACATCTACTCAGACTTTAAGAGAATTAGGTTCAACTTACTTTATAGACCACCAAATACAAGATTAATCGATGATAAAAAAATGTGGGGATTACTAAAGCAAAAATACAAAAGTGAACTTTCTAATATTGTATTAGGGGATTTAAATTTTCCAAAAATAAACTGGCAAGAGAGTGCGCTTCCAAAAGATAAACAAAGCTTATATTTTTACAATACAATTAACAAACTAAATTTACATCAAATAATAAAGAATCCAACAATGTATAATAGTGCCCATACATTAGATTTAATTCTCCAAAATAAACCATTAGTTACAGAATATAAAGTTATCGATGATTTAGTTGTAAGTGATCACAAACCTATAGTATTTGAAATAACTTTTCCTATCGAAAAGGTAAAATCTAAAGAGAAAAAAACAGTATTATTATTTAAGAAAGGAAGATATAAAATTATTAATTGGTATTTAGCTCAATATGACTGGTACAATCTATTTAATAACAAAAACCCCTCGGATATGGCCGAAATACTGAATTCAATAATAACACAAACAATTCAAAAATTCATCCCTTTTAAACAATTTGGTAAAAAAATACCCATAAAATATCCCAAGGAAATTAGAGAAACTATCAAACAAAAAGCTAATGCATGGAAAAAGCTAAAATTAGGTGAGATTAGTAAAGAAAATTACAAAAGTCTCGAAATTAAATGTAAATTACAAATAGAAAAGTATAAAAATGATTATCTATCTAAAAAGATAGGATCAGGGCATATAGGGGAAATACATAAATTAATGAAAAGAAATCGACTAAACTTCTCTGGTATACCAATACTTAAGGAATCTGAAGAAAGCGACCCTATAATATTAGACACTGACAAGGCTAAAAAATTTAGAGAAATTTTTGAAGAAGTGGTTTGCGGAAATACAAACAATAAACAAGCAAGCTTCGAAGCTATGGATGAACGTTCTGAAGAAATTATATTTGAACCATATATAATAGAAAAGTTACTCAAGAAGCTCCCAAATAAATTATCCCATAGCCCTGATAATGTCAATCAATATTTCCTAAAAAAATGTGCTACCCCATTAGCTCTTCCTCTATCAATTCTATATAACAATACATTTAAGACCGGAATAGTCCCTGCATTATGGAAAACAGCACACATTAAACCTATATTTAAAAAGAAGGGTTCAGTAAACGACTCAAAAAATTATCGTCCAATTGCATTAACATCCCCCATCTGTAGAGTTTATGAGCGCCTGATAGCGAATAAATTATTAGAACACCTTAATAAACATAAAATAATTGCTGAAGAGCAATTTGGTTTTTTACCTAAAAGCTCGTGTACACTCCAAATTTTATTATCAATGCAGGACTGGTATACCTCACTTGATAGGAAATTAGGTACGGACATTATATACTTTGATTTTGAAAAGGCCTTTGATAAAGTAGATCATGAAATACTCATAAGTAAATTACAGGAAATTAAAGTAGATAGTTTAACAATTAGATGGATAGCAAATTTTCTCACTAATCGATCTCATATTGTCAAAATAGATGAGAATTACTCTCAACCATTTTTGCCTAAAACAGGAGTTCCCCAAGGGACTGTATTAGGACCATTGCTGTTCCTAATATATATAAATGACTTACCCAAACATATCCCAAAAAATATAAAGGTTAAATTATATGCAGATGATTTTAAGCTTTATTCTGAAATCAAAACTGAAAAAGATTGTTTAGAACTACAAGGAGCTATAAACAATGCATATAGATGGGCAAAAAATAATAAGCTGGAATTCTCTATTTCAAAAGTTAAGGTTCTAAAAATATACAACAAAATTAAGTTTAATTATGAGATTAGTGGTGAAAAAATCGAAGAAGTTAATAGCATAAGATACTTAGGGATATACATAGATAACAAGCTTAAATTTGATCAACACGTAGCTAAAATTACTAAGTCCTCATTTATAAGGCTAAATAATATTCTAAGAATATTACCCAAAACATTACCAATAGAAACATACGTAAAGGCATTCAAAACATATGTTAGACCAATTATGGAGTATTCCACAGAAAGTTTTAGCCCTAAATTAGAATATCTTAATAAACAATTAGAAAGACCACAAAGGAGCTTTACAAGAAAAGTTTTAAGATATAAATACAAATACCAAAAAATAGGCTATAACGAAAGACTAAAAAGATGCAAACTCCCTCCAACTAATATCCGTCGTATAAGAACAGATCTTATGACAACCTTCAAAATTATAAAGGGGTTCTATAAAATAAAGCCTGAACAAATGTTTTCAAAACCTAATAGAAATAATCCGCGCATGCACAGATATCAAATATTTAAAAAACAAGCTCACAATAACCATTTCTTTTCTCATAGAGTCATAGATAAATGGAATAAACTTCCAAAAAATCAAATTGAAAAAATCGATACTATTCCGCAATTTAAAAATTTTTTAGACAATATATTAAACACTGAAAATCTTAATTTATAAGCAAAGAATTAATGGAGTGTAATAACAACAAAACCCTTCCCCACGTGTTCACTCTCTTACTTAACTCCTAACATTTAAAGAAGTTTAAATTTATTACGAATATTTTTTTACCATGACTTATTATATATATATTTTTTTGATTGATACTTGCCTTTATACATTTAATTTACATGTAGTTTTTTTTGTGAAGTCCATTTATATTTATTTTTTTAACTTAACATTTAAAAAAATGTTTTATTGTATTCCATTTATTTGTATTTGTATAAGTTACTATCTCCATAAGTGATCCCTACGGATCCAGGAGTTTTTATTTTATTGTTTCACATTTATTTATTTGTGTCGATAAAGAAAAAAAATTAAATAAATACTTTGTGCCATTTTACTTTTGAATTATTTTAAATAAATTACGTCCCTTTTTCTTTTTATTCGTCGAATGCTTTTAAGAATTACCCCCATCTTTTTATTTCTTTATTAAACCATTTAACACCCCTAAACTTTCTGTTATGACATTTGAACACAAATCTTTGGTATTTCTATTTTCCTTTTTTTTCTATAGGCCCGACACCTGCGCGTATTAGATTAAACAAAAAAACATTTTTCTGTTAAATTTATGCCAGTTGTCGGAAAAACTATCAAAACAAGTTGCTTTCAATTTTTGTGTATTTATTTATTTAAATGAGCAAATCATTCTCATTAAATAAATCATTTTTAATTTTTTTTAAATAAATTAAATATTCTTTAAACTTGTTAAAGTTTTTGGCTATTTCTCGCTTTTGTACTAGCCAAAATGTCTGCAATCCATTAAATGGAAAGTTAAAGATGCAGATTTTGGTCAAGTACAAAGGCATGATATAGTAAAATAAAAACAATAAAAATTGTTTAATTAAAAAAATTTATATTAATTTTATTAATCTCTTTGTTATTTTAATGATTTCTCAAGAATAATTTATCTAATTAGCCAACGTATTTTAGAAAAAAAGGACAACGATTTAGTAAGTTATACTTTGTAAACATAAAATAATTACTCCCGTCAAATTAGAGAAATTATAAATTGATAAAAAAATTTATTTAAAATAAATTTTAGTTCAAAATGAGATAGCAGAACTGGCAGAATATTGGAAGTGTTGGATAAAGTTTTTTTTAAATTTGATGGACCCCTCCTTAATTTAGAATTAAATAATTCCTCAATTAAATATTTGTAAGAATTTTATCAATTTTTAAAATAAATATATAAATATATGGGTAATTTTACATAGATATACATATACTGACTTAAATGAAACTCCAGTTGTACATAATCAATTATACACCCAAAAAAATTAAATAAATTGGACTCAAAAATTAGGCTTAATAAAATTAAGCCTTTTGACATTTTTATAACCGGAGTTAATTGTAATTTTAACAAAATTTATTAAATTTGTTGACTACTTCCAGGGGATAAATTTGACAAAGACGGGGTAGAAGAAAGTAATCCAGTACTTCCTCTCCCTCCAGATGCTAATTTTGCTTTCCGTAAACATTTTGGGCAAGTATTATGTTGACATTTTTGCAAATCTTCATTATTTTGTTCCACATCTTCTTCCTCTTTTAGACTAAATTTATTTGAACAACTTCGATGAAAACAGGAAGAACAATTGGGACACTTAAAAAGAAATAAAATAAAATTTTTATTGTTAATTTCAAAATATTTACTTGGCAAACTATTTCTGTTTGAAAAGGATAAATTGGTCGATCTGATGAGCAAAGTTCACAAAAGAATCCCTTAAATATTTTTATATTGAAAAACTGTTTAAACTTGAGTCTTTAAATATAAATAATTCTTAAAAGAAAAATGAAAATAAATTATACAAATATTTTAAAATTAAAGAAAGACTGATAGAAAAATAAATTCCTTAATTATTACAGCTAATTAAAAGAAATTTTAACCTTATAGGCTTATAGTTAAGTGATAAGTTGTACTATCATAATACTTTTCATAAATAAATAACAAATAATTTTTACTACTTTTTAAAAGAATTTTAGGTTAATTTTAATAAAACACCTTTTGAAGGCACAATGGACAATCCCAAATATGTGAAAGAGTTGAGGTTAGTAAAGTATTTAATCGACGCTCTAACGTTCCATTTGCAACACATTCCAAATCCTTTAAGTAATTAAATAAATTTAAAATAAATTTATTTAATACCATTAAAGAATATGCATGAATATCAGAATGAAGGTGATTATGAGGCCAAAGGCGGCGTCTAATATCATTTGCAACAGAATTTTTACAAGAAAGTAAATACATTACAGAATAACCAAGTTTTTTGCGAATATCCTATAAAAATAATTTTTTAAATTTAAAATGTTCGCCATTTAGATACCCTAATCTTGCGTATATTTTTGCTGTGTTCATAAATATAAGGATTAAGAAAATCAACTCGAAATAATGGTTGATCCATAATAGATTGAAGTAAAACACGAGAGGCATTACTAATACTTCTTGGCTTAAAATCAGCATTTAAAATTGCTCGAGAAGGAATTAAACTTTCACCACCACTTTTAAAACAATCCTCACAATAATAATAACCATTTAAGGCACACTCTCTTTAATTTTGTTTTTAGAAATAAAAAAATTTATTTTCCTTACTTAAATTGTCCAAAACCAACACCAATATTTCGACAACAAGTTTTACAACGAAAATTTTGTGCATCCAAGCCTTTTTCATTGGGTATATTAATTAAATGATAAAGACGTTTTAGCAATTTATAAGGAGTTGATAGGGGTGGTGTTGTAGTAATATTAGAGAATTGGCAGTTGTTAGGATTAGAATTCTGCTCGGTGAATGGTTGAATTTCGATAAGCTAAATAAAATATTAATTTTTAAAATAATCTTGACAAAAAATTTTTAGGTTATAATTAAGCTTTTAAAAGTTTGTAAAATAAGAACCCCAAACCTGACCCCCAGATCTATTTTCAGAAAAACTACAGCCCCCGTCCTAGTTGAAAGATTTAGTTTTTATAATAGAAGTGATAAAACATGTTTTATTTCAAGTCCTTTCCGGGCATTAAGATAACAAATTCGCTAAATAAGTTTCCTTAAAAGGATTTTCCTAAATTCTCCAATAAAAAGATAAATTTCAGATAAAAAAGAGGGAATTCTAAAGTCTTCAATGAAAAATTTTAATTACAAAATAAATATTTAATCATTAATTAGTACCTCATTTGCGTCTTCCTCTTCTTCATCAAAATTGCTTCCATCCCTTTGAAAGGGAATATGTGGTATATCTTTAATTGGAGCCAATGATGCGATAAAATCCCGAGAAATACTCTTTCTGCTACCACTTTTAATGAAAACATTTGGAAAAGGAACATTTGTCGATGAACTTTGTAAAGATAATGAACGAAGAGGTGGAGAAAGTATTTGTTGATTCAAATTATTTAGACTATCACCTAATTTGTTAAGTTCACCAACACTTGACGAACATTCGGAGAAAAGACGCTATAAAATTTGAAGATGAGAAAAAGATAAATTATCCAGTCGAAAAAATTTAAAAAAATTTTCAATTTTTAATTAAAACACCCTTTTATAATAATTAACACCTTTTTAGACTCTGATTGAAATAATCGATTGTTTGTTTTGTCTCCTTGAGAAAGAAATGCACGCAATGCTTCATCAAAAGTTGCAGGTAAATCTGTAGTCGAAGAATCGGTAGATTCAATTGCTGTAATATTAAACATTTCCAATGTTGGAGGTGAAGAATTTTTTCTTAAAATATCTGAAGTATTTGACGTTATACTAATTTGATGAGAAGGAGGAAGTTCATCCCTTTCTTCAACTTCTTTAGAAGATTCTTGTTCCATTCTTTCTGCAAGAAGTAATTCATCTTGTAATGATGATCCAAGGGGTGGAAACTAAAAATAATAAAAAATGTAACATTCGTGGAGGTAGACTAAATCTAACATAGGTATTTATAATAATTTCAAACTTTTCTCTAAAAATAAGGATAGAAAGGAATCCATGTGACATTTTTATGCAAAAATTTATTTTTTTTAATCAAAAGATTAAACGGAAAATAGAGGGAAATTCTGAAAAAAAGGACTCAAACTAAACTTATACCAAAAAATGTTAGAATTAAATAAATTCACCTCCATTTCCTGTAAAATTCGTTGCTGTATTAAAATTGTGGGAATTGGCATTTCTATTCCAACAGTACCTTAAAAATCAAATAAAATTAAAAATCGAAAAAATCTTTTAACCTTGCGAAGCTGAAAATGTTATAGTCTTATTGTTTGTATTTTGTTGTTTTTTGTTATTATTTGATGAGTTAATTTCTGAATCTTTAATTGTAAGATCAGTAAACATATTCTCAGTGTTTTGAGAATTAAATTCAAAAGCAGTTTGAAGTGAAGAAGTTGAATTGTTTTTGATTGATTGGCTCTAAAATTAAAAAAAAATTTTGAATAAAAACTAAAAATACTTTTCTTTTCTAATTTATAAGTCCAGGATGTTTCGCCTTAAATAATCCTATAACACTTTACAAAATATCATGATCCCTAAGTTTGCTAGTAAAAAATGTTGGCCAAAATTCCTAAAAAATTTAGTATTTTCCTACACATACCGCTGAAATTTCTGCATAATTAGGAGTCTTAATTAAATTATTAGCTGAATGAGTGCGCGAATAACCACCACCACTACCGCCTGTATCACTTCCAGCACCCCCACTACTTTTAGACACAGCTCTACGACGGCCCGTTTTTCTACGATGCACAATTACCTAAAAATGATTAGAGAACGTTAACATAATATTTTATACTTCAGATGATTGTTCTTCTGAAGGTCCAGCATTTTTTCTTAAACAAAAAACGTCATCATCTCCTTCAACCGCCGTATCAAATTCTGCACCGCACCCAACATCTGCACCGATTAACGAAGGCGAAAGACGTCGAAGACGAGAAGTTGCTGCAGCGCCATATCTTTAAATAATTTTAGAAATGTGTTTTAATTTATTTAAAATTTAGCAAAACCTTTTCCAATCTGCAAATGTTTTTGGCGTTTTTGGTAGTTTTTCAAATAAAGGTTCGTCTTCAGATTGATAAAGCATTGAGGGATGTGAAATGACTGATTCATTATCATCAACTATACATTCTTTAACACATCCACCGATATGTTTTTCAAATTTATTAGTTGAACATAGAGGGGATTCAACGGCTTGAGAATATTGAAGAACGTTTGAAGAAATACTGGCACTTGGATAATTATCTAAATTACTTTCCATTGTGGTCATAGAATCTGGAGGGGTTAATAAAAGATCTAATGCATTAGTTGCTTGTTCTGGAGAATTCTGATCTGCCGAATTTTCCAATAAATTGTCGATAGCAACGGCATCACTGCTAGCATATGGACTAGAAACAGAACCATCCCCTATCCGGCTATAGCCTAAAAATGGAAGTTAAATATTTCCAAAATATTAAATTATATAAAAATTACAATTCGTAAATTTTCCTGGAATAAGTCCGGCAAGAATCAAAGGATTTGGTGTCCAATTATTTAGTAAATTTGAATTTGTTGGAGCAACAATTGTCAGATTGTCCAGTTTTTGTAAATAAGCATTTAAGCCATCAATATATGCTGTGTCCCTAATAAATGCACCTTTCTTGTAAAATTGACTAAAACAAAATAAATTTTAAATAAAAATTAAAATAAACTTGATTTGCGCATCTTTTGAAAATAAATTGATATAAGACTCGAGGGTACGCTCACTAAGAACAATACGAATCCAAGCCTGATAATTAATATTAAATAATTCATTAAAAATGGTTCCACGAAAAAAGTAACTACATAGTCAATAAAGTTTTGAGGTTAGGGGAAAAATTCCAGTGAAAATACAATAGCAAAAAAAATAAATATTTACCCTAGCTTTTCCAACTTCAGTTTTAATCTGATTTAGGGCATATATTTGTTGTTTTATGCTTCGATGAGTAAATTTTGATACAAATGGCCAAAAATTTGGTATAGGTCTTTTTGAGTAACGACTGCCCCTGATGAAGAAAGCATCACGCAAGCCGTGAATGAGAATCGCCTCAATTAGAGAACAAACAGAATGGGCAAATTCACTAAAATATTTTTAAGTTAGTCGACAAAAGTCGGCGTCAAAACCAGTAAGACTAATTATCCAGCCTAGACTTATCAAAGGCATAGCCAGGGGTCGACTTCGAGGAGTGGGGCATCATCTAAGCCCTTGTCTTGTTATAAAGAACTAACCTTGTAGCTGTCAAAGCGAAATTAGTAGAAGCAAATGCTGCAGACAGGTCCAATTCTCGGCGGATTGAGTTTTTAGCTGCAAGAAAAGCCTTAGATTCTGCATCAAGTCTTTCCCCCATATTCTATAATTTTGAATAGCACATCTTTAAAAAAATATTTTTTTACCAAATTATGAAAAGAAATAATATGGACAAGATCCGTTTAAAAACAAATATTAATTAAATATTTATTCGATTTTGTATTTGAAGTCAATTAATTAGGATATCTTTTAAGGTCTAATATACCGGAATAATTAAAGCACACTTTTATAATGAATAAATGAATATATAATTGAAAGTTCCTTAATCGAGATCAGAATTATTTTTAAAAAATGTTCTGAATCTGTCGAAAATTGTACTACTTTTAGAAAGAAAATTTAAATGTCTTCAATATATATTGCAATTAATTGGCAGATAAATATATTAATTTTGAGGTTGTCGATATGTGAAAAAATATATAATTAAAGCATAAATTAAGGCTAAAGTATCCAAAGATAGCGCCGAATGGGAATATTATAATATTAAATAAAATGCAAAATAGGGTACTTTGAAGCTATTCAAAACCAGTTTCATGAAAAATTTAAAAATTTCCACACAATACAAAAGGCTCTAAAAATGAAAAGAATTGACCGCTAATTTTAAACCTAAAATTAGTTTGAATGTCATAAAAGTACCCAAAAATAATAAAATAAGTCTCTAAATATGTAGATATGCACTTATGTATATCACATTAAAATTTTTTGCAATGTTAAAGCCGTCATCTTATATAATATAATTTATATTTATAATTACTCATTCGAAGAGAACATTTCAGAACTTTTGCGATGCTGCTGTCGACGTTGTGCGAGAGCCGAAGTATTAACCGGACAAAGTGGACTAGCCACACGAACCGGCGTTGGCGTGTTAGAATAAGACGATTTGTCGGTTAAATGTTCCTAAAAATAAATAAATAGTTAAAAAAATATTTTAATGAAAAACAAACTTCGGTATGTTCACCATCGCCTTTAACACCAATTGGTCCATATCCCCCACAAAAATTGAATGGCGCGTGTTTCTTAGCAAAAGTTGAACGAGCAGTATAAATGTTGTCCGCAGGTCGATCAGAGAGCAATTGAAGTTCTAATTCGCTAGGAAAGGCAGAATTGATGCCATTTTCATCATGAAAGTTAATTAAATCCTCCTCAAAAATTGTTGGCGCAACGAAGCTGAATCCTCTAAAAAGCTCATGAGCAGCAGCCGACGGAGGAATTGCTGGAGAATCCTAGAATATTAAAAAGTAAAAAAGTAGTCAAAAAATCTTTTTAGGGAAATAAACAAGAGAAGACCATAATCAAAAATTAGTTTTTGAACAATTTAAATGTATATCTTAAGGTTGTTAAACCGAACCGGAACCAAAAACGGGGATACCGGTTAATCACCGGTTGCCAACACCCCAAATATAAATGTATTGTAAAAAGGAATATAGGAAATAAATATAAAAACCAACCATAGGCGTTTTCTTTGTAAATTCCTGATCAAAATAATGCGTTACATCCAACGATGAAGAAAAATGTGGCCGAAATGGAGGTTGCATTTTCCTAGCAAGAAGTCGCTTCCAATCTATTCCAATGAAAAATTTGTGTCCTTTTAATGCATTTATTCCATCAGGTCCACCACCCAAACGGTTTGAAGGGTTACGTTTGAAAAGTGCACGAAGTAAACTTTGAGCTCCAGGGCTAAGATAAGCTGGCATTGCAAGTTTAGCTCTAAAATAAATCTTAAAGAAATTAAATTATATAAAAAACCTTAAAATAAGATTCATTGTATCTTGTCGATTTTTACCTTGAAAAGGCAAATTTCCAGTCAACATTTCAAACTAAAAATAAATAAAAATTGAAATAATTATTTGTTATTAAGAACCATAAGAACGCCTAATGACCACCAATCAGCAGCCACGGAATGCCCTCGGCGATTGACAACCTCTGGAGCCATATATTCAATAGTTCCTAAAATAAAAAATTGAATGATAAAGGTTTAGTTTGTCATATTTTAATTAATATTAAATATAACCCTGGGATATTTAGTAGTGTTGGTCACGGTACCGTATTACGGCGGTATTTTTCGGTAATACCGCCGTATTTTTACCGAAATACCGATACCGAATACGGTACCGAACAATTTTTAAAAAATCGGTATTTTTTCGGTATCGGTATTTTACCGAAAATACCGATACCGATAACGAAAAATCGCGTTTGACCAACACTAATATTTAGTCTAGAAACAGTAAACAAATGATAAAAAGAAGTTATGGGATTAACAAGAAGAAGCCATCTACAATAGAGAAAAAGATCAATCTTAGAGAAGCATCCCAACTAAAAATAATAAGGATCCCAGGGAAAAAAAGAAAATAATTAATATTAAAATACCACAAAAACTATAAGTCATCTGACTATCATCCAAAGATTCTTTACTTAAACCAAAATCAGTTAAGCTTATATGACCTGAAAAATAACGTTAAAATTAAAAAGAACATATTTTTAACCTGCAGAGTCTAATAAAATATTTTCTGGTTTTAAGTCTCTATAAACAATTCCAATTGAATGTAAATGTTCTAATGCCAGAATTAGTTCAGCCATATAAAAAGTAACATCCTCTTCAGTAAACATAACCTCTTTAGCCAAACGAGAAAAAAGATCCCCGCCTTGAAGAAAGTCCAAAATTAAATAAAGCTTTCCTTCAGTTTGGAATGCATAGTGAAGACGAACAATAAATGGATGGCTAATTTGGGCAAGAATGTCACGTTCCATTTTTGTGCGAAGACGATCACGAACTAAAAAATATTAATTAATTTAGTGAAAAAATCACACAATATACCTAAATTAGCGAAAAATAAATTAGAAATGGACTTAATCACAATCTCATCAAAATGCCCTCTAAATTTTAAAATTATTTCATACCTTTAAGAGTAGCCTTCTTCAAAACTTTCATTGCATATAGCTGTCCATTATCCATTCCACAATTCTTTTTAACCAAAAAAACTTTCCCAAAAGATCCCTGGCCGAGAACACGCAACAACTCAAATTGATCAGGTCCAGACCTTTCCTCTCCTTTATGTCGACAAAAATCATGCAATGAAATTTCGGTCACTTCATCTTCCTCCTCTCCTCTATTTTTAGAAGAATTTTGATCGTCATTTGAATTAAGTGATGATGAAGAAGAAAGTGAAGATTGGTCATTATTTGTGTCATTTAAATTTAACTAAAACATGCAAAAATAAATAATTCACCTAAACTTACATTAAAAGCAATTTGTTGAAAATCATTTGGAATTACTTCAGATTTTTGTAAAAGCTGCGCCATTAATTAATTAAATAATTAAATTAAAAATATCTGAAAAATATTTTATAATGTAAAGCAAAAGGGGACACGCCCAAAACAACGCGCGGCCATAACGCACGGAATCGGTGGCACGGAATCGTGTCTAACCGTTTTAATCAAGATTATCACATTTTTAATTTAGAGTTCGACGAATATATTTTTACTCTGTTGAACATTTTGAGAAGGGACATTTTTGATGTTGTGAGTTTTTGTTCAGGGGGACATTTTGTCGGGTGGTGCGTTGCGGATTCGTCCCTTGCAGATACGTCCCATCTCGGATTCGTCCCTCGCGGATTCGTCCCTCGCAGATCCGTCCCATCTCGGATTCGTCCCTTGCAGATACGTCCCATCTCGGATTCGTCCCTCGCGGATTCGTCCCTCGCAGATCCGTCCCATTTCGGATTCGTCCCTCATGGATTCGTCCCACCTCGGATTCGTCCCTCGCGGATTCGTCCCTCGCAGATCCGTCCCATCTCGGATTCGTCCCTCATGGATTCGTCCCACCTCGGATTCGTCCCTCGCGGATTCGTCCCTCGCAGATCCGTCCCATCTCGGATTCGTCCCTCATGGATTCGTCCCACCTCGGATTCGTCCCTCGCGGATTCGTCCCTCGCAGATCCGTCCCATCTCGGATTCGTCCCTCATGGATCCGTCCCACCTCGGATTCGTCCCGCGCGGATTCGTCCCATCTCGGATTCGTCTCATTTAAAAATGTCCAACAGAGTAAAAATACTCACAGCGGGACTCAGCTGGGACAATTCTGTCCATTTCATTTTCGTTTTTTCATTTTTACCGGGGAGGCCATCGCTTTATAATCTCCAAATTTTTTACTATAAAAGATCTACAAAAATTTAGTTTATCCTCCATTCTAAACTGCTCTCGGCGTTTACCCGCTGTGTTTGCTGTCTGACACATTTGATATTCTACTCATCAACGTCCAATGTCGGTGCGAGCCAAATTCGATGTCAGCAGGTTCCTCGAAAAGTTATTCGTCGGCATTACCGAGGGAAAACTCGCAGAGCACGTCCCTGCAGATGTAAGTTTAACATATTTTCAGTCATTTTGTTAAATAATTCTTTCAAAATTCTAGGATGTCATTCGTCTACTGAACGAGGTCAGAAGATGCTTCATCTTGCAGCCTATGCTTCTTAAACTCGGCACGCCAGTCAACATTTGCGGGGACCTTCACGGGCAATTCAATGACTTGATGCGGATTATGGATTCAGAGGGATTTCCACACTGTCGCAGCTATCTCTTCCTAGGAGATTATGTGGATCGAGGGGCACAATCAATGGAGCTGATCTTGTTCATGTTTGCATGCAAGGCCTGTTTTTTGAATACGTGTTTAATAATACGGTCTAACCAATGTTTATTTTAAGGTGCGCTACCCGAAAAATTTCTACATGCTTCGCGGAAATCACGAGACTTCCTCAATCAACAAATCCTACGGCTTCTATAAAAACGTCTTGGATCTCTACAGAAATGATCAGCTCTACGATGCTTTCAACAAAGTCTTCGACTGCATGCCTTTGGCTGCTCTCATCTCTGGAAGGATCCTTTGTATGCACGGCGGTCTGAGCCCTCCTATGCTTGAGGCAAAAAATCTCAGAGTCATTGACGCTATCGTTCGGCCATTACCTGTAAGAAAAATAGTCTTTTTTAATTTTATATTTCCCTTCAAGGATTCGCTAATCAATCCTGCCAACAATCAAATGGCCGTCGATCTGCTGTGGGCTGACCCAGATGTGAACGTTCCACTATTTGCTGCTAATAGTCGTGGCGTTGGACACATATTTGGGCAAGAAGTAATTGACAGAATTCGAACGCGCTTCGGGGTTGACCTGATAATTAGAGCACATCAGGTCATAAATATTGGACTTTTTGTTGAATAATCTTTTTTATTTACATTTAGGTTGTGCTAGATGGTCACGAGTTCTTCAACGGAACCCCTGATTCAGGACTGATAACGCTCTTTTCGGCGCCACATTACTGTGGGATGTAAGGAAATTTGTGAAAAATTTAGAAAAAGTTTTCGTTTTTAAGGTATGACAATTCGGGAGCGATCGTTCGTGTGGCCGTTGATCTTGGTGTCTCGTTCAAACGCTTCGAACCGGCATTCAAAAGCTCTCCATCAAGAGGCTGAAATGTCCTGAGATCCTTCAGATGATTGGTTGTTGTAATTGCTAAGAAAAATTGACTTGATTATCTCCCTTCCAGTCCAATCTATTGCAATTGTTTACCCTCAAATAATATATTTTCCGTTGATATGTAATAATTGTCTAAACAAACTCATCCATCTCATTGTTGTATATTATGTACATATATAGTTCCTCGAAATATATTTGTGTATTGAAATAAATTATTAAGTTATTATTGTTTTATTTTTAAATTTAATTAATTAAAGAAGATATTTTTGACTAAAATAAATTTTTGAAAGTTTGCGTGGGAAATTTTACCAACAATTTTATTAAAAGTAATTGTCGAAATTAAAAAATTTTATTAACAAAGTATACAAAAATTAATTTACTAATCAGAATTCAGAAAAATTTTTGTAATCTAAATTCTGAGTTAACCCGTATTCTTCTTCTATAAACATAGTTGTACTATCTGCTTTCTAATTCTTTTCTAAAATCTATTCATTGACAGCTAGAACTGTTGGAGCAACTTTAGTATTATTATTTTCATTGTTTTGTAAAGATTTTTGTCGGGAAAATTGACAGAGCATTGTTGGAATAACTAAAAGGCCTTGTAAAAGTCCAATGATCACAACAAGTGTCATTGTACGGGCAAAGACTCGGGCCATATGCTAAAAAATAATTTTAAACATAAAATGAATATTAATGGAAATAATAAAATTAGGAAATATGTAGTAGTCAAGATTTACTCAAAATTTAAAATACCCTCTAAACGGGCATTCCCATAAAATTAGTTTATAGTATTTTAAAAATTTAATGATGACATTCTCTTTCTAATCTTTCTATGTATTTCCCCCAAAGAAATAAATTAAAGAAAAAATCCTACCAAATCAACTAAAAACAGAGAGCTAACACAAATCAAAGTAGAAAGTCCCGCCTCAAGAATTGGAAAGGCAATCGAAGCCAAACAATCAAGTAAACGTTCTTCAACATTTTTTATCAATTTATTTTCGTTTCCTTCAGAAACGCCAGTTTTATAAAAATGATAAACAATATGTGCAGGTATATCTACAGAAAATCCAATAGACATTATTGCGGCACTTGAAAATTAAAAAAAGAAATTTTTTTATAAAAATCATACATTTTTTAAGTATTATTTTACCTCATAAAAATAGGATCAAGTGCAGTACCCATTAATGATTGAATACCAAAAACACCTTTTTTTTAAATTAATTATTTAATCTATATATTAAATTTATTTACCAATACAGGTAAAAAATATGGCAAAATTAGAAATGGCCAAAGAAGGAATATTTTTCATAAAAAGAAGGCAAACAAAAAACATACAAATTAATGTACAAATTGTTGATTGTAATGTTTGAGGGATCTTTTTGTATTTTTTTAAAATTATTTAAAAGAAATTTAAAAAATACACACCATTGTAGGTATTAAATCAAGAAATTTGGCTTCATCTTCAAAAACACTAACTTCCAATTCTGGATACTAAAAAAATAAGAAATTAATTGGCGAGAGAAGAGAGAGAGAGAATTTTGACAAATTATTGTCGGTTAATAAAAAATTCAAAATTTCTCACAGAATCAGCAACTCTTCTCCAATGTTCAAGTAATTCCTCTCTTTTCGACCATTCTTTTAATTCTTCTCCAAAAGAGGCTGTACTGAAGAAAAATCTTTTTAATTGTGGTTCTGAAGAAGAATTAAATGGACGAATAAGTTGAATAAATCCATTCCAAAATTGAAATTCTGGCCATTCCAAAAATTCTGTTAATTCGTTTTTACGTCTAAAATTAGAAAATTTTTATTTTTTAAAAAGATTAAAGAATTTTTGAAAAATTTCTATCTGTGGTATAAATAAATTTTGGGAATATCTTTCTCCCCCCGCTCTGACACGGAATTTAGATTCTTCGGGAATGCCTATAAATTATCCATATAACTAAATTCTCCCAAATTTTTAATTTAATTTAAGGAATCACTAAAGAATATCGAAAAACACCTTTCATCGGGAGTAATTCCTTCAAAAGAAACTAAATCATCCAAAGGCGCAGACTCATCATTATTATCAGATTCCACAAATTGTTCATAATCTCTTAACCAAAATTTTGTTGAAAAACTTCCAACAGAAGAAGGTAAAGCTTCAAAATCAGCAACCAAAGAATGCCATTTCATTCGTTGAGTTGCCTCAGAAAAATTACCTGGACGATTGACAAAAACGAGGCAAACCTTGAAGAAGAAGGATTTTTTAAATTAAATATTTAAATAGGAAACAAGGAAAACTCTAAAAAAAGAAGATTGTATTATAGTAAAAAGCTGTCATGAGCAGGGCTATAGCTATTTCTCTCCTTAAGCTAGTGCAAGAGGTTAATCGGCGGCTGGGAGCAAACCAGCATCTTCAGTAGACCGGACTGATGATTTCCATTACGCAAAGCCGCTTAATGCACAGCTTTAGGAATTAAATAGCTAAATGCTTTAAAATATTCTCCAAACAAAAAAAAGAGGAGGGAAGGAAAACAAATTCAAATAAAATTTAAATATTTTTTAAACTCACAGCATAAAAAGGCATAATATACAAATCTCTAATTCGTAAAATTTCCTGAATGTCAGAAGAACGTAAAAATAATTGTTCTGGTTTTAGTTCTGCGCGAATTCCAAATAATCCATAAAGAGAAATACAAACATATAAAAATAAAAGTAAAAAAACTCCAAAAGCCACACAATTATTATTTAATGAATGACAATAAAAACGAAGAAATCTAAAAATAAAATAAAAAGATTTTTTTTATTAAATATTACTGTTTTATTGGATTTAAAATTATGAATATTTTTGGATTCTTTAATTTGACATTAGAATTTATTCATTTTTTGATAAGCATACCGTATCTACTCGATTAGTTCCCCGGGAGGATCAATGGTTCAACCTACCCCTAGCATGAGAAATTAATCGACGGTGGGGGATTATTCAAGGGTAGGGAATTAATCAAGTAAATACGGTAATTTAAGCAAAGATTTCAATAATATTCAATGAATATTCACAGAATTATTGGAAGATGGGTGATCTTATAAATTAGAATATTGTATATAATTAGAGACTTATTGGAAATAATTCAAAGATATGTAAAATATTATTTGAATTAAATAACCTCCTCCCCCCCCCTCTTTTCCTCCCTCTCCCCCTCCTTACCTTTTACAATATTTTTGAATTAATCTTCTTAAAATTTTAGCCATTCCTTCTTTTCTTTTTTTAATTGTTTTTCTTTTATTATTCTCGGATATTTTAATATCTTCATCAAAATATTCTTCTTCTTTAACATTAATTCCGCTATCTGTTTCTGATGAAAACGAAGAAAAAGAAGAAGAAATAGATAAAGAATTTAAATTATTATTAATTATTTTTTGTTTTTTAATTTTCTTTTTAATTTCTATTAATATTTTATTTAATTCTTTATATCCAAATAAAGCTATTGCTGGACCAAAAACTGTCCACTAAAAAATTATTTTTTTTATTAAGAAAATAAAATGTAAAAACTTGATAAATGTAAACAATTGTTATAGCTATAGCATTTCCAATCGAGAAAAGACGAATCTGAAATTTTTTATAAATTTATATTTAATTATTTTTAGTAGAGTTTGGCTTATCTCTGAACATTAAGGTTGCCGGCCCAGTCCGAAAGACTGAGTTGGTATCAAATTTTGGCCCGAAAAAGACTCGGTCGGGCCGGCCCGATAAAATTGAGGCCCGAAAAAAATAACTCGAAAAAATGAGGCCCGACTAGAAAACGGATACAAAATTTCAGCCTCAGAAGATTTATACAACACCAAAGAATCCTTGTACCCAAAATTTAATTGATAATTAAAACAGCCCCCAAAACCCCAACTTGTAATTATTATCAAAAACACCTCAGGTGTGGGAGTAAAAGCTCCAATGGCAAAAGCAAGTACATTAGTTAATGTCTAATTTTAAAAAAATTAATTACTTAAGTTAATTAAACTTTACAGTTATTGTAATTGAAGCCCCTAAAAATAAATATTTTTAAATAAAAAAATATTTAAATTTACCCGTATCAACCATAACATCCCCCATTAATTTTTGAATTAATTTTTGTTCCTCCTCCTTTTCTTTCTCAAAATTATTTTCCTCTTTTTCTTCTAATAAATTTATTTCCAATTGTTTTTTAATATTTTTCTCCATTCTTTTAAATTAAAAAAATTATTTAAGAAGTAAAAATATTAAAAACTTTTTTCTTAAACGTTGCCAAGAATTAAGCAATAAATAGGCATCTAAATATACAAAAATAAATTTAAAAAATATTTTTTTTTATTTAAAAGTAAAATTCCTTCAAGAAAATGAAGAATTTACATATTTTGAAATCATTGGATTAATTAGCTGAATATTGGATGTAGAAGATAATTATTTTTTAAATTATCACTCAAAGCTTGATTAATATTTTAATTACAGTAATTCTCTATCCCAACACAATTTAAAAACTCGAAATTTTTATTTAAATTTTTTTTCTTCGAAAATTAAACAAAATTCTTTATTTACTTACCATCAACTCCCAATGCCAAAACCAAAAAAGGAGTAACACATAAAAGAGAACCAAAACGAAATCCAAACCAAAACATTCCCCCTAAAGCTGTTCCACAAGCCATAAAAGGACAACAACAGGCAACAATTGCTAATAAAATCTTTTAAAAACATTTAAAATTAAAATTTCTTTTAATTTTCACTTTGTGTGCCCCCAATTGCCCCATATAATAAGCAGCTGCACTCATTGTAATTGAAGAAAATCTTTTTTTTAAATTATTTTTTAAATTTAAATTCAACAAAAAAAAACTAACATAACCATAATTACAAATCCAATAATTAAAAAAGGTAAAAGTGTTAATCCAGCACGAACTACTTCATCTGTTAATATTGTTTCACTTAAAATATGGGCATCAACAAAATCACTTTTAAATTCACTAAAAATTAATTTTAAAAATAATTTTTAATTTAAGTCTAACTTTCGAACAAAATGGGAAATTTGTCTCTGAAATTTTTAAATT